GAATCTTGTTCCTTTTCGTTTTGTCTTAATTCTGATAAATTTTGCTAGGTTTGTTATTGTTTTGCTCACTTTAATTTAAGATTAACTTTAAGTTATAGTAATAATAATAAAGCATTAATTAAGTTTCAAATATTTTTGCATTTTAATTGATAGGAACAGAAACAAATAAAAAGAAATATTAAAGTTTTATATCAATTGTTAATTCGGAAACAATAATTATTTTATAACTAAAACAACATTTTATCACTAATACTGTGTACTGCTCATTTTCGCTGTAATACTTGTAATTTTAGTTGCTCTGTAGTATTTTTTTATTCTGGCTGTCTTAAATCTGTTGTTTACAATAACAATTCGTATTCCTAAATTTGTCTAGAAGTTTATTTGACTTATGGTATGCTAGAGTTTTTCATGGGTTTTCCTCTAGCCTTGAAGCAAATGCTTTACCATTGTACAAAAACGCACCCTTTTGCCATGAAAACGATTAAATATTTAAAAATTTATAGTTGTAAATTTTTGTCTATAAATATACATAGATTTCTTCTTCTGAAGTTTGCATTTTTATTTAATAATTTTTTATTAGTTTTTTTTAATAACAAGTCCAAAAAAATCACTGTTTTCATCTTAAAACTTGTTCAAGTTTTGAGATGACAATTTTTGATTTTTTGGAACTTATTATTAAAAAAAAATTTAAAGAGTAATGAGATTTTTATTTAAACGAGCATTCAAATTCCCGCTCGTATTTATCGATCGACTACACTACCGCCATCTACACAGTTTCAATTCTCTAGAGAGAGATAGAATATGAGGTCCAAATGAGAGCGGTATAAGTTAAGCATCTGGTCATCTGTGCTTATTATGTATATACTGTATTTTTTTAATCTGATGTAAAATTGAAGAAACGAAAACTATTAAAAACATCGTAACGTTAATAAAATTAAAATTTGATTTGTGTTAAATAATTGTAGATATAAAAATTGAATTAAGTAAATTATTTATAAAAGTATTAATTTAATTAATCCGATTTTTTTTTAAATATTTTTTTAACTAATATCGTATTAAAATGAATGTGGTGTATGTATAGATGTCAAAAATAAACTAATTGTCATTTTGACGTTTTGTTGTTAACCGCACTTTTTGAATTTTTCGTTATTATTATTATAATTAATAATAATTATAATGGCTATGTTGGCGGTACAAGGTGTTAATCAAACGGGAATTCCCGATAAAATGTGGCAACCGCCTTTTGTTGTATTAGAAACAACGTTAGTTGAAATATTTTTTTAATTTCTTGAAATAATCGCTTTTTTTGCAGAATGGGTGAAATTACAATAGAATTATATTGGAAACACGCCCCACAAACTTGTAGGAACTTTGCTGAATTAGTCCGGCGGGGTTATTATAACAGTACGATTTTTCATAGGATAATTCGTGATTTTATGATACAAGGGGGTGATCCTACGGGTACAGGAAAAGGTGGGGTTTCAATTTATGGTCAAACTTTTAAAGACGAGATTCACCCCGAATTAAAACACACCGGGGCGGGGATTCTTTCGATGGCTAATGCTGGTCCGGATACAAATGGATCTCAATTCTTCATTACTTTAGCTCCTACACAGTGGTTGGATGGTAAACACGCTATATTTGGTCGTGTACATTCCGGAATGACCGTTGTTAAAAGAATTGGGTTGGTGGAAACCGATAAAAACGATAAACCAGTGGATGAGGTTAAAATAACAAGGGGAAAAGTATTAAAATCTTGATTATTTTTAAAATTTGTGATACATTTTTATATTGAATAAAAATAAACCAAAATATTCTAAAAATAACCCACTTTTATTTAGATTTTGACGTCATAAAAGAATTACAAAACAACTTGAAATAAAAAATAATGAGATTGATGAGCACATTCTAACCTCAAAAAAAAAAAACGATCATATCGATTGTACGTGATTATTTGTTTTGTGATAATATGGCTTGATTTACTCGATAAATTCCTCGAAATATAACAGAAAAGTCGCTTTTCACGCGTACTTATCTAAAATGAACCGTGAGAAATAAAGAAAGCGACCTATTTAAAGGAATATGAGTAATATTTTAGTGCATCCTTTAAGTGATAATCCAACGGCGGCCTGGAAAGAGATTTGTAAAACCCAAAAATTATTTAAAGTTAACGTTAAATTACCCGCTAAACCACCGAATGATAACCAAATTCGTTTCGTGTGTATGAGTGACACCCACTCGTTGGTTCATAACATTAAATATGATATTCCCGATGGTGATGTTTTTATTCACGCTGGAGATTTTTCACGGTGCGGTCATATAGATGAAGTTAAAGAGTTTAATAAATGGATAGGTAATAAATTTAATTAGTTTTTATTTAGGTTTTAAACATTTTTTTTAAGGAACTTTACCCCATAAACATAAAATCGTAATCAGTGGGAACCACGAATTAAGTTTTGACCCGAAATTTATAGATGTGTTTAAAAAGAAATTTGAGCCTTCATCAAGACACAGAGAAATCTTCCATTGTCCAAGCTACGGAAAAGGTGAAGATGATATCAAAGAAGCCGTTCACACTGAAAATATAAGACATTATTTAACTAATTGTACTTATTTGGAAGACGCCGGATTGGAATTGTATGGAATTAAAATATACGGAACGCCCTGGTAATAAAATTTTTAAAATTATGTTTCTCCGAAAATAAAATTCTATTTTAGGCAACCATCCTTTGGCAATTGGGGGTTTAATTTAGAACGCGGCTCAGAGTGTCTTCAGAAATGGAATCTAATCCCGGAAAACACTGATATTTTAATAACACATACCCCACCAGTCGGACACGGAGATTTAGTGTGTTCGGGAATAAGGGCTGGTTGTGTTGAACTCTTAACAACTGTCCAGGAGAGAGTTAAACCGAAATATCACATTTTTGGGCATATTCATGAAGGTTATTTTTTATTAATTTTAAAATTACAAATAATTAATAAAATAAAATGAAATTTTTTAGGTTATGGAGTGTCATCTGATGGTAAAATTATTTATATTAATGCTTCAACGTGTGATATAAACTACATGCCTAATAATTTACCTATTGTTTTTGATTATCCCATCCCTGAGGGATTTTCAAAGAATTAGGAACTCAATAGACTTGATAGGATTAGTATAAAACGATATTATCGGCCACACTTTAGAGGATAGGTACACTTTTTTATTCATATTTTTTATTAATTTTTTAACACACCTTAAATTATGTTGAGATATTAATATGCTTAAAACTCAGTGTGTTGAGAAGTTAATTTCTATAATTTATAACACCACTAACATTTTCTTTATTTAATTTAATAATTATCATCCTTTTTTACTGGTTTTTTATTTTTAACAATGTAGAGTTTGTTTGTAGAGTTTTTAACATCTTTTACGTAATAAAACAACACAATTTCGTGATAACTTTGTCTTCTTATTGCTAAGAAAACGTTGAATGTTGTAGTATGCTTTCTATTTTATTGTAGTTTGTGTGAGTATTAATTTAGAAACGTAATTTCTCTGTATATCAAATTTATATTTGTTATTCTCTATTTTTTTATTCGGAGGAGTGTTTTCAAATTGAAGCGCCAAAAAGAAGGGTTGCTATAGGTCAGTTTTATGCAAAAATTACACTAGGAAGATTCGAGATGTTGCCCACCGCCTAGAAACATTCAGCCACACGTCTCTCTGTATGCCGAAACCCGAATGATTCTATACTTTTTCAAGTTCAAATTGGCATTAACCCTTTCTGTCCCAAGACAGAATTAAATCGCTATCAAAATACACGCAGTAAAGGCCTTTGGAATCAATTTTAGTAAAATATGCAATCCCTCCATTCCAATAAATTCTTTATTACGTTAGCATCAACATTTACATCTTGTCACAAAAGATGCTGATTTAAAAATTACTGGAGGCTATATTTATTGAAATTAAGGAATGAAACTTATTTTAAATTAAAGCTCAAAGCTTTCTCTTTAAAATGATGTATAATAATTGATGGGTTGGATTGGAAAAATATTGAGAAAAAAAATGTTGAAACAAAACTTACATTTTCGTATAACCTGAAAGTGTCAAAAAGGATGATAATTTAAAAATTCCTGGAAGCCGTATTTATTGAAATTAAGGAATGAAACTTATTTTAAATTAAAGCTCAAAGCTTTCTCTTTAAAATGATGTATAATAATTGTTGGGTTGGATTGGAAAAATATTGAGAAAAAAAATGTTGAAACAAAACTTACATTTTCGTATAACCTAAAAGTGTCAAAAAAGATGCTAATTTAAAAATTCCTGGAGGCTGTATTTATTGAAATTAAGAAATGAAACTTATTTTAAATTAAAGCTCAAAGCTTTCTCTTTAAAATGGTGTATAATAATTGTTGGGTTGGATTGGAAAAATATTGAGAAAAAAAAAGTTGAAATATAACATATTTTCGTATAACCTAAAAGTGTCAAAAAGATGTTAATTTAAAAATTTGGAAGCCGTATTTATTTAAATTAAGGAATGAGACTTATTCTAAATTAAAGTGTCAAAAAAGATGCTAATTTAAAAATTCCTTATATTGTTTCTGCTCATGTTAACAAAACGCAAAAACTTTTTTGATTCTTTTCTTAAGTCCCTTTCCAGAGATTTGACATATACTCGACGATCCTGTCGTATACTCTGGATGGTTTAACTAGCGCAGCATACAATGAATTTTTACATAACAATTTAATAGATCTGCTTGACTATGTACCAGATGTAATATGGTTTTCCAGCATGATGGATACCCTTCACACTATTCCCAAAATGTTCAAAATTCATTAAATGAAATGTTTACTAATCATTGGATTGAAAGAGGAGTCCTGATTTGATGCCCCTTGATTTTTATGTGTGGGGCCACATGAAAGAAAGGGTGTATGTTACACAAGTCAACTCTAAGGATGAATTAATAGTAAAAATTCAAAACGAAGCATATGTTTTAAAAACGTCAATTACAATTACCCCCCGTAACTCAAATATGAATTTTAATTTCCGTTTCGAGTTGCAGAAATTGGTCATTTTTCGATTTTGGTCGAACAGTATGTTCACAACTTTGGGATTTTGTACGCCCTTAAATGAAAACACTCTCCCGTAAATTTTTGTATAGGGAATGTTCTAAGAGTGCTAAACTCAAATATTAATTTTAATTTACGTTTTGAATTGCAAAAAATCGGTCATTTTTCGATTTTAAAATCTATGGCTAACTTCACAACCATATATTTTATGCTTACTAGTCGTCTTAAGAGAGGTAGAGCTAAACGGAATGTTTATAATTCTAGTAATCTCAAATTATATTGACATGTTACATTTTATGTGGGACAAAGTATGTAGGTACGCCCTGGTTTTTATTATTTTTAATCAAATAAGTAGTTACATTCGTTTATTATGTAAACGTGACTTTTCATTTTACTCCTTCGAATTAAAAAATAGAGTATAATATACCGGGTGTCACACTTAACTGGTTTGTTAGAACTTTTTTAGGTTCCACTATTCGTACAGTTTTGAAATGTTGTTAGCATGGGTTGTTTATTCGGAACTTCCGATCTAAAATATTTTCAAGATGGCCACTTCCGGTATACCGAAAGTAGACCATAACTTCGTTATTTTAAATGAAATGCTATCTTTTAACTGTGCGTAAAAAAATATGCTGACTTTCATAAGAGTTATTGGTACCTAGCGTTTTCCGTTTTCGAGTTATTTTGATTTTAAGTTTCTTTTTTGACAATTTCGACTTTCTTGCCATTGAATATGGAGAAACAGTAATTCAATTTTTGACCAGTCTGTATAAGATACTACGATACAACAAATGACAATCTATTTGACAGCATCTGAAGAGTAATCGTGCCAATGTAGATCTTTTTTGAATGAACGAAACCTGAGATATGGGGTTTTAAAGAGCTTGTTGAAATTTACGAGAAAAAGCTTAAAACCAAAATAACTCGAAAACGAAAAACGCTAGGTACCAATAACTTTTATCAAAGTCAACCTATTTTTTCACTTACAATTAAACGGTGTAATAAAAACTATAGCATTCCATTTAAAATAACAAAGTTATAGTCTACTTCCGGTAAACCGGAAGTGGCGGCCATCTTGAAAATATTTTAGATCGAAAGTTCCGAATGAACAAACCATGCTACCAAATTTTCAAATCCACGAATAGTGGCACCTGAAAAAGTTCTAAGGAACCAATTACGTGAAACACCCTGTATTTAAAAATATTTTACTGGTTAAATTTTAAAAGTGACATTTAAAGTCAAATTTGACAGTTAACCTATAAAGTAAAATTGGTTTTATTTTAATTATTTTTAATAAATTTGTATTTTTACATTAATTTTAAGTTCCAAATTCATTTTTCGATGATATTTCATAATTCGGTGGGTTTCTTATTAAAAGAACTGAGAAATTTTTTTTTATAACCTCAAAATATTAAAAATGAACTAATTGTTATTATTTGTCTTAAAATAGATGGTTTTGCCTTTAATTTCAGATATCAATCAACAATAAATTCCTTAATAAAGATTATTCGATTTTTTAATATTTTATTAAATGGTTTTAAAATCGTTTCGATGTTATAATCGGTGATGGTGATATCGAGAGATTACAAAAAAATTATTTATATAATAAATAAGAAAATTGTTTCAGGATTATAAAAATAAATCTGCACAATGTCTTCTAAAACGGAATTAACCACGTTAACAGAAGAAAATCTTTATAAACAACCTGAAGAGATCTTCGATGTCATTCAAAAAATCGGTGAGGGTTCTTTCGGAAGTGTTTACAAATCAATTCATAAAGAAACCAATCAAATATTGGCGATTAAACAGGTTGCCGTTGATAGTGATCTTCAAGAAATCATCAAGGAAATTTCAATAATGCAACAATGTCATTCGCCGTACATCGTAAAATATTACGGAAGTTTTTTTAAAGATACAACATTATGGATTGTTATGGAATATTGTAGTTTGGGTTCAGTTTCTGATATAATCAAATTGCGTAAAAAAACTTTAACGGAAGATGAAATTGCTTGTATTTTATCGGACGTACTTAAAGGATTGGAATATTTACATAGAAAAAAAATGATTCATCGTGATATAAAAGCGGGAAACGTTCTTTTAAACTCAGAGGGACACGCAAAATTAGCAGATTTTGGAATAACGGCTCAATTAACACATAACATCACGAAATGCAACACAATGATTGGAACACCTTATTGGATGGCCCCCGAAGTTATTTTAGAAATCGGATATGATTCTTTAGCTGATATTTGGAGTTTAGGAGTGACAGCCTTAGAAATGGCTGAAGGTAAACCACCATACGCCGATATCCATCCAATGAGGGCCCTTTTTATGATTCCAACAAGACCGCCACCATCATTTCAAGAATTAGATAAGTGGAGTGCCCCTTTTATCGATTTTGTTAGTGTATGTTTAGTAAAAAATCGCGTTGAACGTGCAAAAGCAACAGATTTAAGATATCACGAATTTATAATGACCGGTAAAGGACCTAACGTACTTAGTGAGATAATTTCCGACGTAAATTCCATTAAAAATAAACAAAGTAATAATGTGAGTAAAAGTAGTGAAGAAAATAATAAAAAAAATGTCGGTAAAGATGATGATACGTTAAAAGACGTGTGTTGTGGAAAGAGTGATGAACAATTTGGGCAAAGTATGAATACGACCAAAATTAATCTCACCAATGGGAAACAATACGGTAGTAGAGGAAGTAAAGAATTGGGGAAGGAAGTTCACGAGTTGGGAACAAGCAATTTCGATAATATGGCCATGTCAATTTCAGACTTTTTCGATTTCAAAGTTTTAAGTGTATTAAATTACGATGAGTTACAACAGTTAATGATGAAGTTGGATACGGAGATGGAAAAGGAAATCAATGAGTTAAGAGAACGGTATTTACTAAAGGAGAAACCCATTTTAGATGCCATCAATGGAAAAAGAAATAGACAACAAAACTTTTAAGAAATTAGGTTAATTTTATTCTTGAGTGCTGTGTTTAAGTAACTTAATTGAATTTTAAATTAATTAATTAATACGAATCCAAGTTTTTCTTTGTGATCAAGTATTTATTATTAGTTATATTTAAGTTAATTAATTTTTGACAGCTGTCATTAAGGATTTTTGGTTCGGTTTAAGTATAAAAAATTAATAAAACCCCGTTAATATCCTAACATTCTTTATTTTATTATTCTAATGCTTTTAATTTAATTAAATTGATACGAATCCAAGTTGTCTTTGCGATTAAGTATTTATTATCTATAATTAGGTTAACTATTTTGACTTTTGACATGACAGCTGTCATAAAGGATTTTTGGTTAGATTTAAGAATAAAAAATTAATAAAAATCGTTTAATATAGAAACATTCTTTGTTTTATTCTACTAATTATCTTAACTTAGTTAAATTCTAAATTAATATGAATCCAATTTATTATTATGTATATTTAGGTTAATTATTTTGACATGACTCAAAAACCCTGAGACAACTAGAAAATTTGAACAAGAACTAGAAGAACAAATGGATAGCACATGTGAAGACATTGAATAAGAAATATACTCCGCCACATATACAGGCCAAATATACGGCCATCTAGAAAGGTTAGCTGAAGCAAATGTTCCGCCAAACAGTTTTTAGAACCTGCAAAATAGCAGATATAAGGACCGCGTGGAAAAAATCTAGAAATGCTGGGAGTTAGAAACTAGAAGGTCAAGGCACGAGATAGAAGAGAGTGGAAGCTGAACCTAGAACAAGCAAAGACCCACCTGGGGTTGTGGTGCCAATATAACGATGATTTTGACATGACAGCTGTCATTAAGGATTTTTGGTTTGGTTTAAATATAAAAAAATTAATTAAAACCCCTTTAATATCCTAATATTCGTTATTATCCTAATGCTTTTAATTTAATTTAATTGATACGAATCCAAGTTTTCTTTGTGATTAAGTATGTATTATTTATATTTAGGTTAACAATTTGACATGACAGCTGTCATAAAGGATTTTTGGCTCGGTTTAAATATAAAAAATTAATTAAAACCCCGTTAATATCCTAACATTCTTTATTTTATCCTAATGCTTTTAATTTAATTAAATTGATACAAATCCAAATTTTGTGATTAACTATGTATTATCTATATTTAGGTTAACAATTTGACTTTTGACATGACAGCTGTCATAGGATTTTTGGTTCGATTTAAATATAAAAAATTAATAAAAATCGTTTAATATCGAAACAGTGTTTGTTTTATTCTACAAATTATCTTAACTTAATTAAATTCTAAATTAATATGAATCCAATTTATTATGTATATTTAGGAAAAAGTCTAAAAATGCTGGGAGTTAGAAACTGGAAGGCCAAGGCACGCGATAGAAGAAAGTGGAAGCTGATCCTAACAACAGGCCAAGACTCACCAGGGGTTGTGATACCAATGACGATAATTTTGACATGACAGCTGTCAAAAAGGATTTTTGACTAACAATAAGTTTAAATATAAAAAATCAATAAATCTCATTTAGTATCGAAACGTTCTTTATTTTATTCTCCTAACATACAAATATATTCGGACATTCTCCAAGACTCACCAAAAAACGCCAAATTTATTTAGAATTAACCTCTAAAAGAAAATAATAAATTTATTTTAAAAAACTTCACGTTAAAAAGAAATATGGCAACCATGCATTTAATAATTACAAACATAATTAACCTAGAGATTCTCTAAATAAAAAGAAAAAAATTAACAAAAAAAAAGTAATTACATGTAATCACTGCGAAATAATGAAAAAATTATATTACAATTACATTATTAAAAATGAAACTTGCAAAAATGTTCAATAAGGAACATTGGAGAATAAATATGAGACTGATTCACCGTTATGTGTGCGTCTCACTGCTTCCGCAAACATCATAGAAACATCAATACACTAAAAAAGAAACAAAAATTTAATTCAACTTATAACAATAATCAAAAACTGTTTTAACCTGTATTTTCGGACATTCTTTCATGTGTCCATCTTGAGGAATGGTATTAGTAACAACAACAGCTTCAAAACAAGCATTATTAATCCTAGAAATAGCCGGCCCAGAGAAGATTCCATGTGTTAAAATCGCGTAAACCTTCGTAGCCCCAGCTTCCATCAATTTCTCAGCTGCATGACAAATCGTTCCACAAGTATCAGCCATATCATCCACCAAAATCGCCACTCTATCCTTCACATCACCAACAAGCACCATCGACGCGACTTCGTTCGCTTTCTTTCGTTCTTTATGAATCAAAGCGAACTCCACATTCAATCGATCCGCTATCGATGTCACTCGTTTCGCGCCCCCAGCATCCGGCGAAACGATGATGCTGTTGCGCCACTCCACGATGTTCTCTTTGATCCATTTCAAAACGGCCGGTTCGGCGTAAAGATTATCAACGGGGATATCGAAGAATCCTTGAATTTGAGAAGCGTGGAGATCCATTGTTATTATATGATCGGCTCCGGCTACCGAAAGCATGTTAGCTACGAGTTTTGCCGAAATTGGAGCTCGACTCTAATTGTTAAAATATAAAAAAAATTATTTTTATTGTTTATATTTGTGTTGAGATGATTGATTTTGATGAAGAAGCCAAACTAGACAAATACAAGACATTCAATTGCGGACGTTATAAAGCAAATGTGTTGTTTGTGATTCAATGATCAATTAATTTAAGTTATAATGTAACATAACCTCATTTCATGTTTGTTTACATTGACATAACCTCAAATGTCAAATAAGCTCCATCTATTTTGTATTATTGCCGATCGGTTTGGGTATTTTGCATTAAAATAAAGTAAGTACTACTTGTTGTGTCCGGTTTTAATGTTCATATTCATTGAAAATTAATCTTGCGACCTGTTTGAATACGATTTTTGCTCTCAATTGTGAATAAAATGGTCTTTGGTGTAGTTTTCAAACAGTATAGGTAATCAAGACACCCACTTTTGCTCTTCTAAGTGCAATAAATCTAAGTACCATTCTTGAATAAATCGTGATTAATTTTTCGGTGGGTGTTCGAATGCGGATTTGGATATTGTAGTTTTGACAGATGTTAAAAGCAAACAATGGGTTTCTATGGTAACCAATGAGAAATCTCGTTTATGGTTACAAAATAATTAAAATTTGTACATTTAAGTCTTTTTTCTTAAAATTTTCAGTATGTAACCATATCAATATTTAATTTTCATCATTACTTCTAGAAAAAATGTTCTTTCATAAATGAATGGTTCCATTTAAAAGAAATGTCGCTAACGTCATTAAAATTATTTTTCTTGTCGTTTAAATGCTATGTTCATGTTATTGAATTACAATAAAATTTGATTCCATTCACAAAATTGTTAACAGAAAAAAAATTCCACTTCATATCAATACTGATTATATATAGAATGGTACAATGTAATATATCCAAAAAATAGAACAATTTAAAACATGGGTATTAAATTGCATTGAAATCTAGCCAACTTCATGTCAATTTACATTGGAGGAAATTGTCATATAAATACGTCAAATTTTACAGTTTTATTAAATTTAAGGTAATTGTAATGATTAGTTTATATTATTATTAAATTAAGTTTAAAAACTGAAAAATTATTTAAAACTTTACTTTAAAATTTATAGCAATATTTAAAAAGAATAAAGAAAAATATTTAAGTTTTTTTGAGGTTAAATATGTCAACGTCAATTTTGGAAAATTTGAGGTTAATTGAAATAATTCTCAGCAAATCGTATTAAAACAGATCAAATTTCTTGCAAATTCAACAAATTAATTCGTTAGCATAATTTTCTACGTAAACAAATTTTGTAAGAAACTAACTCATAAAATTATTTTTAATTATTTTTTGAAATCAATGACCAAAGGTCAAAAAGAATCATTCCTTATCTGTTTGTGTTTGAGAGACATTGCCTAAGAGATATTGTATTTTCGTCAGAATTATGAAAACAACAAATTTATTATTGAAACGTGATGAATTCGTATCGGATTTTTATGAATACTTGTGTAAATTGTATTGCCTAACAAAAAGCGCACAAAACAATGATAATTTTTTAGTTAGTTTGGATGAGATTATTAATTTTTGTTTTGATTCAATCTGAAATCTAAACCCACTAAACCTATTTTTTATTTTAACAAAATAAAAAATTATATAAAAGCGATCCCTATACATTCAGCAATGAATAAGTTTTACCCTGAATTTCCACTCGGTGTTTTTCCATTTTGCCATTAACTTTTCACTACTGTCTGTCTAGAATCACATAGTTACAACATAAATTAATATTTAATTTCATTATTTATATTTCTATTAATTTCGGTGAAAATGATGTGGTTTTCAAGATAAAAATAAAAAGAATAAGCCAAAAAGTGCACATAAAGAGAAAAAAGAAAAATAGAAAGGAAGATATCACGTACGGTTAAAAAGCGTGATAACAGGGCTAATTTGTTGTGGGATACAAACCTTGTCCTTTTTGTCTTGTCTTGCATAAGGAAAGCAAGGAATGACAGCAGTTACGCGACTTGCAGAAGCAATTTTGCATGCATTTATCATAATTAAAAGTTCCATAAGATTATCGTTTATTTCTCCGCTTCCTGATTGAACGATATAAACATCTTCTCCTCTTACAGATTCTCCAATTTCCACACTGTAAAAAAAAAATAACAAAAATCAATTCATCAAATTGAAGTTAATTGCTGAGGTTAAAAAGATATATTTATTCTTTTAATTTAAAACAACGTGTTCGTTTTCGACAATTCGTTTAGGGGAATTTAATGTGTAAAAGAAACAACTAAAAAAACTTACCATGTTTCTAAATTACTGAACTTTTTCGTAACAACTTTACCAAGATCGATACCAAGACGATCGACGATCCTCTGCGCGAGATCCGGATGAGACGTACCGCTAAAGACTTTGATGTTGGGCATTCTGCTGTGGAGTATCACACTGGGCTTTTCGAGTTTTGCCCGAACCAAACTTTTAGCACGCACCGGTTGAGAGAACGAGGGCATCACTGCAAAACCGACCAATAGGGATATTTGTTTACAGCTAAGTAGAGTGGGAATGAGGCGGAAATAAAATTAATATCGATTAATTTTATTTTGTGAATTAAACGTACAATTAAAGTTCACTAAAAAGATGATTTTTAATCGCACGATTAGTGTAACATCAACGTTAAAACCGGAAAATTAGCAAAAAACTTTTCTTTGTGAATTGATGAAAATAAGTTGGCAAACATGGTTAGGGACTTTAAATTTAATTAATTAATTTAATAAATTTCTTTTAATATTTAGAGTATCAAAAGAATTGTGTCGAATGAAAATTTATTAACTTAATAAATTAAAAAAGACTTCTAATATGTTTTTATATGTATATAGACATATCTATATTTTAACAGTTATTTTTACAACTTACCGGTAGCGTCATCTATGGATTAAAGGTTCTGATTATTTAAAATTAATATTTTTAAGAAATAAAACATTTATGGATAAATTTTAAGAACAAAATCGACTTTTTTTAATAATTAGGGAGTCTTGCCCCTAAGAATAGTTGTACCTTAGGATTAGGTACACTTTAATTTAAAATTTAAATTTACGGTGGCGGCCTCTAGCAGACGTCAAAAAACGATATGGTGCTCTTCAGAAATTTGTTTATAAAAGATTTAACATATAAAAATGATATTTTTCACGTTTTACAAGATTAAGTGAATAAAACGATACATTTCCATGAATTATCCATCTTAGTATTAGTTAATTATCGAATTTTCATTTATAATTTTTGATTTTAACGAAATTTAAAACATAACCTTACTTTTAAAACTACATTAACATTTTTCTTTCTAAATTTATTTATAAAATAATACTTTATTTGTGCGTTTTTAATTTCTAAAAGTTATGTAATAACGTAGTTGTAAATTTAAAAATAACGTTATGTTTTACTAAAACATTAAGCAATCTTTTAATTTTTAGATGCGAAATCACTTAAATTGGCTGTAAAGTCTTGGAGAAAAAAGGGATGTATCTTTATCTGAAATATTCAAATTGCAATGGAAGAAAAGTAAATTATATAAAGAACTGTATTTATGTCCATTATGGAGTTATAATGCTTATGATTTTGAAAAATCCATTAATAAATGGATTCCAACATCATGGGAAGGGAAAAGAGGGGTTGGAGATATATAACTGTGCTGTTTTTGAGCACGTCATTCCGACTTTACGTTACAGAAAGCTGAAGAAACAAGTCTAGCTCAAGAAACTGCCTTCAAAGGAACCAAATTGGAAAAATTTTAATAATTGTGTTCTGTAGGATGAATTTCAAAGCCAATAAGTTGAAAGAGCCTTCACCAGACTCGATGATCTATTTCATAGAATCATTAAACCGCCTAAACTCAACTCTGTTTTGTTGCTGCTCAACAATGTCAAAGTTGGAATTGTAATGTTAATTATCTACACAAACAGTTTGCATAAAATGAAGCTGTTAAATCATGTTTCCGGCTATTTACATTTACACCTGTGCCTGCTGGGAGGCCAATAATGATATTTGATGTTGCTAAACTAATAGGAAAAGTATTTCCCAGTGTTACTTCTGCAATCATTTTAAACGATTTCAAATATAATAGAAAATATCCATTGGACTGTGATATCTTTCACGATTATGACTTTCTTTCATTAAATGTTAAATTATATGTATTTAAATTCAAAAAATAAACACAAAATGAAACATTTTAACAGTTAAAGTGGTGCCATCTGTTGGTTGAAATACAAGTTAAGTAATAAAAGTCTTATGCGATTTTCACGAAATTTTCAAGAAAGATTAAAAAAATAACTCAAAAAGCATCTTCTTTGTAGCATATGTATAGCTTTTTAAAGTGACCCTAATAGTCAAAAATTCATTTTAAATAGTAATTTCATATTGATAAAATTTTGACACGTTCCTGTCAAATATGACAGATTAAAAATCAATTTTTGTTTACAGAGAGAATTAAAAAAATAAATTTAAACTTAAAAAACATCTAAAATTGCACGAGATACACAATAAATAAGTAAAATTTTCTTAGTAATATTACGACCGCTATTTCAACTAGTGCCATCTATTGATTGAAATAAGATATAATTTTTTTTTAATTAATAATACTTATTTAAAATAAATCGTTGATAATAATGGTTAATACTTACAACCTATTATCGTATATTAATTCTTTATTTAGGATTATTGTAATAAAAAAATTTTTTAATAAAATTTTTAAAAATAAAATCAAAATGAATGAAGATTACTGTTGAAGTAGCACCACCTATTGGTGCTAAAACTAACGTATATATTTCATTAAATTTAAGAAATTTGAATTAACTTATTGCATTCTTAAAAAAGTTAATTCAAACAATTTATTAACAAAACCCAAAGTAATTTCGCGCCTTTTCATTATCTTATATCACGTCATAAGAACTTAAATGATTATCTTTGTTAACTCGACCAATAGGGATATTTGTTTACGACTTTGCAGAGTGGGAATTAGGCATATTCAGTTCGGCGTTGATTAGTTTTAATTCACCGAACGATTAAAATTCGTTAAAACAAACGGTTTTTGATCGAATATATTATTGAAAATATTCTATTTCGGATTGAAATGTGAAAAAATCGAATTTTTTGCAAGTCACCAGAATCTACGTAAAAGTGGGTTGGCTAACTTGATCAAAAAAAATAAACCTTTCAACTTTTCACGTCAGATAACTTCACTGTAAATTACAAAGTGTGAAAGTCAGTCAGTTAAAAAAAAATTTCATTTCTTTCCAAAAACATTAGACGCCCATTCAAAATCCATTTCGCGCCCTCACGTCTTTTATGTTATGATAGCTCAATTATAACAACCGTAATGGCCAACATCGCTGCGCAAAGAATCCAACGTGAGTTTAAAGAGGTTATTAAAAGTGAAGAGGTAAGAATCGCAATCATTTCGCACTAATATTAACCCTAAAGTTGTATTGAAAAAGTCCCGCACAACTTAAATTTTAATCCATAAAAGTATAAAAAAAACATAACCTTACTTTAATAACACGAAAATTTTTTCTCTTACCCTCGCCGTCTTCTTCTCCTCCTTCACCTTTTTCTTCGTTTTTCGACATTATTGTGCGTTTTCAACACAAACTAACACAATTAAAAACATTTTATTGATTAATCTTGCTTTCAATCACCAGTATTGAAATGTGTGTGTGTTGGTAAAAACTGAAAGAGGTTATCACAATTGTTAACCTCCCTTTTTTGTTTTTTTTTTTAATAACAAAAATATTTTGTTTCCTTGTTTTTAGGTTGCAAAATGCGCCATTAAAGTTGAACCGGTCAATAATAGTTACACTGAGTTGAAAGGTGAAATTGCCGGACCACCAGATACACCTTACGAGGGTGGTAATTTTATATTGGAAATAAAAATACCTGAAACATATCCGTTTAATCCACCGAAAGTAAGTATACATTTTATATTTACGTTAATTATTTGTTTGTTTTAGGTAGAGACGTTTTTAATGAAAATTTCTGATTGATTTTTGATAAGTCATGTCAATGTCAATTAAATTTTTTATTTTATGATTTTGACAAATTTGGAAATATGTGAACTTTCGAAATAATGTTACATAACTGATAGATTTTTGAGTAGCTTATTTTAATCTTGTTAGGCGGTTAAATTAAAAAATCAATATATTAAGTCAAAGAAAACTTTTTAGAGAATCAATAGGAAATTGAGGTTAGGTTAACATTTAAATTTTTAAAAATTAGGTTAATTTTTTTTTTTAATTTCAAGGAATTATTTCCAAATTATTTATTCTTGTTGGGTATAATTAAATTAGGTAATAATTTTTTACATTAGAAGAATCTTTAGATAAATTATGATTTTGACAGTTGAGGTTAGGTTCGTTTAAAATTTAAAAATAGTTATTTTATCACTATCACTTAAAATCCCTTAAAAATGATTGTTATATTTTATAAATAAGGTTGATTTTTTTTTAAATAGCACGGTCTTTAATGAATTACCTCCAAATTGATTTAATTGTTGCCATTTTAACAGTTGTGTGTATTCAAAAGGAATATTAAAGTGCGTCAATTTATAATTTGAGTAAACAAGCCTTCAAGGACACCTCTAGAAAATCCGTATTTTGCATCACTGGAGATATAAGGAAAGCTTTATGAGCTAAAAATCGACATTGAATTGAATCTATGTGGTTAGAAGAACACATGGAGTTACTAAATCTCACAGCATAGGAACAATCATGGGCGTAGAATCCCACTTATGCATCAATATCTTAATCTATGTTCTCAAAGGTTTTTCTAGTAATTGTTTAAATTGCGTCTCTTTGTTTAGAAGAGCTAAAGTGTTATGTTATTTAATGAGAAATCAACTTAATCACTATTAGATTTGGAATCATCATTGGTGATCAGCTTACTCAGATGGGAAGCCACCAAACCGGCTGTTCATATCTGATTAAAGAAAAACTCTGAGGTTCATTAGATGAAAATAAGATGAATTGAGGTAGTACTTTAGCTGATCCACATATATTCACCAGTGATTCTCTATCTTTGAGTTCCGCGATGTATTATTGGATAGATTTCGATTAATTAAATCAAGATTTAGGTAATTTTTGGTTCAAAAAGTATTTCTAACCAATCAGTTGTTACAGGCTCATGGAGAACATCTCAGCTTCTTAGTAATTCCAGTTCATTTGATCTAGTGTTGGATCTGATTATTCTTACTTCATTTCTTTATAAGACCTAAAACCTAAATGGTCAAATTACTACTTTCTTCTTAGAATCTTGCTGTTTCTTGCTCCACTTATATGTTGTATTACCTGTCAGTTTACTTTGGACTTATGACACCTCAAACCTATTCTTCTATAGTTTCAATAAAGTTTTAAACGTGTATATTAATATTTAGTGCTGTGTATAGTTCAGTTCTTCCAGATAATGTCTTGAAATTCCATACTTTCAGCATTTTAACTGGTCAGAGTCTTTAAACCAGAGCAGGCCACTGAATCATAATGACATAGCTGCATCTAATCTCAACGCTAGTTGATTTAAGCAAATTGTGACATGGATTGATTCAAACAGAAGCATTTCTTAGTTAATCTGGGTTCCTCAAACATCCTTTCAGACACCAAAAACCAATACGCTGCTGGTACTGTCTCGACAGCAATAGAACTCAAATGGTCATAGTGTTTGACTCACTTTGTGAAACTACAGCGTTGATCCAGCCTTAGAAGAAATATTAAGGGGACCAACCGACAGATAGATAGAGACGCCAAGCGCTTTTCTTGAAAGGATTGTGAAAAGTGGAACTCCATTTTAAGGACAAGATGGCGATATAGAAGAAAAACTTGCGTTCTAGCAAAAGCAGATATTTGCCAATTGACAAAACCTCCTCCTTGACTTTGAGATTCCATGAGGTAACTCGTCTAATTGGTAAATAAAAGTTTATTTTTTTCTTACCTCATCTTAAACTAAATGCGATTTAAAGGTTGTACCTCGATAGGTTCCAGACTTAAGATCCTTAACCATACTTTCTGTATCTGAACTTTCTCCTGGAATGTCTTGATTATCGTATATGATGTGATTCTGAATGTTCATCTTCATCATTTGTGCTCCAGTCTCTTTTTGGCTTGTAGGTGTTTCAGCTGTCTTTTTTTAGAGTTTTATAACCACCATGAGACCTAGACATTGGAACAACAAACGTTTTACCTGGCGTACGAAGTCCCAGATATGAATTCTCATCTTCTTCTTCCAGCACTACAGTCTTCTATAGACTTCATAATACCTTCCAATTCCAATCTGTCAGACCTCACACGCTTTCTGTTTCATACACTTTTGTCTTCCTCTAACTCTTTATCCCTGTGGCGTCCATTTCATAATTCCCTTCACTCTCTAAGAATTAATTGCTGTGGATTCCAAATATATGAAGTGATTTGGCTCTCTTCATCGGGGTCTTGTGGATTCCATATTTGTTATTATATTTTTTTTTGGATTTGTTAGTTATGAGTCCAGCCCGTTCTCATGGCGTTGTTTATAATCTCTTCAACAGCGATTTTCTGAATCATCAATGATTTTAAAGTCACGTCTATTTAATCTATTCCCTCCAAAACATAGCAGTGTTACCAGCGACAGACAATTTCAACTGCGATTTTGATTGATGATTACTAGAGATTAAAATTGATGTAGTTCCTGCAATTACTCTTACATGTGGTGATGGTAGTGGTAGATACTCATCGTCGCTCTAAGAATTGTTCGATGACGTAGTAGTTTGGCTAAATTAATATCTTCAATCACCTCATTATCGGGTACTATATTAGCTTCGAATAAGTTGGAATATAGGTTCTCTACATCGGTGAAGTTGGTGTTATATCTGTTTCTAACAGCGAGCTGCTAAATAGGAATTTATACGCTTGTGGGGTTTGGACATGTCTAGACATCTCTATCTAATCTAGAGACCTCAGCTATCTCCATGTTTTTTTGAGCTAGAATATGTTGTTCACAAATCCGATTAATAAGAAGCAGTTCTCGTCTTCATTACGCTTTCGATTACGCTGACGACGTCTTATTTCGAATAAACCAGTTTTTGAATAACATACAGATTTAAATCACCATTTTGTTCTGCAAATAGACACTAACTAGACTTGAAGAAGGAACTTTACTGCTTCTGACGCCGACAACGATCAAAAATGCCTATTTGAATGACCTTGTTTTGTAAGATATCGAAAGTCTTCCCAATAAATAAATCTTAACACAAACATATTTCAAATTTGATCAAAATCAAAACTAGAACTAGAAATATTCGGATTTAGCCTTATACCCACATGATTCTAGTTCTACTATACAGGGTAATTCAGCTCAGCTCCCGTCTTCTGTAGCTCAGTTATTAATTAAGTTAGGAGTTTAATATTTTGCAGGCTTATACTGTATCTCAGGCCGCATTTCAGGAAATTATTATTGATTATACAGAGTTTCCCAAAAAAGTGTGACCGCATGATGATATATTTTTTAAATGGCATTATATATCTTTTCTTACATTTTTGGGTGTCTTTTATAGGTGCGTACATAGTTCCAAAATTTTATTGAAATTGGCTGAATGACAGCAGCACAAAAAAATAAAAACGAAAAAAAATCGTATTTGCGGCGCTGGTTTTATAATTACAAACAGCGCCTCATTAATAAAGTTTCATGTTAAACTTGTTAAGTAAGGTTTAGTGGATTCGTTAACTAAGTTTCATAAGAAATCGAGTTTAGTTAAGTCTGGTGATTGAGGAGGCCAAGCAACTGGTCCTCCTCTACCAATCCACCGATTTGGGAAGGTTGCGTTAAGATGGTCTCTGACTTGCAACGAATAATGTGCTGGAGCTCCATCATGTTGCAGCCACAGCTATGCCCTTACAGCTATGAGTAAATTTTCAAATAAATTAGGCAACTGATTTTGCAAGAAATCCAGGTACATAGGTCCATCCAAATGTCCGTTAAAAAAGTAAGGACCAATATCATGTTCGCCAATAATCCCTCCCCAAACATTAATTGACCGTCTGTGTTGTCTATCAATTTGATGAAAAATCTTTGGGGTGTTGTCCGCGTAATAATGGAAGTTATGACGATTAATAAATCCGTTTTTATGAAAGGTTTATCCTCAGTTTGGCTAGCGCCCAATTACAAAATTCGAAACATTTCTCTAAATCTGTTTCAAGTAGTTCTTGATGAAACTGGATGCGATAAGCATGAAAACGGTTATCCTTTAAAATTCGTTGAACGGTTGTTTCACCGACACCCACAGCATCAGCGACTGCTTATTGACTAATAGAGATGTCGTCGTTCCGGATAACGCTGTGCGTAAACTCGACTTGCCGAAAAACAGTTTTTTGACATTCCCCTAATATAAAAATCATATCTACAAGCTCTTCTTTGTTGTACTGCATAGCAAAAAATAATATTAGCGTGTAAATAGCTTAAACAATTAGTACTGCGAAGGTAACAATGTTTGAAACATTTACTTTACTAACGTCAAAATATGATTTCTTAGTCAATTGTTTTTCATAGCCTCGATGGATTTTTATTAATTAAAATTGCCGTTGGAATAGATGAAATACGAGTTTTTGGCGAATAACATTTTAAATGTCAGGAATTGTGATGGGGTTGTTATTACAAAATATTTTTGTTTTTTAATTCTGCATCGATTTACATAAAAATATGTAGGGGGTCCAATTTAAAATAAGAAAGATAAAATGCTTTAAAGTTTGAAAGTTTCAACACTAGATTTTGGCCACCCTGTATAATTTTGAATCAATTGAACTTGGTTAACGAATCCACTAGACCTTACTTAATAAGTTTGACATGAAACTTTATTAATGAGGCGCTGTAGATATATCGTGCCATTTAAAAAAATATATCATCATGGCGTCACACTTTTTTGGGACACCTGTATAATCAATAATAATTTCCTGAAATGCGGCCTGAGATACAGTATAAGCCTGCAAAATATTAAACTCCTAACTTAATTGATAACTGAGCTACAGAAGACGGGAGCTGAACTGAAGGACCCTGTATAATCTAATATTCGTATATTTAACCTTTCAACTACATCAATAAAAATATTCAACAATCTAGCACTTAATGACAATTAGAACTAGAACTAACACTAGACCTAGAACTAGAAGTATCGGGTTTAGCCGTGAGTCTAGTGTTAGTTCTAGTTTTACACTATCACTAAAACTAACACAATATCTAGAACTAGAATCATTCGTCCAGTGATTGTGCTACTATTTGTTCTAGATTTAGTTTGATCAAAATCTTTTACAATTATGATAAAAAACAATTTTAAATTGTCTTAGAAAATGAAGTTTAGACGAAAGCGAAATAAAAATTAGTTTAAAAATTGAAGTACAAAAATAAATTTTCTAAATATAAATTTGTAAAAATAACTTTTAAATACACAAAAGAATTCTAGAGATTTTTTTTTTCAACATAATGATTAATGATGTAACTTTTCTATTTCCAGGTTCGGTTCATTACAAAAATATGGCACCCCAATATCAGTTCTGTAACGGGAGCGATTTGTTTGGATATATTAAAAGATCAATGGTAACATTTTCCAAGTTAAAATAAAAAAACAATTATTTGGTTAAATATTTCTTTTTTTCTAGGGCAGCTGCAATGACGTTAAGAACAGTTTTATTATCATTACAAGCACTACTTTCAGCGGCGGAACCAGATGATCCACAAGATGCTGTTGTTGCGCGACAATTTAAAGAGGATTTGGATATGTTTCAAAGAACAGCTAGTCACTGGACGAACGTTTATGCGGGGGGTAAATTTAAATTTGAATTAATTTTATATTTGAATTATTTTTTAATTTTCTAGGTCCACAAGAAAATCCAGAATTTGATGATAAAATTAAACGGTTACAAGATATGGGTGTTGATGAACATCAAGCAAGAGTTGCACTGTCATCCTACAATTGGAACCTAGAACGAGCGACAGAACAGTTGTTTAGTTAGTAAAGGATACTTTATATACTACAGACGAGGTTGCCATTGCGCTGATATTTGTAAAGACAGAACGACGACATTAGAATTATTCGATTTATTAAAACAAATGAGAACAAGCGGACTCGGAAGTGTATATAAAGCTTTTTATTACTTAGGATTTTTTTTTCTTTTTTGAAATAAAGGACTGTTTGTATAACCTTGGACATTTTTCATTTTTTAAACAGGATAATCTACAATTTCTGTTTCTTCCAGATCTTTGCTGTATTTTTAATCTTTTTAAAGCAATTGTTGGTATTAAAGATACATTTCTTATGAGAGTTTGTGATATTACTAAAATATAGATTACTTGAAAGACATTTTTTGTTTTAATTAGTCCCAAAGTAATTAATAAATTAAAATCCAACTTTAATTATTAAACAATTTGAAAATTACTCCATCTTTTACCCAATATCTAAACTAATTCCTTAGCGGAGTTACGAACCAAATTTATTCATGTTTATTTTCATTACTTTATGTTTTTAATACGAGCTTGTAAAGAAGATATTCATGGATAAATTAACAGTAGTATCTGGTACTTTATTCCTTGCAGCAGATGTATTTGCCATTGTTAGTTTGGCGATGCCAGATTGGATTATAACGGAGAGTGGAGGTTAGATTCTTACAACTTCATGTTTTAATCACTAAAAGTTACTGTGTTTTAGGTAATACTCGATTGGGATTAATGTGGACTTGTATGACAGTTCATGATCGTACACCAGTATGTTTTACACCCGATTTACAACCTGAGTGGTTGCTAGCTTTAGTGTGTATATTCGTTGGGTGCATTTGTATTACAACCACAATTATATTACTTGCTTCTTCACACTGGGATAGAAACGTTGTACCTTATGCAAGATGGGTTGGATTTACAGCCAGTATGCAAAGAAAAACAATATTAGCAACTTACACAGTATTATATTAACTTTCTTTTTAGTGGTTTTATTTTGTCTCGCTGCTGTAATATTTCCAATGGGTTTCCATGTACATGAAATTGGCGGGCAACCTTATCAATTACCAAATAGTCATCAAGTTGGTATTTCTTACATTTTATTTGTTTTAGCTTTATGGATAACGGTTATTTCGGAATTATTCGCTGGTAAAGTTTGTTTACCACATTTTTAATTTTTTTTTATTCTCAAGTTGTTTAAACGGTATTAGGTCTGGTATATGATAAATATTTAGTAAGTATTAAAAGATACTTTGAGATTAGTATTAAACACGATTTAATATATTAACCCATATTAAATTATTTTAAAAAATTTATATTAAATGTAACAATTCTTATATCTTGAATATTAAATGTAACTGTGATAAGTAAAATGTTTATTTAAATAAAAAACTAATAAAATATGGTTATTTTGTTTTCTTCCAATAGAACAATTTTTGATAAAGAATAAATTTTGTGTTGGATATTTGGAAGATTTTAGTCTACTTATGTAGGTGCATATCCTATACTAAAATTATACTAGACAATCCATATATACCAGATAAATCACCTTTTTTTAACAGTTAGCTTACAAACATGTAACTAGGAAATGAAGGGACAATATTCATCGAATTATTGAAACTTTTTAAGAGCTTTGCAAAACATTATAATAATGATGTGAAAGAATAGATTTTTAGTTGTAATGTGATAAAGCAATCAGTATATTATTCCTATAAATAAGATCAATATGAATTTTTAAAAGTTATCATTTTACTTTAAGTAGGTAAATGTCAAGTCATGACAGTTCTCAATTTTTGAAATTTTCTCTAAAATTTAATTATTTTCATAGAGATATCTTTCAATACGTTTAAATTATAGACTTTTAGCTTTAATTTTATATAAAAATTATTATATAATTCCTTTAAATAAATGTCAAAAAATATATATGTAAAATCTTTAAATGTCAAATTATGACAGTTCTTTAATTTTGAAATTTTCTCTAAAATTTAATCATTTTCATAGAGATATCTTTCAATATGCTTAAATTATGAACTTTTAGCTTTAATTTGATATAACAATTATGATATAATACCTACAAATAAAGACAAGATGAATTTTTGAATATTATCATTTTTCTTTAAATGTCAAATTGTGACATTAGCTTTTTATTTTTGAAATTTTCTCTAAAATTTAATCATTTTCATAGAGATATTTTTTAGTATTTTTAAATTATAGACTTTTAGCTTTAATTTGATATAACAATTATTATATAATACCTATAAATAAAGACAAGATGAATTTTTGAATATTATCATTTTTCTTTATAAGTCAAGTTGTGAAATTAGCGTCTTATTTTTGAAATTTTCTTTAAAATTTAATTATTTTCATAGAGATATCTTTCAATACTCTTAAATTATAGACTTTTAGCTTTAATTTGATATAAAAATTATTATATAATTCTTTTAAATAAATGTAAAAAAATAAATAAAATCTTTAAATGTCAAATTATGACAGTTCTTTATTTTTGAAGTTTTCTTTAAAATGTAATCATTTTCATAGAGATATCTTTCAATAAGCTTAAATTATAGACTTTTAGCTTTAATTTGCTATAAAAATTATTATATAATTCCTTTAAATAAGGCCAAAATGATTGTTTTTTAAATATCATTTTTCTTTAAATGTCAAATTATGACAGTTCTGTATTTTTGAAATTTTCTCTTAATTTTAATCATTTTTATAGAGATATCTTTCAATATGTTTAAATTATAGACTTTTAGCTTTAATTTGATATAACAATTATTATATAATACCTATAAATAAAGACAAGATGATTTTTGAAAATTATCATTTTTCTTTAAATGTCAAATTGTGACAGTTCTTTATTTTTGAAATTTTCTCTTAATTTTAATCATTTTCACAGAGATATCTTTCAATATGCTTAAATTATGAACTTTTAGCTTTAATTTGATATAAATGTCATCACTTAATTTCTAAAAATAAGATCATGATGATTGTGATAAGTTTTCCCTAATTGTTAGATTAAAGAAAAGGTAATCTTCAATTTTCTCCAAAACTTCATCATTTACACATTGATATCTTTCAGTATTTTTAAATTATAAACTTTTAGCTTTAATTTTATGTAACAATTATTATATAACACCTAGGTATAAATAAAGACTAGATGAATTTCTGAAAATTATCATTTTTCTTTAAATGTCAAATTGTGACAGTTCTTTATTTTTGCAATTTTCTCTTAATTTTAATCATTTTCACAGAGATATCTTTCAATATGCTTAAATTATGAACTTTTAGCTTTAATTTGATATAAATGTCATCACTTAATTTCTAAAAATAAGATCATGATGATTGTGATAAGTTTTCCCTAATTGTTAGATTAAAGAAAAGGTAATCTTCAATTTTCTCCAAAACTTCATCATTTACACATTGATATCTTTCAGTATTTTTAAATTATAAACTTTTAGCTTTAATTTTATGTAACAATTATTATATAATACCTAGGTATAAATAAAGACTAGATAAATTTCTGAAAATTATCATTTTTCTTTAAATGTCAAATTGTGACAGTTCTTTATTTTTGAAATTTTCTCTTAATTTTAATCATTTTCATAGAGATATCTTTCAATATGTTTAAATTATAGACTTTTAGCTTTAATTTAATATAAATGCTATCACTTAATACCTACAAATAAGATCAGGATTATTGTTTTAATTTTTCTCTAATTTTTAGGTTATGACAAAAAGTAACCTCCAATTTTCTCCAAAACTTCATCATTTACATACAAATTTCTTTCAATATTCTTAGATTATAGACATTTAGCTTTGACATAAACATTACTATATAACTCTTATTATATAAATCAACTCAAAATGATCATTTACATTATTTCTTAAACTAATACTTTAATCTTAATTCGAAATAAAACTTCTTTGTAAATAAACTACATCGATTTATTACAGAAACTTTTATTTATGTACACATACACTTTTTTTTAAATCTCTATAAAAGACTTACAATCCACAGGGAAAAAGATTTAAAACTAATATTAAGACTTATCACTAAAAAATCTAAATATATATTAAAAAAAATCTATATACAAATCCGTTTAAAAAGGTGTTAAACATCTAAATCTATACAAAATACTGGTAAAGTCTAGAATCATTTTCCGAATTATCCGGCTTTAAATTATTTATCAACTCCAAAGGTGTGACCGGCTTAGACTTTTTCAAAACGCTAGCATAACTTTTATTCTCCAAACTAGCGGTCGTCTCCCCTAAACTTAAATTCGAAAATTTTTCATCCAACTTATTACTGGGACTCGAATTCGACACTCCCCTTTGATACAAAGGAGTCGATTTCGGTTGAGTCCCATTTTCCATCAAAAAAACCGAATCGTTCATATTGATTCGAGTCCAATTATCTTGACCACTCAAATTGTGCTCACCTATATTATGACAAACCCCATTTACGTTCGAATTAGTCGGCGTCAAACTCAATCGATCCCTTTTCGTCGTTAAATGAATCAAACATTCGAATTTTTTCGCCGCTTCAATCCCTTTAGTATTTAATAAATAACGAAACCAACTTTCTTGGACTTTATAATTTTGGGTGATCATATCAGCGAGTGTCATATTCGGCGGTAAGAGATTTACGCATTCATTTAGGGTCGAATTTTGCATCGATTCGGGGAAATGAACGTTCCCTAAGAATTGAATCATCCCCTTTTCTTCTTGGTTCATATTAATTAAGGGTTGTTTTGATTGAATTATTTGTATGTTTTCGTTTGTTGGGATTATTTTATTAATCGGTGGCTGTTGTTGTGGGGGTAAAATCGGGGGGAATAAGTTTGTGTTTTGAATAAACGGGGGTGGGGGGTTGTATTTGGGGAAATAATTTGAGTTAATTATGTAAGTGGGTCTTGGAATTAACGGGGGTATTCTGGGGACGTGGATGAATTGGGGGAGGGTGTTAAAATGGGTTGGGGGTGGAATTTGGTAAAAAACTGGACGTGGTTGAGATTGTTGCGGTGGGGGTTGTGTTGATGATGAAATTGTGGGTGAAGCTGGGGTTTTTATCATTTCGACGTTTGCGGGCCAAACGAAATTTGGGGAAACTTTCGAGTTAATGATGTAAGCCTCCATTAAGTGTTTTCTTGGTACGAATTCAGGGGCTAGAGGGTTTAATCCGTAATTCTTTTTTAATTCGACCCCGTCTAGTTGATTCCGCAATTGGGACCAACTTATCCCGAATAAGCTGTGATTTTTTTCGCAAATTTCTAAAAATCGCTCCCAAACTTTGCTACACCTCCCGATTGTGCATAAAGAAACGGGATCTCCGACCACAACAACCAAACTTTGCGCCCTCGTAACAGCCGTGTTTAATAATTTTGAGTTGGATAAGAACCCGTATTCTAATTCGTCGTTATTTTTTTGTTGACACGTTCTTCTTGTGCGAACGGTCGATAAAAAAACGGCCCGAAATTGTTTTCCTTGCACGTTTAGGACTCGCTCAACCGAAATTCCGTGCATTTTTCTTTTCCGCAATTCGGTTCTAATCCGAAATACTTGATCCGAATATGGGCTCATGATCCCTATTGAGTGCTCGTTGAATTTGCCCCAATTTTCCGGCCAAACGTTTCTTAACTCGGTTACTCGTTCGACGAGCTCATAAACTTCTGAGTTGTTATAAAAAGCGGTTGAGTTTTGATCTTGAACGTCTTCGCCTCGAGTTGTGTAAAAAGTTAGGGGGTAATAATTTTCATGACTCGGTTGTTTCCCACAAGCGACTAATCTTTGATCGTAAAAACTCTCTGAGGTGAAATCAATAATCGCTTTGTGAGCCCGATAATTCTCCGATAATAAGATTTTGCACGGAAAATTCGTTGGGTAATGATCGTATAACCTCTCCAACAAAGAAACGTGGAACTTTCTTTCTTTCGCGATTTTCGAGTAAACCTCTGGACTCAATTGCATGTGATCTCCGGCTAAAACAATCCTCGTATTTTCATTCGCTAAAGCAAGAGGCATAATCGACTCGCATTCGATAGCTTGCGCCGCTTCGTCTAATAAAATGTGGGTGAAAAATCCTTTGGGTAACCCAATCGTCGTTAAATACATCGAAATCGACAACGTAACAACAATAATCCGATGATTTTTAATCTCATCAATTGTAGGTAATCGAAAATTTTTCTTCGACGAATTCGAACCATCCCCATCAATCAAGCAGTACTTTTGAACGGTGTCGTGAACGGTGGCAACCCACCGTTTTTGGTAATAAATCCTTAAAGGGGTCGCCTCTGGGTGCCCCGATTTAACATATGGATCTAAATAATCTTTTATGTATAAATCAGCCGCGCTGTTTGAGTGGGTACAAATTAAAATTCGATTAAAAGGCGTCGAAAGCAAATGCTTAATCGCTTGAGCCAGCGTAAAAGTTTTTCCTGTTCCAAACGGGCCAATTATTAAAATCGGGGGTAATTTAACGTAAAGCGGTGTTGATATCGCGATTATAGCCTCGCGTTGTTTCACGTTTAACCGCGTATCCATCCCTTCGTTCCATTGCAACCCCGGACTCCACGGTATTTCGGGCTGTACGAAAACGTCGGGGTAAATTAATTTAAAATCGTTTAATTTATCGACGGCGTAATGCCACTCGCAGTAAGGGATTCGATTTAATTGAAATTGTATTTGAGCGGGGAATAAATAATTAATGTTTAAGTTTAAATCTAAAACGGCTTTCGCCGAAATTCGTAAATAAATTACATTTTTTCCTTTATCTTCGATCAAACACTCGTAAACGGTTAAATTATTGAACTCATCTCCATCAGGAGCTAATAAAACACTCGTACAATTACTTAAAATTAATCTCCCGTGGGGTGTATCCTCCGACAAATCAGTCCCCAATTTAATCAAAGCAAACAATTCGCCGTTATTAGAATATTTAGCGGTACTCGAGCTATTCGAGTAAGTTAAAACGTAACTTTGAGCGATTGTTAGCTTGGTTTTTAAGTTATACATCGAAATCTGCTCGTTGCGAGCTAATTCCTCCAAAAATAATAATTCGTGCATTCGCGTTTTATAATTGTGCCTACTTAAATGTTTTTCTATGATCGTGCTTTGAGATAAAACGAAAGTTTCGGGGTTCGGGTTTGGGTACATGGCTTGTAACGTTTTAATCCAAGGGTCGGTTGTTGTTAAAACGGAATTAAACGGGATAATATTACAATTCGACGAGTTCCAACGATTCCCATTCGAGAGAATTATCTCCTTTTTAATATCGTTAATCTTTTCTAAATCCATAATTGGTACGACGTCGACGCAAACGTGTTTTACAAGAACCGGGTGTGATCCGAAATTAAATACAATGCTTTGGCGAAACGTTCCGAAAATGTTTGTGTGGAAATTAATGGTTATGTTGTATTCTTGGTTTGATAAAACTTGATTTTGGTGGTTTTCGTTAATTAAGGTGGTCCATTCTTGTTTGTTATCGGCGACGAGTTCTACAAATTGATTATTAATTAAATCTTTATAAATAATTGAGGCTATTTCGAAATGATTTCTATAAGTATCTTGCAATAAAGCGACACTTTTTAATTTAAACGCACTTTGAATTGCAAATTTCCAACTATGGCAAGTATTTTTCGTCGGTATACTTATCGTTAAATCCGATAAACAAGAACATATAACGTAATCTAAATTTTCTTTCATAATTTCCTCAGGATTCGAAGATTGCAACCATTGTTCTAATAACTCCTCAGTGTACGATTTACCATACAACTCCTTTTCGTAAGCCCTTTGCATTTTCATTAATCGATATTGAAACCGTTCCTTCCATTCATTTAATTCCCCAGCTCCGTGAGCCTCCGTACAATGCACTCCATATCTACAATTATTATTCTCCAAAAAACTTTCGCATAAAACGTAATGATCCCCGTTATAACCACGCGGAGGGGGCCTAAAATGCCAATCTCTCCCTTCATCCGACATAACCGCCATTTGATGGGCCTCACTTTGACAATGGAGTCGTAATTCTATTTGATCATTAAATGTAGAGTTGCAATAAATACATCTAGGACGATTTAAATTTTCCTGTACAAATCCGTTCATCGAGGATCTTGATAAATTATGACTTTGATTATAAAAATTACTACAAAGTTGTGATAAACATTTAGAGGATTCTCTTGCTTTATTCTTCGAGGTCCATTCTTGAACTATTAATTCCGCTTCTACAAAAAATCAAATTTAAAATAATTCTTTAAAAGTCGCAATTTTTACCTTGATGCCTTTGAAGTGACAACAACGAATAAACCAAACGTTGTCGCACCTTAAATTCGATACGCTCGTTCTCCTCACCAACTCCAAGCAGTTCTAAAATGGCACGAGAGTCGTTTATAACCCCTTCGTGTTGCCCAAGCTCCGAAAGACACCCCATTCGCATGTAAATATAAAACAGGAATTGCTGCTTATCCAAACCGGGGCTATGTAATAGTTTTGTGTAAATTTCTAACGCTGGGCCCCATTGTTTATTATCCACAAAGTCGCTTGCCTCTTTATCCATATCAATTCTTTTAATAAGAAAGTCTGTTAGAAACCATCATAATTAGTGGATTAGACGATGACTAAATTTCGGTGTTTATCTTTTATAACCGTTTAGTATTTAAATATAATGTTCTTTTTATCGGTTATTTGTTGTTGATATGAAAAAACATAATAAACTTGACGTATGGGTTGTTGAAAATATTTGGAAAGTTTTTTTTCCATGGGGAGTATGGGGATTTTAGTTTTTTGGTTACTTTAAATGTCATTAAAAGTTTCACTTTCACTCAATAGATGTCATTTATTATAAAAATATCATTAAATTATTTAAAAATTAATCAAAAAAATTAGGAAAAAGTGTTTTTAAGGTGTTAATTAAATCTAAACAAAATAGATATATTTTTTTAATTGATTATTTTAATAGGATTATTTCAAATTTTACGTTTTGAGGTTATGTTTTTTAATAGAACCCAAAGATTTCTATATTTATTTTAATTTATAATAACACCGAGAATAATATATGTATAATATTATGTTTTAAAATAACAAATTACGTTTTTAAAAGTAATAAAACGTATTCAAAAATTCATAATTTTTAATTTTTAAAGGTTGGCATCAAAACTTTTCTAACCTCAAAATATTAAAAAAGCGTTATGATTAAAATTTAAAATTATGAATTTTTTCCGAAATAACTATTCCGATGAAAATAATGTAAAAGATGAGATAAATCAGATTATAAAGCCTATAAATACACCAACGATTCATAAAATTTGTTCAGGACAAGTAATTATTTCCAAATAAAATCTAACACCTTTTTATTAATTAATCTTTTAGGTTATAATAACTCTAGCTGTTGCTGTAAAAGAGTTAGTGCAGATTACATTGGATGCAGGAACAACTACAATAGAAGTTAAACCTAAAGAATAGGGCAGTGAATTAATTGAGGTTATTGATCACAGCTAAAAAACTACCATGCACTTGCACTATTTCACATAAAATGCAACATAGCTGAATAGTACAGGCATTGGGTAGTTTTGCAAAGGAAAAGCTTTGCTTGGAAAAAGGTATGAACCCTGGTTTTCGGCCGTCTTTAGAGACACACGACTAAACCCAAATGTTTCTAATTCTATTTCTAGTGTTAGTTCTACTTTTGATTTAATAAAAATATACCACCATCTAACACGGAATAACAATTTAAACTAGAACTAATACTAGACCCAAGGTACTACATGAATATAAGGTATTTCATATGCTGAACGAAATTTAGCACGTACTGCGCATTGGATCCCGCACGTCATCACCGTGCGTCACAGCTTAGCAGCCAATTATAAGCGTGGGTTTGTTTACGAAATTACAAACATTGGGTTATTTTGTTTAAGCCTTGTTTATAGATGCATTTGTATATCTATAAACACGGGTTTAAGTGTCGTCAGATTTTGATAGTGTATATTGAAGTTATACACTTTTTGACAAGTTATTTATGATATGTGTTAAAATCAAGATTTTATTTTGTGTGTTGAAATTATTGTGTTCTTTGAATGTTTTTAATTTATTTTTGAGTAACTTAATCAATTTGGAAAGTTTTTTTTCGATGGGGATTTTAGTTTTTTAGTTACTTTAAACTATAAATGTCATTAAAAGTTTCACTTTCACTCAATAGATGTCACTTATTATAAAAATAGTATTAAATTAATTAAAGAAAATTAAAATTAATCAAAGAAATGAGATGAAAGTTTTATTACGGTGTTAATTAAAACTAAATAAAATAGATATTTTTTTAAAATTGATTATTTTAATAGGATTATTTTAAATTTTACGTTTTGAGGTTATGTTTTTTAATAGAACCCAAAAATTTCTATTTATATTTATTTTATTTTCTAATAACATCATGGCAAACGTTTGAATTAGATTTACAATTAATATTAATAATATAATATTAATTTAAAATAATAAATTATGTTTTTAAAAGTAATAAAATAAAATTTTAATTTTTAAAGGTTGGCATCAAAACTTTTCTAACCTCCAAATATTATAAAACTTTATGATTAAAATTTAAAACTATGAATTTTTCCCAAGATAACAACTATTCCGATGAAAATAACATAAAAGATGAGATAAATCAAATTATAAAGCCTATAAATACACAAACGGTTCATAAAATTTGTTCTGGACAAGTAATTATTTCCAAATTAAATATAACACTTTTTTATTAATTAATCTTTTAGGTTGTACTAACTCTAGCTGTTGCTGTAAAAGAGTTAGTGGAGAATGCGTTAGATGCAGGAGCAACTACAATAGAAGTTAAACTTAAAGAATACGGCAGTGAATTAATTGAGGTTATAGATAACGGAGGTGGAGTTATCAAAGAAAATTTTGCCGCCTTAAGTATATCTTGTAGTGGGAATTTCATATAACTCGTAATATATGAATGCAATAACCATAATTACGAAATTACTGTGCACTTGCATTGTCCCACATAGAATGTAAATAACTTAATAGTACAGGCCAATTGTGCAGTTTCTGGTTGTAGGTCTAGTGTTAGTTTTACTTTTTGTTCAATTAAAATGTACCACAATCTAATGTTGAATAACAATTAAAACTAGAACTAACCATAGAACTAGACACATTCGGGCTTAATTTTGCATATAAATACATACAAGTTATGTTCAATTGGGACTGGAGACTAAACAAAACTATAATTTAGAAGAAAAATGTTTAATAAACTGTTAGATAATACATACAACAAAGTATATTGTTATGTACATATTACAAAAAAGTAAACAGAAGTTATTTTGGTGTAGAAGGCTTCATAAAATCTAATAATGTCGTCTGACGAGTTAAATTTTTTTCTTCTCACGCAAAATTTCCTCGTAACGCGCTAATAAATTTTTTATTGCCCGTTTTGTAGTAGAAATACGCATCTCGTTGGAGTCTATTTTTTCTAAAATTTGTAATTCTTTTTCAATTGAACTGAGGCCTTCTGTCAAAGTTGCAACCATCATTTGATCTTCTGATTGAAACGGGTCTAAAGAATTAGATTATTCTATGTCTTACTCACGCATTTCCACAAGCTCATCAATTGTCAGCTCCTGATTGTGTAAATCCAGCAGTTCTTGAACGTCATCACCATCCACCTCTAAATTTAATTGTCTGGCAAGATCGATCACTTGTTCAATCACATTATCAATTTGATCAGGGATCTGGCGTTGATTCTTCCTGGGTTTTAGTGCCCATTTAAAATTTTTTGTGAAATTTCATTCCAAGATTGTCCAATAATTCTCAGAGCATTTAAAACATAGAATTGCTTGCAAAAGTCTTTAACAGAAAGCTCAATGTTTTGTCTCATAGCTTCATGTAGATGCACAAACGATCGTCTGGTGTAGAAAGTTTTAAATGTTTTAATGATTCCCTGGTCCATCAGTTGAAGCAAGCAGGTTGTATTCGGTGGCAAAAATACAACTTTCACACGTAGGTCGAAATTAAATAGAGTTGCAGGAGGATGACCTGGTGCATTGTTGATTAATAACATCACTATAAATGGGATTTGTTGTAATTGGTAATAACGTTCGACTTCAGGTATGAAGTGATGACCAAACCAGTCTTCCAAAAGAGTAGCTTTAGCATTTCACTTCCAAATCACGAGCAACCCAGTTTTAGATATATTTTTTAAAGCCCTTGAATTTTATGAGCGATAAACTAAAAGAGGTTTTAATTTATAGCCACCAGCTGCATTCGAGCCAACCATTACTGTCAATCCATCTTTGGCGGCTTTAAAACGTGGAAGAGTTTTCTCTTCACGCGCGATAAAAGTTCTTTTAGACATTTTTTTCCAGAATAGACCAGTTTCATCTACATTAAATATGGTTTGGCTGGTATAGCCACCTTCTTCTATCATTGCCTTGAGTATCTCTGGATAAAGAGACGCAGTGCAGAGTCTTACCGCCTCTGCACTTCCTGCGATGCTATACCAATTACAATGACTTTTGAAACGACTAAACCTACCGTTACTGGCTTTAAACATTTCATCTTTGGCCACCTCTCCAGCTTCTTCTTTTAATCTCTCAAAAATTAGCTTAACTTGATAGCACACCGTGTTCTGATCAACAGGACAATTTTTCACTCTTACTTGATTATCACACCATATTTTTAACATTGTTTCCATCTTGTGAGCGATAATACACAATGACGTTTACGAATGATGCTCCGAATTTACGCAAAACGGGGTAGCTTAAGTAATTAGTAGGGCACGGAACTTTTGTAACAAAACGATACGATTTCCCCCCTCCACTCGTTCTCAGCGGCGTCCGCTGAGTAAATCTTGATTAAAAGAACAACATACTGTTCAGTGGGAAATTAAAATTTCAAGTTAGAAAAAAATTGTGTTAACAAAAATTGTTCCTGAAACAATTCTAAACAAACTTTGTCAACATTTTTTTTTGATTTAGTCAATAATTAAGGAGATAACCTCAAAATAATAATTTTTCCGTTTTTATACATAATTATACTTAGATGCTTAATTAATAGAGATGTAAAAATTTTTTATTAAGATAATTGATTCAAAATCGAAATTGAAACAAATTTTATTTAAAACATTTTTTGATAAAAACAATAATTATTGACATAATTCATTTATTCTGAAGCATACTATTCAGAGGGAAATTAAAATTTCAAGTTACCAAAAAATTGTATTAACAAACACTGTTCCTGAAGTAATTTTAAATAAATATTGTTAATAACAATTTTTGATTTGATCAATAATTAAGAACATAGCCTCATTTGTATGAAATTTTCTACTGAGAACAAGTGGAGGGGGGAATCGTATCGTTTTGTTACAAAAGTTAGTAATTAGTAATGGGGTAATACTGTAATGTCAAATTATATTGACATGTTGCATTATATGTGGGATAAAGTAAGCAGGTACGCCCTGATTTCCATGGAAATAAATTTTTGTATATTGCATCTTAAGTGAAATTCACTGTATATTATTAATAATCAATATTTAATGAATATATTTTTAGCTTTAAAACATTATACATCAAAAATTAAAGAATTTAACGACTTAGAATTCGTGGAAACTTTGGGATTTCGTGGTGAAGCATTAAGTTCACTTTGCGCCCTCTCCGATGTAACAATTATAACACGACATAGTTCGGCAAATATAGCCACTAAAATAACTTACGATCATAATGGGAAAATAATCGATGAAAGTTCGGCTCCTAGATCAAAAGGGACAACCGTTTGTTTAAGCAATTTATTTATAACTTTACCGGTACGGCGAAGAGAGTTTTTAAAAAACCTTAAACGAGAATTTAATAAAATGTGCCAACTTTTATACGCTTACTGCTTAATATCGACAAATGTAAAGTATGTAAACTTAATAAATAATGAGTCAAGTTTAAAAAAATTTAATTTTAGGATTACGTGTATTAATCAATTATCGAAAGGTTCAAAATCAACAGTGGTGTCTACGCAAGGATCTCATTCAATAAGAGATAACATTATTAATGTTTTCGGTGCAAAACAAATAGCGTCGTTAATTGATATAAACACCGTTGATCCTGTTGATGATGTTCTAAAAGAATATGGAATTGAAAATCGAGCGGGGAATGAAAAACCGTTTAAATTCGAATGTTTTATTTCAAGCGTAACTCATGGTTTGGGACGAAGCATCGCCGATAGACAATTCATTTATATAAATTCAAGACCATGTGAACCCCCGAAAATTTTAAAATTAATCAACGAAACATATAAACAATACAACAGCCATCAATATCCCTTCGTCTTTTTAAATATCTTAACAGAAAGGAATCAAATTGATGTTAACGTAACTCCCGATAAGAGACAAATTTTTTTTCAAAAAGAAAAATTACTTTTAGCTTATTTAAAATCGTCTTTATTAGATTCATTTAAAAATTTTCCTTCAACTTACGATTTACAAAATTTAGATATTTTTAAAGATGATAAAAAAGCTTTGACACAAATTACGCTTAATAATAGTTTGAAAGGTTTAAAAAGAAGCAATTCTAATAATAATGAGGAAGGAAATTCAAGTTTGTTGGATGCTTTTCGTAAAAAACCTAAGGTTGATAACAATCAAGTGAAAGTGAACGATTTAAAATTGATTTTTGGGAAAATTGATGAAAAAGCGAAACGAGATATTGAACCTAAATATCAAAAGATTCCCAAATTTGATGATAAAATTGAAACAGATTTAGAGAAATCCCCAGAAAAAGAATTAAAGCTTAAAGATGAATCTAAAAGTGTTGAATGCAAATTTACTCCAGGTTAATTTAATTTATTTCATTAAAAGTTGAGATTTGTAAAATCTTTGTTGTAGCGAAACCGAGATCAATAACAGATGGTGTTATCGATGTTGAAAATATTCCTAAATATGACAGTAAAGATTTAACGATTTTAAAAGAGAATAGCAAAAAGATGTTGGATGTTTCTTTAGGAGAAATTCGTTGTAGAATTAAAAAACGAGGGGAATACCTGAATCAAGCGAAAGATGAAATAAAAAAAGTATTATTTAGGGCGGAAATTTCGCCCACACAAAACTCCAGCGCCGAACAAGAATTACAAAAGCAAATTACAAAAGATAAATTTAAAGAAATGGAAATTATTGGACAATTTAATTTGGGATTTATCGTGGCTAAATTAAAAAACGATTTGTTTATAATCGATCAACACGCTACAGATGAAAAATATAATTTTGAACAATTACAAGCTAATACTATTTTGGAAACGCAAAATCTTGTCCAGTAAGTAATTAATATTTATTTATTTATGTACATAGGACACAGCACAGGACGAAGCCAATAAAAGCTGTGTCACTGAAAAGAATAAGATCAAAACAAAATAATAAAGGCACAAAATACATTAAAAGAACATGATTGACACGAGTCCAGTCTTTTAATGTAAATTTTAAAGATAGATTTTATTTATTTACTATTAATCTATTTTTTTTTAAATTTTTAAAGTGTTGTAATATTCGTGTGTCATGTGATTTGGAATGACCTTGGTCATGCGTCTGGAGACGCACGGCTAACCCTATACTTTCTAGTTCTAGCTCTAGTGTTAGTTCTAGTTTTACACTAGCATTATCGCTAAAATTAACACAAGACCTAGAACTAGAATCATTTGGGTTTAGCCGTCTTGCAAAACATGTGGCTAAATCCGAATGTTTCTAGTTCTCGGTCTAGTGTTAGTTCTAGTTTTGCACTAGCACTATCACTAGAACTAACAAGCACTTGACACGTCTTGAGAGACGTGCGGCTAAACCCGAATGTTTCCAGTTCTAAGTCTAGTATTAGTTTGATTTTTATGACGGATGCATATCTTTTACATTTAATCCATTCTCTACGGATTCGTAGGAGGTGTTATCAAAAGCGTAGAGGGTATGTCTTTGAAAGCACATACACTATCTCGTTGGATGCAATTATTTCCTCTAAAGTGCTTGTCAAAGCATAGAGAGCAGTAATTGTTCATTTTGCTTTCTGTTAAGCATATTCACTCGGAAGGAATGGATTAGTCCATCCATTAGTCCTCCATTCCTAAGATATTAATCAATTACCTTTTCCATCACTTTGAGGAGAAATGAAGTTAGGCTAATTGGACCGCATTATGCATCACTTGACTAAGCGACAAATGATTTTCGTTTTCATCTCTCTAAAAACATAAGACATCTCAGAATAGACAGGCTCAAAGTAATGAAAATTGCTTGGTGCCTGTCTATTTTTATCACAGAACACTGATGATAGCCATCACAAGCACAGAATCCGCTTGGTCAGTCGTTTTACGATTATACAGTCGATTTTTTTTTAATCAATGAAATGACCCAAAAACACGTTAAAAATAAAAAGAAAGTGCGAAAAAGTGATTAACACTAGATTAACTTCAGTTATAAAACTTCTATTATATGATAAGTAACTTCAGGTTTAAAATGTCAACCTCAATTTTGACATATTTGTAATCTTCATTAAAAATCCTTTAAAATGAGTACAAACACGACATATTTATCTTCAATATTAATGAAGNTACAGATGAAAAATATAATTTTGAACAATTACAAGCTAATACTATTTTGGAAACGCAAAATCTTGTCCAGTAAGTAATTAATATTTATTTATTTATGTACATAGGACACAGCACAGGACGAAGCCAATAAAAGCTGTGTCACTGAAAAGAATAAGAACAAAACAAAATAATAAAGACACAAAATAACATCAGTAGTATGAACAGTACTAAAAAAATAAAATAAGATAAGTAAAATAAACGATCAAAAATTCTGATTGAAATTAAGGAAACATTCTATAAAATTAAAACAAAGAGAGAAATTTCTTACTTGCATGTTTTATTAAATTAGTATCAGTACCGGGTTCGAATTAAAAAATTCATCATCAGCTGAATCTAAATTAGACAATGAAAGTCACAGTTATTATATGTATAAAAATATGTAAAAGTTGATAGAGAAAAAATCTAAAAATCACTTACTGTCATAAAGGTAATATAACAATAAAATCACATGAACACACGAACATTACACTTTAAAATTAAAAAAAAAAATAGAATAATAGTAAATAAATAAAATCTATCTTTAAATTTTACATTAAAAGAACAAGATTGACACGAGTCCAGTCTTTTAATGTAAATTTTAAAGATAGATTTTATTTATTTGCTATTATTCTATTTTTTTTTTAATTTTTAAAGTGTTGTAATGTTCGTGTGTTCATGTGATTTAGAGACGCACGGCTAACCCGATACTTTCTAGTTCTAGCTCTAGTGTTAGTTCTAGTTTTACACTAGCATTATCGCTAAAATTAACACAAGACCTAGAACTAGAATCATTTGGGTTTAGTCGTCTTAAAAGACATGTGGCTAAATCCGAATGTTTCTAGTTCTCGGTCTAGTGTCTAAAAAACACGTTAAAAATAAAAAGAAAAAGCGAAAAAGTGATTAACACTAGATTTACTTCAGTTATAAAACTTCTATTACATGATAACTAACTTCAGGCTTAAAATGTCAACCTCAATTTTGACATATTTGTAATCTTCATTAAAAATCCTTTAAAATGAGTACAAACACGACATATTTATCTTCAATATTAATGAAGTTATGGTCAACTTCCGGTTAAGAATGTCAACGTCAATTTTGACATAGTTGTAATCGTCGTGAAAAATCCTTTAAAATGAATCCAAACACGATACGTTTAATTCCAATATTACTCGAGATATAAGCAACTTCCGGTTTGAAATGTCAATGTCATTTTGACATATTCTTAATTTTTATATGATGTGTTAAAATTTGTCGCAAAAACGAAAATATAATAAAAATAATAAAAAATTAAGGTTGGTATTAATATTTAAAAATTTAATTGCTATTGTTGCTAATTTAGGGTTTAATGTTGTTTATTCTAACTTTTTTGTTTTTTGAGATAAGTGCGTCATCTTTGGACTCATTTTAAAGGTTTTTTAATAAAAATGACAAATATGTCAAAATTGACGTTTACGTTTCAAACCGGAAGTGATTGTATTTCCATTAATATTAAAGTTAAATATGTCGAGTTTGGGCTCATTTTAAAGGGTTTTTTATGAAGTTGACAAATGTGTCAAAATTAAAAGTTGAAAGTTCGAACTTTTTGGTTTTTTGAGATAAATGCGTCAAATTTGGTTATTTTATGAAGATTACATAAAGTTGACATTAACAACTGAAAGTTTTTGTCACGACTAAACCCGAATGTTTCTAGTTCTCGTTCTAGTTTTAGTTCATTAAAAATATACAACATAGTAATATCTTATGCTAACTAGCGCTACCTACCGTTGTCATAAGTTACACCTTTACCTACCAGACATCATGAAAATCTCTAAAAACGATAAAATGTCGCTTGGTCAAGTGATGTATAACGCGGTCCTCTTTTTAATTTAGTAACATGAAGTTAGCAATAAAATTTTGACATTTAAAATTGTGACATTTAAACGTCAAATTCTCTCATCCAAAATTTTAAATAAAAATTAAGTTTTTTTTTATTAAATCTCACCTTTTTATATATTTTTAACATTAATTATTCTTTTTTAGTCCTAAATCATTAAATTTAACGGCCGCTAATGAATGTTTATTGATCGATAACGAAGAGACGTTTAAAAAAAATGGTTTTACATTTACAATTGATCATAATGGTTATTAATAAATTAATATCGATATAGAAATCTTATCTAATATTTACATTTTTTTAGCTGAACCAACTCAAAAAATTAAATTAACCTCACTACCGTTAAGTAAAAATTATATTTTTGGGAAAGATGATATCGACGAGTTATTATTCATATTACAAGTATTAATTAGTTTTAATTAAGACGATTTGATCACTTTTTTTGTGTTAATTTATAGGAAACGGCGCAAACTATATGTAGACCATCAAGAGTACGCCAAATGTTTGCTTCTAGAGCATGTCGGAAATCGGTTATGATAGGAAAGGCTCTAACGCACAGTGATATGCGTAAATTGGTGGATCATATGGGGGAAATTGATCAACCTTGGGTATTTATGATAAAACTAAATAATTTTAAAAATTATTTATTTCTTTTTTAATAGAATTGCCCACACGGACGCCCAACGATGCGGCATTTAGTGAATTTAGACCTCATAAAATCAGATTAAAACGAAACCTTTCTAAGTATAAAAAGTAATTAAACACTGATTGTTCTAAAAATATTAAATCCACTATGAGCAGTACTTATTAAAACCCCTGGGAGTTGTTTATGCCAATGTAGCTCTTTGATATCATTTTGTCCTTGGTGGATAAATAATAATTGAGGGGGTACATCCTAAATTATTAAAAAAAAAATAAATTTACACAATTAAAATTTTAGAAATAAATACCTTTAAATCAGTCTCATCATCATCATCTTTTTCAACAGATAAATCCCATTGTACAATTTGATGATCAGCACCGGCCGAACTAAAAACTGGAGAATCTGTTGGATGCCATTCCACACTTGTAACTGGAGCTGTGTGATGTTTAAATATCGCAACAGGAGTTTTATCAACAAATCTTCGTAAATCCCAAATTTTTAGCACCCCATCATCACCACCTAAAAGAGTATTATACTTTATTAATTTCTCTTACTTTAAATAAAATAAATTAAGTCTTTTTATACTTACCACTAACAATAAAAGGTTCATTTTTACTCCAACTAATTACATTAACATCACTTTCATGCGCACAATCAGCTGTAATCATACAAGCTTTGTTTGGGGCGGCTCGCGTATCCCAAATTCTAATACTTCGATCAACCGAACATGACGCAAGAACGTTACGCTCGTTCGGTGACCATTGAAGATCTTCAACCGAAGAAGTATGCCCCAGAAGTGGCCGTTGATCAACATGCCAACTTCCGTTTTCATTCATATTCCAAATATGAATGTCTCGGTTACAATCACCTGAAGCTAAAACTCCCGGATTTGTTTGACACCAATCTAATCCGAACCCTTCTTTTTGATGTCCTGAAAATGTAAATAACGGTGTGATTGAGTTGGCTTTATTTTCGCTTTTATATTTAGCTAATAATTGATCGTTATCAACCACTTGTAATTGTTGGGTTAAATCGAAAATATTAACCCGTCCTAATTCACTCCAAGTGGCCGCTAAGACTTTCCCATTAACATTTGTGCTACGAATTCTGTTAACGCATCCTTGATGTTTAATTAAAGCACCCGACATACGAGGATTTTTTCCACCATCTTCGTCATCCGATTCTTCATCATCATCATCATCGTCGTCATCGTCTTCATCTTGTTTCGTACTATGCAAATTGGAGAGTTTCATAACAATCACATTGTTGGTGTGGGTTTGACCCGCTTGGGTTCCAGCAACAATATAAGCAGTTAAAGGATATGTTTCGCGTTGGTCGCCTAATGTATCTTCAATTATATCAAAACTAAGACAGGGTGCGCCCGTTTGGGCTTGATGTAACATTATATAAGCACTTTCATCGCAAACCAATTCTTCACCTTCCTCGAGCGGTTTTCCGGGTAAATAAACATCGTTTGTTGTTGATGGTTCACCTTGATTCTCGTCTAATTCGCAATCTTCATCAATTACATCCATTTCTTCGTCAGACATTTTAAGGGAAATGTAATATATTTAATAAATGCAAAATTTAATACAGATTGAGGTTAAATATTTTTGACAGCTAACAACGTGAGCGAAAGAATTATAGGTTATGTATTTAAGAAAATATAAAAAATAACTATTTAAAATAAAATTAGTTGCTAAAAATACAATCTATTAGTTTTTAGTTGATAACTAATCAATTAATTAAAGACAATAAATATTATTTATTTATTTTAAGATTAAAAATAAAAAGCGGTGGCGCCATCTCTAAGAAATTCAATAAACTATCGCTTATCGACCAGTTTCAACAAGTTTTATTCCTAATCGTTCCCGTTTTTCTCATTTTTAAGGGATAATTTGGAATAGAATCAGAAATATGGCTTTTAGAGCTTTTTTAATCGTTTGAGTGAAGAGGAACGCTCCTCTAGTTATATGCCAAAACTTTTAATATTTTAAAAGTTGAAGTTAGCGGCAAATTTAAAAATATAACACGAATTGGAATCTATAGTTTTTAAATTAAAAGGATGATACTGGTAATAATTGTTATTGCTGTCTCTTATCATTCTCACTATTAATAATAAAATTGTTGGTTTAATTAACTTATTTCAGTATAGACGTAATGCCATCTTACGGTGAGATTTCGACATACTTTTAGTCCCAAGTTCTTCTATCAAAGATCCCTGGGGCTGCTGGTATTTGCTTTCTCAGTTTGGTGTAAAGTTGGTTACACTGGCGAGGCATACGATTTCTTGGATTACAGGTAAAAGTGTCTAAACTGGTTAGTTTTTTTAGAGGATTTGTTCCTTTATTTTACAATCCCATTTATTCATTCAGTTAGAATATTTTCTAAAAACATGTTGCCTGAAGCTGAGTCAGGTTTGAGTAGTGATGAGAGGGTGCATAACAGTAAAACATCCCTTTAAATCAAAATAATCTAGAAGTAGAATTCAAGAAGATAATTACTATTGGTATTAATAACAATTACTCTATTAATATTTTACAAGATATGTATCTGTAATAAGGTCCATAGTTCTAGAATGAACAACCTCATTTATCCAAATATTAAAAGCAACTCAAAATTCCTAATACTTCCATTTCACCTCATTTTGGAGAATAAACTAAACCACAATTTAAAACAATATAATTTCTCCCCTGCTTTTGTATCTAATAATAAAATTTATTAGGGACTACTGTCCCTCTATTACCCTACTATCCCCGCGTAAATAGAGGGACTACTGTATAAAAGAAAAGTCCTAAAATACTTTTAAAAGTTTATTAGTAATAATAAAAGTACATGTATCAAATCCTTATACACCTAACCTGGATAAAAACAAAAAAAAACACTTCCCATTAACAGTATAAACATCAAAAATGAGTGAATAAACAATGTGAAAACAATTTACATTTTATTTCTTTCAAATATTTACAGAAAAAAAAATTAAAAATAAAACGAGATGCAAAACCCCCCCTTTTTTTTACTTTTTCTAACAAGCGCATTTTATTTTTTTTGCAAAAAAGGGTTAATTTTTAACACATTTATCAGTCTCAAGGGTTCACAATATTAAAACGAAATGTGTTTATTATTTATGCGTGTTTTTTTAAATAAAAAAAAAGTGATGATGTAATCGAGAATATCTAAACGTACAGTCTCTTCAAATTTTCTTTGTTATTTGTTTTCAATTACGTTGTCTTTTTCTTTGGTTAGATTTGACAGATTAATTAATGTTTTAACAAGGAAATTTTAATTTGAATTTGGCACTTCCTCATCAAATTAAGTTTTTATTAAAATTTTTAAGTCTAGGGAATGTGATTTTGAACAAAATTATCCGATTACAACCCATAATAATCTAGATATATTACTAAAAGGGTAACAAATACATCTACAGACATATATTTTTACTTTTTTTTTTATCGTTCGAAGCTTATTACATGATTATTGTGAGTTTATACGAAAAGTATACACATAGATATTTCAAATCTAAATTATTATTACGGTAAAACCCCGAATATAATTTTATTTTGATTGAAAAAAATGATTTTATTTAATATTGAGATTCAAAATCTTTTTATTCTGAGAGTTTTACCGTATTTTTCATTGTGCGAGTATTCCAAATAAATTAAAATGATAAAGTAAAATTTTTTATTCACTCCAAATTTATTCTGTTCTCAATAAATCTAAATCCTCCTTTCTACGTTTTAACTTAAACTTACGGAATTGCTGGAAAAATTTTAATTTTCATCCGCTGGAACATTAACCACATCTAATTCAAGCGGACCAACGGCCCCTTCATCATTCTCAACCGGCAAAATCTCCAAGTGATGATTCATCGGAGGCGGATCTGAAATGGTCGCCGCAACAATCGGATTACCCCGCGCATCTAATTCCAATGCGGGATCCGCAGTTGCTTCGGCTAAATTCGTAACACTTTTCGATTTAACACATTGAAAATCAACGTGGCGACTTTTCGCCTCCTCTTTCTCCCAAGACATATGGATAAATGGGCGTTGGACGTAGTTATAAATTACTTCAGCTCGTCCTCCCGGACGTTTTTTAACTTTCTCTTTGTAAGTGGGATAACCTAAAAAAATTTATTATGTTGAAATTAAATTTAAATTTTTAATTGTTAGATGGCACCCTAGCGGATGACAGTGCTAAAGTCCCTAGATTATTAAAGTACCGCGGTTTGTCGCCATTGTGGCTCGAAAGTCAAGCGGGAAACTTAAAACTATGTCGTTCTGGTGATAAAATTACGCCAAATTTCCTTTATTTTCTTTTTCACGTGGTACTAAGGCAACAAGACGGCATTATTTTTGTAAATAAGTGGTAACATGCACTGACAAGCTGTCAAACCGCCATTTTGGCTTGAATTTTTGACAGTGCGGTCTTTAGACGCACGACTACGCAGCGTTAGACCAAGAACTACGTGTTTAGCCGTCTTAAAAGACGACCGGCTTTAATGTTTATAGATCTAATGTTTTTGTAGTTTTACACTTGCAATGTAACTAGAACTAACACTATACCTAGAACTAGAATCATTCGGGTTTAGCCGTCTCTAGAGACGTGCGGCTAAACCCAAATGATTCTAGTTCTAAGAATAGTATTAGTTTTACATAGTAACAGTTCTAGTTTTAATTGTTATTAAGCGCTAGATTGTTGAATATTTTTATTGAAGTAGTTCAAAGGTTAAATATACGTATTAGAAAAGTAACTATATTAGATTATAGAGTAGAACTAGAATCTAGTTTCTAGTGTTAGTTCTATTTCAATAAAGATAGACAACAATTTTGCGTTTAATAACAATTAGAATGTTTCTAATTCCATATCCAGTGTTAGTGTTAGATTTGTTATTCAGCGTTAGATTGTGGATAAAGTTTAAACGTCAATGTGACACAAATTCAATGTTACCAACTGTAATCAACTTCACAACAATTTGTCAAAATTAAATGTCAATTTTATGAAACATCATGTTTTTTTAACGAAAATTAATTAATTTATGCTTAAATCATACGAAAAAAGGAATTTGTTTACGTTTTTTTAATGTCAAACCTTTAGAAAGACCTAAAAAAATTAAATTAAATTGACGTTTTTTGAAATTTTGACGTTTCAAATAATTATTAGTCTGTCAAGTTGATTACCCTTGAATAATGATTATTCACCGGTATTATTTACTCTGTGAAAAATGACTACCCTTTTGATTTAGAAAACTCATTTATAAGGTATATATTATAAGGTAGTCGTCAACAATAGTGTATTTTTAAATAAATTTTTGAATAAAGTTTAAACGTCAATGTGACACAAATTCAAGGTTACCAACTGTAACCAACTTCATAACAATTTGTCAAAATAAATGTCAATTTTATGAAACATCATTATATGATTTGCCTTTACATAGATGATATATTAATTGCAACAGAAACGATAGACGAAAACTTAGAGATTTTAGAGCAAGTTTTTGACTTAATGAGAAAAAATATGTTTAATAGTAAGCTTGAAAAATATAATTTTCTATATCAAGAAATTGTTTTTGGGCTATGTAATTAATAATACTCCTAATTCAGACAATTTAAAGGCAGTGAGTGATTCTGCAATGACAACAAATTTCAAGGAAGTTCAAAATTTCCTTGGTTTGACCTCTTATTTCCGCAGGTTCATACCAAATTTTGCACTTATTATCAAACCTTTATACAATTTATTAAGAAAAGATGCAGTTTTTACATTTAGTAGTGAGGAAGTTGAAGCTTTTAAGAAATTAAAGCAGATGTTAGAAACTGGTTTTGAGCATTTATAGTCTACATTTCGGAGTTCCAGCTAGATCGTCATCAAGTGAACATCGTTGTAAAAAGCTGTCAAGCTTGTTAATATATGATTTTTGTTATAAGTGTTTGTATCCTGGCAAAAAAAATCAAATGACTAACCGACATTTTATCGTTTTCAGAGATTTTCATGCTGTCTGGTAGCGATACTTTCTAGTTCCAGGTCTAGTGTTAGTTCTAGTGATAGTGTTAGTGTAAAACTAATTTCGATACATTTAACTTTGATATTAATGGAGATACAATCACTTCCTTTTTGAAACGTCAACGTCAATCTTCATAAAATAANGGTTTTATTAAATTTATAATTAATAAATTAATTATAAATTATAATTTATTTTGTGACATAAGGTATGACGTATCCGACAGCTTCGCACGCTTCGATTGAATATTGAGACTGGAGTGGGAGGCGTTTTAGGATAATTTTCCTAAACTGTCCGGGCTCTGCTAATATATGATTTTTGTTATTAGTGTTTGTATCCTGGCAAAAATAATCCAAAGGAGTCCTTTCTACAATTTGACCGCGTTATACATCACTTGACTAAGCGACATTTTATCGTTTTCAGAGATTTTCATGCTGTCTGGTAGCGATACTTTCTGGTTCCAGGTCTAGTGTTAGTTCTAGTGAAAGTGCTAGTGTAAAACTAATTTCGATACATTTAACTTTGATATTAATGGAGATACAATCACTTCCTTTTTGAAACGTCAACGTCAATCTTCATAAAATAACCTTTAAAGTGAGTCCAAACATGACGCATTTCTCTCCAAAAAAACAAAAAGTTCGAATTTTTGAACTATTAATTTTGACATATTTGTCAACTTCATAAAAAATTTTTTATTCTAACTTTTTTGTTTTTTGAGATAAGTGCGTCTTGTTTGGACTCATTTTAAAGGTTTTTTTAAATAAAGAATACATTATGAAAGAACACCATGAAGTTGTCCATTTGTCTATTATATGATAACTAACTTCAGGTTTAAAATGTCAATCTCAATTTTGACATATTTGTCTTTCTTATCTTCATTAAAAAACCTTTAAAATGAGTCCAAACATGACGCACTTATCTCAAAAAACAAAAAAGTTAGAATAAAAAACATTAAACCCGAAGTTAGCAACAATGAAGATAGCAATTTAATTTTTAAATATTAATACCAACCTTAATTTTTGATTTTTTTTTTTTAATTTTCGTTTTTGTGACTAATATTAAGACATTCTATAAAAATTAAGAATATGTCAAAATGACATTGACATTTCAAACCGGAAGTTGCTTATATCTCGAGTAATATTGGAATTAAACGTATCATGTTTGGACTCATTTTAAAGGATTTTTCACAACGATTACAAATATGTCAAAATTGACGTTGACATTCTTAACCGGAAGTTGACCATAACATCATTAATATTAAAGATAAATATGTCGTGTTTGTACTCATTTTAAAGGATTTTTAATGAAGATTACAAATATGTCAAAATTGAGGTTGACATTTTAACTCTGAAGTTAGTTATCATATAATAGAAGTTTTATAACTGAAGTTAATCTAGTGTTAGTCACTTTTCAGCACTTTCTTTTTATTTTTAACGTGTTTTTTGGGTCATTTCACATTGATTAAAAAAAAATCGTCGATTTTTAAGCCACATGATGATTCTTGAATTTTTCCCCAAGTTTCTTAATATTTCTAGTAACACTTCGTCCTTAATTACTAACTAATAAGATTAGTAACTAATAAGATTACTAACTAATAATCTGATTTCGACTTTGATATGTAATCTTTTTTAACAAAAGAAAAAGAAATATTAAGAAATTTGTTTGTAGAATGGGTAGGATGAAGGATGTTAATCTATTTGTAGAGTCCAACGCGGTCCAATTAATACTTAATTATAAAAATAATTAAATTGAAATAACCTTCAATCCCAAGTCGAATCTTCTTTAAATCGCGATCTTTTAAAACTTGTTTGGCGACATCGCGATTTTCAATATACTTAAAAAATCTATACATGGCAGTGCTGTTTACGGTCTGACTGTATTCCTCCCCCATTTGAGGGGGATACTCTTCATCCCAATCAACAGTGTCATCATCCAAAAGAACCACAACGTGACATTCGCGATCACCACGTTGCGCGGAATTCACCATCAACGGCAAAATTAATTCTTCGAGAAATACTTCGAATTGACAACGCGCACCATCGTTTGATAACTCGTGAAGTAAACCTCCTGAAAATAAACAATTACATTACTTTTTAATCAAACGAAAATTGAATTTATTTACTTAAGTTTAAACATCGAACAGTTTGAGCATCAAATGGTACCAATAAATAATCACAAGCCTCTCTTAATTCTTGTACGGAAACCGTTGGCGGACACTTAATCATTCCTCCTTTATAGTATTCCAAAATAGCTCTAAAAACCATCGCGGAAATTCCATCGGCGACTTCATATTCACCACGTTCGTTTGTATGTGTATACTCGATTCCTGAACTAAACATCCTTCCAAGCATTGTGTTTGGATGGGCCGTAAATATAGCTGGATCCACTACAAATCTTGTGTTATCTACTATTAAAGTAACACGATCTTCACTTGAAGGCGGGCCAACGTTGTTAGCGCTTGGTGAACACGGTTGTTGATTTTTGGGTGGGCCAATATGGACGGCTGATGTCCGAGACCTGAAACAAACCGATTTTGATCGTTTTTAATAGAGATGTGGGGGCTGGATTTCTGTCTTGCCTATTGCGGGGTGCATTATGTTTAGGCGTCGGTATCGAATGGCAGCGTGATTCCGTTAGGGACGATGATCGTTGGACAAGGCACGGTTTGGGCTTCGAACACGATCCATAACTATTAAAATACCCTTGTTTATACATTTCTTTTTTTTTTTTGTGTGTTTTTATGCGTAACGGGGAATTTTATATAGTTATTGGTTTAAATTAGAAAAATGAATGGAAATGTGATCGAATGAAAACGAAAAGAGTAAGGAAAATGATTATTTACTTATTATAAAACTTGATGTTTAAAAAAGAAAAATAAATGTCAAAGTCAAATTTTACAGATTCCTACTTTATCTTAATTTTTATTAAATTAAATTTTTAATCAACGCCATCTGTTGTAACTTGAAAATAAATAAACATAACCTAACAAAAAAAATTTTAAGATTTTAAATTAAAATACGATTTAAATTAACTTTAAAAATTTCTAACCTTAATTTCTCCATTTCCTCAACAATAAAATAATTAATTTTCCAAAATTTTCCACAACTCCTGTATACTTATGTATATTTAATAAATTTTTACAATTTTTTTTTAAATTTTGACATATTTGACAACTCCACTCAATAACAACAATGAATTTCCCAATAAAATTTTTTAGTTAGTAGAATAAAGGTGATGAGATATGTAAAGAGACATACAAGTGGCGTATAAATAAATATAATCGTAGTGTGTGCTTTTCTTAGAGCCGGAGCTCACGTTGCACAACTAAAAATACCTCAAGCGGTTCTTAAACACCCTTCTTCTGCGCTCGTCATTGTAGTCTTCCGTGTCACTGCTGGTGTCATTGTTGTGATATTGATGACGTTCGCTCGTTCCGGCCATTTCAACGCGCGGCGGTAATAAACACTTAATAATCACATAGAAATAGTCTACGCATTGATATTTATCTCTGGAATTGATCCAGTACATACGATTAATACCGGAAAACTTACAATAATCGTTTCGTTTTCCGTTAGTCGATGATCACTTCTTTTGACAGATAATACTTGTGTATCCAACGTGAATGCAGAAAATTCAATGATACCAACATAAAATTTGTTTGTTATATAAATTATTAAATAAATAATTCATTTAATTGAGAGTTATTAAGTTACGTTAAAAATTGAAAATGATTTAGTTAACAACTTAATTTTAATAAAATTTTCGAAATTAATGAGTAGTTTTCTTGATTGATTTAGGTGTGTTTCATAATTTTGCTGTTGAAATGAAGATGGTGCTGGCAAATAAAATTTTTATTTTTATTATAATATTAATCTTTATTATCCCAACGGAAATACGTTGTTCCCAAAGTGGGATAATATTAGTTAAAACTAAAGTTTTTAAATCAGGTGAGAAAGACAACAAGTGGAGGAAAATAGGTGAAACTGGTGAAAGTTTGGCGGAATAAAATAAAAGTTCTTTTTAAATTTTGTGTTTATTCAGTCAATTCTGTAGTTTTACAGCGATTATAACAATTAATGAAAACTAAAAATATCTTATATGGACCCATTTAGCAATTTTATAAAAGGCTATATACACAATATTTTCTTTGAGTACTTTACATTTCTTTATAGCGTTATATAAACTTACAATAGTTAATAAATAATAAAATTAATCACCTTTAATATATCGGTTAATATTCACCGTTAACAAACAGGCACTTTTCTAGGTTATTTTTTTTCTTTTTATTGTTAAATTGTTAATAATTAGAGTAAGTACAACGCGTGCGCAACAGTCTTTGATAGAAATATCAGTTTTTTAATGTTTTGTGATTGGCACAAGTGTTAAATTCAATTGAACCCTTTAAACGAACACTTTAAAATAAAAAATAATTAAGTATCAAAAGAAAATTAAATAATTTCACGTTTAATCTTGATTAAAACATTATCAAGTTGTGGTTTTTACATCCTATTTTAAAATATAACGTTTTAAAGGGTCGGGCTGATTTTTTAATTCTTTTTTGATTATTTACTATTTCTATCACAGGCACAGCTAATCATTATTCCATTTGTTAACTTTATTTTCATTAAAATACATACAAAAAAAGGGATGTATAAAAAAATAAATTATAATTTATGTCACTTTGACATTTAAATGTCACCAAATTAAAGTTGTCATTTTAAATTAAGTTTTAAATTGGGAAATTAAACAGATTGTTTGCACTTTGAGATGAAACAGATTTAAATAAGGATTAATTGATTCGAAACGAACTTTAAATGCACTTATTTAACTGCGTATTTGAAATCGTTCCAAATTGGCAAGGTTCATTGTTTATTGATGTTAATCGTTAAATGGCTGAGTATATTGATATAGTTTTATTATTAGAACGCGATGTTTCGAATTAAAGATTATTCAGATCAGATTAGAATTTTTTTTTTAAATAAAACGAATTTTTAATTTTTAGGTTAGGTTTAATTTTGACGTTGGATATTAATACGTTACTATGGATACGAGAAAAATTGAGAATGACAACATAAACGTTAAAAGTTATTTTGAGGTGAAATTTCGTACACTTTAATCTCTCCAAAATCGTGAGTGATCTCTTAAGCTAATATTATAAACTTAATCGCTGCTTTTATCTAAATCATGTAAGCATAAGTATCTTTTAGATTATGTTAATCTTTGTTGTTATGTGAATCTATCAAAACATAACCTGAAAATTCGAATTTAGAAATATATTTTAGTTTTAGATTTAAATGATATGAAAACTGGTAATGAAGTTAATTGGAGATAAAATATAAGGAATTCCACGAATAAATGCAATTAAATAAACCGGTTTAGTTGAAAAATAACTTTACTACATCACAAAGTGCAAAGCTAATTAATTTAAAATTTTAGGTTTCATTCGAGTGCTTTTGAATTAATCTCCATAATTTTAAAATATCGTCGATGTTAGATTGCGGTTTGCCGTATAGAAAATGATTAAAATTGAATCGAGTAATATGTTTCGAACCGAAAATTAACGGTGAAACATCAGTATGAGAAATATTTGTACCAAGCACAGCGTCGCCGGTTATATGAACATCGTCAATCCAAAAATATTCCATTTCTTGGGCATTTTTATACAATTGAAATAAAACATCGTTCGAATATAAAATAGCGAATCCCGTACAATAAGTGGGATAACGTTTCCTTGAATACTCCTTGACAGAAACGCGCCATTTCGAACGAAAACTACGAAAAACTTTGGCGTTTTTGATAACTTTACACAACAATAAATTGGAAACGCCTATCGGAGGTGAAAATTCGCTTTTTATAAACAAAATCGTTGCGTTAATATTGACGAAAACGTCATCGTCCGTTTTTAAAACATACTTTACCTCGGGACAATGATAAATAGGGTATTTTAAAACCATAACATGTTTGTATGTTAAGTTTCTATAAGAGTCCATGAAATTTCCTTGCAACAAATCGTTGTTAATATCATTTTCGGTTTGGATTTTCCTTTGCAAAGTCGAATTGTTAATTGATCCCAAAACAAAAAGTAATTTTATTTCCTTCCTTTCTTGCCCCCACGTATCACGAATCACGCGACGCTTATCGAAATTTCTAGGCGACGAATGAACCAATATTAACAATAAGGTATCAGTTTCGTTATCGCAAACTTTATTAAATATCGTAAAATGAAAATTATTTAAATCAATTAATTTTGTGTAATCGTTGAGCGTTAATGTTTCTGTTGGATAAATGTACGTGAAATTGTTCGGATTTAGTTTATATAAAGGCTCTATTTGTAACAAAATGTATGTGTCGGTTAATAAAGTTGTGTATAACGAGAACGTTAGGATAAATCCCAAGAAAAGGGTTAAGGTGTACCATAATTTTAAGCGGTACCATCGTTCAAGCATCGTTTCTTTAATAAATTATCCAAGGAATACCTGCAAAACAAACAGAAACTAAATTATACAATTCAAACTTTATCTTAAAGCATCAATTACACAGCAAATATTATTATGGTGTAATTAACTGCGTTGTAAAAGTGAAACATGATATTTTAAAGTTGAATGAAATTTAAAATAACATCATAAACTTAAAATATTATTGTTGTAGTTATTTTTTAGTTTTAATTTTGTTTAAGTTGACAGCACGGTTTTATCTTTGTGAGCTATGTATTAACAAGAATAATGTCAACAGAGAAGGAAATTCGTTGCAAATATTGCATAAAGTAAATACATATACCAACGTTTATATTTACAATAAAATTGCTTTCCCACAAGTATCAATAAATCAAAAATTTTTGCGACGATGTTGAATGCCGACTACGTGTGGAGGACAAGGAGAGCATGTTTTAGCCACTTGATTCTTGATTTTTGGGTCGCAGTTTATCTCCCCAGAGGATCTGAATGACTTTTCACTGAGCAAGGTATTAATATTCGTGAAGAGCATCAAGCACGATGAAATTTGATAACGTTATCTATCGCGCCCGATATGTATTTATTGCCAACATTTTTACCGATTTCGTCACTTCGAACTTGTTTCTGAAGAAATATTGCCTTCTTTGACATCCGAAACGTCAAACACTTTTGCGAAAGACGCCCGGCTTAACCTGAAAGTTTTTAGGTCTAGTGAAAGTGCTACTGTTAGTTCTAGTTTTAGTTTAATTAACACCGGCCGTGAAAGCCTTCGTACTTATATATAAAAATTATTACAACATATTTTGACGTTCGAAACTATTTCAAATTAACGTTCAATCTGTCAATTTGACGTTGACAACTCCATAGGAATGACCGTTCGGTGTTATAAACCGGTTTAAGATGGTGTTTTATATTTTAAATGTCGTATTAAAATCGAAATTTATTTTAAGATTTTAATTTAATTCTATTAATAGCTATAAAAATACCTAAAAATAAAATAAATAAAAAGTAACTAAATAAAAATTGGTAAATTTATTTTATCTACGACTGCTTGGATAAGCCATCATTACCGCACTCATTTGAGGTGATTTGAGTTACGTAATGAAGTTCATTACCGCACTGGTTTAATTACGTAACGCATTTTTAACCTAATCAGAACAGACTTAATTTATTGAAACGAGCAACAATACAAAAGAAAAAGTGCTATCTACTTACAGAGAAACAATACTATTTATTATAAACATTATTTGTTATGTTTTTACATTTCAAAACACTTATTCCAGATGAGTAAACATGTTGTTGCAACTGACGATTCAAAATTGTCAACAATCATTTCAAAATATTTTTATAAATGTCAAATAGACTTTTTTAAAGAAATTGATTTTTTGGTAACTTTTAGCAGTCGTAGATAAAATGCTGTATATCACACGTGGGCTAGAGCATAATTACAGTACTCGTGTGATTACACGAGTACTGTAATTATTAATTAAGTTTATGTACTTGGTACTAGTTTCGACATATTATGATGTCATCATCAGCTAAATCTACAAAAAGATATAATAACTATACTGATCTTAAAAATATATAAAAAACCAATAAAATTGCATAAATATATCTCAACTTACAGTCCAATAGTTAAAAAATCACGCTGAACAAACAAATTTCTACGTTAAAATAAAACATTATTTAAAAGAAACACGAAAATAACGATTCTAAACAAGAAAACACAATACCGTGCACAATTGAACTCCAAAGACGACTGTTAAATCAACATCGAACTAAATTTAAAAACCGGTTACAAAAAGGAATAAAAATGTCACAGTAAAATAATTTTATCTACGACTGCTTGGATAAGTCATCATTACCGCACTCATTTGAGGTGATTTGAGTTACGTAATGAAGTTCATTACCGCACTGGTTTCATTACGTAACGCATTTTTAGCCTAATCAGAACAGACTTAATTTATTGAAACGAGCAACAATACAAAAGAAAAAGTGCTATCTACTTACAGAGAAACAATACTATTTATTATAAACATTAATTGTTATGTTTTTACATTTCAAAACACTTATTCCAGATGAGTAAACATGTTGTTGCAACTGACAATTCAAAATTGTCAACAATCATTTCAAAATATTTTTATAAATGTCAAATAGACTTCTAAAGAATTGATTTTTTAGTAATTTTTAGCAGTCGTAGATAAAATGCTGTATATCACACGTGGGCTAGAGCATAATTACAGTACTCGTGTGATTACACAAATTCTCCACACTCGTACTGTACTTATGTTTCTAGCCCACTTGTAATATAAATAACTATTATCTACGACTGCTTGGATAAGTCATAATTACCGCACTCATTTGAGGTGATTTGAGTTACGTAATGAAGTTCATTACCGCACTGGTTTAATTACGTAACGCATTTTTAACCTAATGAGAACAGACTTAATTTCAAAACATTTCTAACATTCAAAACACTTATTCCAGATGAGTAAACATGTTGAAACTGACAATTCAAAATTGTCATCAATCATTTCAAAATATTTTTATAAATGTCAAATAGACTTTTTTAAAGAAATTGATTTTTAGTAATTTTTAGCAGTCGTAGATAAAATGCTGTATATTACACGTGGGCTAGAGCAATATTATGCAACAATTATGTTTCTAGCCCACTTGTAATATAAATAACTATTTTGATACCCCGTTTTAAACTTTCTCAAATAATTATAAACATTCAGACATGAATCAATAAAATTGCTTAACCGGAAGTGGTATTTAATCGAAAAATTCAGCCGATTTTAAATTTTGACGTTCGAAAGTATTTCTTTAAAATGACGTTTTAACCTCCAAACAGTCAATTTGACGTTGACAACTTCATGGTAATGACATTTATAAACCGGGTTATTAATTTAAGGTTGGTATTTTAATTTCAAATATTGTATTAAAATGGAAATTTATCGTTTATATTAAAATTTTAATTTTATTCTATTTTTATCTATAAAAATACCTACAAATAAAATAAATAAAAAGTAACTAAATAAATATTGGCAAATAAATTTATTTTTTGATACCCCGTTTTAAACTTACTCAAATAATGATAAACATTCAGACATGAATCAATAAAATTGCTTAACCGGAAGTGCTATTTAATCGAAAAAATCAGCCGATTTTAAATTTTGACATTCGAAACTATTTCTTTAAAATAATATTTTAACCTCCAAACAGTCAATTTGACGTTGACAACTTTATAAACCGGTTTATTAATTTAAGGTTGGTATTTTAATTTCAAATATTCTATTAAAATCGAAATTTATCGTTTATTTTAAGATTTTGTTTAATTTTATTTTCTAGAAACCATAAATACCTGGAGAATGAAATTTGTGTTATGTCTCTGATATCAACTATCTGCTTTAACAAAGTTTCTATGAGTAGGTGGTGTTTAATCAAAAACTTTATTGTAATCTACAAAACACACATTAAAAGTCTTGATTCATATCTAAGAGTCTCTGTCACAGATTGTTGAGTGCAAACAATGCCTCTCTCCTTCCTAGGCCTTTTCAGAACCCAAATTATGTGTTGTCAAGTCTGCATCCAATTTTCTTAATATTCTGTTATGGATCACCTTCAGTAGGATATTCATTAAAATGTTAGACTTGACACATTTATACATGCACCTTTCTGTCCCTTTTGTAGGTACAAAGCGGTGCAGAAGTTTATAGCAACTTCTGCTAGAAAAATGGTTATGTCCGACCTGAGGGGCAATTTAATGCGGCTATTTGGTCCACTAATTCCCATGCCTACTCCGGATCAACCTGCCTTTGGAGCATCGGTGTATCAGGGCAAGGGCTCCTCTTTTAAGTTGAGGCTCACTCTTCGTCCAATCATCCTTGGTTCTAAATATGACCTTATACGGCTGGTGGAAATTGTATTCTGTCGATGTAAGGTTCCTTTTAATTTCAATCAATCTGGTAGATGGTTTGGACACGAAGTTTTTCTGTTCTTTAATGTCTTCAATGCATGAACCACTTCTTCCCTGATTATGTCTTCTTCCCAGTTCTTCTTATGTAGTTTCATTTCTTGATTTTTGAAAGGATTGTCTGTTGTATTTCTTTATATCTTTGCTCATTTTTCCCTTTAAAGCTTCTCTCTAAAGCTTCTTATCCCGATATAGCCGATTTTTCTTTCTTTATGAGTGACTATTGAGAGCTCCAACAATGTAAAAAAAAAACATATCGGAAAAGAAACCGATCGGAAATTATTAATTTATCATATTCAAGTAACAAGTTCTTAAAATATAAATATCCAACCAAACTCTTTAAATAATGCATGAAAAATATTGATTAGATCGGAAATAATCAATTTCATATGCCGAAGTGGAGTAATTAAAGAGGTTCGTTTTTAATTCTCATTTCAATAAATAAAACGTCCACTCTCTTCTTTTACGTGATAGAAACCGATTTAAAAATAAAAAATCAATAATTTCTTTAAAAACTTAAATATAATTTTAATTGTCATTTTGACATTTAAAGAATCACTTTCAAATTAGATCTGTCATTTTAATTAAATGTCATTATGACGTTTAAAATGTCATTTTAATATAATTTAATCGTATTAATTTTGGTTTAAAATACATTTATGGCTCACCGTGTATAATAGATAATATTAAAAGAAAACGAAATGAAATTTGATCCAAACATTGACCTTAAAAACCCGCAACGATTTAAACAATGTGAAACGCATACTTTGCATATTCTCTATGTATCTGATAATAAAAAATTAAGTTACTAGGGGGGTTATTTTAAGTAAATGATGAAATTGTGTAATAAACCATAAGCTTTATTAAAAGCTTAACAGCCTTATCAGTGCTTATTTGCATATATGAAATTATATACCTGATTCTAATTATAATTTCTTTATTTGCCCCACGTTTTCTCTAAAATGAATAAGAATAAAATTCACTTACATTTAGTTTTGTTAATCCAACATCTTGAGATTGATATAAACACGAATTTAAATAAAAAAACAATAAAGAATTAAAAATCACATCACATTTTTGTATTTCTCGTAGTGTAATAATAGCAATAAGTAGAAAAATATTTGTCTGCGTTGTTAGGGAGGCTGAAAATATATAGATTTGAGGCCATCCGTGACGAGCCACCCTCCTCAGGCTACTGCACTCGAGACGACGCGACTCGGCGCCAACACGGCCAACACAACACACGATCTCTTTCAAGTCGACCCAGGTCGAGACATGATACAGCAGGCGGCAACCCGAAGTTTCTTTTCACGTCGGTCGACGTTTTCACGTCTGCTTATGTGCGCTATAACGATACAAGTCGTCTTTGAAACTTTGCCATCAACAACTACGTATTTTGCGACCGCGTATAACGATATAAATATGTATAAGTAGAACTTTGTGAAATCCAATCGATTGGGTTTTTTCCCATTCTAGCACTTTCACTTAATTAAAATTAAAATCAACAAAAATAAGGTTAAAAGTTTACGATTAACCTTAAAATCAAAAAAGGTGAGTGTCAATTTTGAGAGATGTCAAAAATGTTTATATCTTTAAATTCAATTAAATATTCGATTTTTTATTATAAATATAAATAATTTATTTTATTTAATCGAAAAATTTATCAATAAATAGATATAAAATTAAAATAAAATTCTCTATTAATAATCTATTAATTAAAAAGTTAAATGCAAAAAATTATTGATAAATTTTAAATGAATTGCGCCATCTTTTGGGGGAGTTTTTAATTTCTCGCAAACCTTAATTAGTTATCTTTGAAAAACATCTATAAATAAAGGTTTTAATTAATTTAATAATTATCGCCGATATCAGTGTGAAATTAGATACCTTTTAAACATCAAAAAAGGTAGCAGTGTTATTTTTGACATGTCAAAAACGTTTATATATATCTTAATTAAATTAAATATTCGATTTTTTAATTTTAATTGTTTTATTTCATCGAAAAACTTATCAATAAATAAATATAAAATTAAAAAAAAATTCTATTAATTAAAAAGTTAAATGTAAAAAATTATTGATAAATTTTAAATAAATTGCGCCATCTTTTGGTAGAGTTTTTAATTTCTCGCAAACAATTAGTTATCTTTGAAAAGCACCTAAAAATAAACGTTTTAATTTAAACTATTACTATTAAACTTATTATTTTTATTACTAAATTATGAATATTCGTGTTAAATTAAAAAATAAGGTTTTAATTGATTTAACAATTATCGCCGATATCAGTGTGAAATTGGATACCTTCCCACGTGTTATTTTTGACATATGGCAAAGGCGTTCATATCTTTAAATTCAATTAAATATTCGATTTTCTAATTTTAATTATTTTGTTTAAACGAACAACTTATCAATACATAAATATAAAATTAAAAGAAAATTGTATTAATTAAAAAGTTAAATGAAAAAATTATTGATAAATTTTAAATAAATAGCGCCATCTTTTGGGCAGTTACTAATTTCTCGCAAACCTGAATTAGTTATCTTTGAGAACCAACTAAAAATAAAGGTTTTAATTTAATTTATTATTATTAAACTTATTATTTTTATTATTAAATTAGGAATATTAATGTTAAATTAAAAAATAAAGTTTTAATTGATTAAATAATTATCACCGATATCAGTGTGAAATTAGATACCTAAACGTTACTTTTTGACAGCTCAAAACGCAATAATTTGTACGAAATAAAACCAATTTCTTAACAAATTTAATCAATACATACTGAATGGAATTAGAAAATCTTAACCCGAATGTCTACGATAAAGTGGGAGAAAGAAAAATCACGAATGAAGAGGAAAATGATGATATCACCGATGAATTTGATTCAAGAGAAATTTTTGGTTAGTTTTTGAAAAAATCTATTTTTCTTTGCTTAAAATTGTTTTTTAGACATAATAAGAAGTATAAATGACCCGGAACATCCATTAACTTTAGAACAACTCCACGTTTTAGAAGAAGATTTAATTGAGGTTGATGATAAGAATAATTCAGTAAATATTTTGTATACTCCAACGATTCCTCATTGTAGTATGGCTACATTGATTGGATTATCAATAAGAGTTAAATTACTGAGATGTTTACCATCTAGGTTTAAGGTTGCTGTGAAAATAAATCCGGGTACTCACGCTTCGGAGCATTCAGTTAATAAACAACTTGCTGATAAAGAACGTGTTGCCGCGGCGTTAGAAAATAGCCACTTATTAAGAGTTATTAATCAATGTATAACTACTAAATAATATAAAAAATAGTTTTTGAAATATGTTTATTATTTTTAATATAATCAACAAGGTGAAATGAACTCAACAAGGAACTTTCCATAAATATATAAGAATTAAATAATAATTAAAAAAACTTAACCTTATAAATAATACAAGGTTTCCGAAGTTAATTGTCATTTCTTTGCGTAAATAAGTCTCCAATTATTTGGATGATTATAACCCAATAAAATGGGGCAATGCAACAATAAAGACAATGAATTTTTATCAACATGATTCGAAATCCATATCCAATTTGATAACCATGTTTGCATTTCTTGATTGCTTAAATTCATGGGATTTAAACCTCTCAACACACAAGAATATCTTAAAGCATCCGTTGATAATTTCATAACACCCCCCTCTCTCACTATCGCTCGATCCAAAGCTTGTAAAATTATCGCCCTTTCAGAGAGCCTCGATTTCCTAAACCACATTCGATGCATATTATGCATTTGAAGTAAATGTTTCTAAAAAAAACAAAAAAAAATCATTTATATTAAAATAACAAATAATTTTTATAACTTACAACATGACTTCTATTTAAATAAAATATATGAAACGGTTTTTCCATAAACAAATTTTTACAAGCTAAAATTTCAGTTGGATTCGGATGCGAACCACTTCCTAATGATGCTAAAATACCCTTCCATTTATCCTTTAATTCGTGATTTTCCAAGCAAGGCACAGCCGCTTGTAAATGTCTAAATACTGGTCGATTGTGTAATAATCTTTTGTGGATTTCCATAATTCCAAATTCATTCCGTTGTTGGATGTTCCAAAAATGCGAGCAAAGCACTTGCCTTGGAAATAAATACGCAATAGGAAAAACGACGTAATTAGCAAAAGGTAAGATCGAAACCATTAAAAACGGCGCAATTTTGATCATATCTTTTGGAATTTTTTGGTACAACTCGATTTCTTGTCGACTTAAATCTTTTAAACCTTTATCCTTAAAGTTTAAGTAACGCACAATCCTCAAGTACTCTTTTGTGTCATAATAAAAGTCTTTAATCCCGTCCATGAATCGTCTATAAACTCTCATGGCACTCGGAAATCGTTTCTCCAACATTGTTTCATATTTGGTTAATAAAGTTACATATCGATCCGCTATATAAAAACGTAACTTTTTCGCTTCATCCCGCTTATACAACGGCTTTCTATACGGTTTACTTGCGGTACTAGAACTATATTTTGAAATATTTTTTTAAGACATAACCTCAAAAAAATTAACTTACCTATTTCTGCAAAAAGATCTAATTCTAGTGTATGAACGACCGGTAAATATACGCACACTCATCTTGTGAGTACTTTTTAATCAGTTCCTTTAATTACAAGTCGTTTCTTTGCGACAGAAGTCTTTAAAATTACGCACAAAAATACATTGTTCAAATACCTTTTTGAAGGTTATGTTATTTAAATTATAAATCACAGAATTTATCAACAACTAAATAAAATTGATCTTTTATGACGAAAATAGTGTTTTTGACGTAATATTAATACGATTTTTAATTATTATTCGATTAAAAACACGATAAATACGTTTTATTTTGAAATTTTTATTTTGACTTTTGAGCTTTTGACATTAAAACAAGGACTTATGACTATTTTTATTTTGATCCCAACACAGATTTAGTTTCTCTTTTTAATTTTTATCATTTTAATTTTAATTTGCTTTATTATCAATTTATTAATTAATAATGTTAAATTTTTTAAAGATTATATTGATTAATAATTAAAAAGTGAAATTGGATACAAATTATATAAAAAAGGAGTAATTTTAAATCATCTTTTCGTTGAATGTTTAAAGACGCAATAAAAAACCATCTCAAATTGATTATCTTAATTATATCAAATTGTACATAATAAAAATTTATTGTGTAATATATATTTTAATTTATATTATTAATATAAACATATTTTTATTATTGACAAAAACACTACCAAACTGACGTGAAAAAATTAAGTTGGTAACATATTTGGTTTTCTTCATAAATTTAAAAATAGAAATTTCAAATCGTTGCTTTTATAAATAGACTAACGACGAACATATGCAGCGATTAAGTAAATAATTAGTAAATTTTAATTCTGTTTAGACCACGTGGTCAACTTTAACCTAATATTAATCTTTGTCATTAAATTTTTAGCACAAAATATCCCCAAAACGTCGAATTAAAGCAGGTAAGTTAACAACAAAGACATAAACGTTAAATAATTAAACGTGTATAAACGCTAAATCAATATTCAATGCGGTATTTTTGACCCAGTACAATATCAATCTTCGATAACCACGAAAAAGGTTAACGCGAATTATTTAATCGATAAAAAAAGCAGAAAAGGTGAGAAATTGTAATAACACGGTTAAAGTTAACATTTCTATTTCGGTTTTAAACTTAAACGGTGGAAGTGTAGCTATATCGATCGGGATGCTGTGTAACCTTGATCCGAACGCCCTTCCTTCAATGTTAACCCTCACAACCCCATTTTCTCTTCACTATTTCACCCCTTTAAACCCTCTCAAATAAGTTTAATTAACCTGGTGCATTTGTTGTGTGTTTGAAACGTTTATTTCTTGTTATTTAAAGAGATGGTTGTAAAAATTTTGGATGAAGATCATTTTGCGATCAGCGCGATCGTAACCGTGATAATGCAATTAATATTTTTTACCATCGCTGCTACGTTTCAAATGGATAAAGTCACCGATTTCGCAGGTGGAATTAATTTCATTATTTTGGCTTTATTAACGTTCTTTACCGGACAAGGGGATAAGGTTTGTATTATTAAATTATTATTTAATTTAAGGTATTTAAAAATTAATTTTTGCTTAAATTTATGTTGGCACCATGTTATAAATGACTTTTATTAAGATTGAGGTTATGTCAATTTTTTTTATTTTTTGTTAATTATGAATTAATACATTTATCTCGTTTCAATTTAACAAAAAAATTAAATTAAGTTAATTTAATTTAAAAAAATAAATAAATCGAAATAAATCACAATAATTATTTAAAGATTTCTGTTTTATTTGACGTTTTGGGACATGTAACTAGACATAACACAAACATAACCTCAATTTTTTGCGTCAAAGTGTTTTATTACCCCAAATTCTTTTATAAAGCTTTATAAATGAGAAGAAAAGTTGTATTTTAACATTGTTGTAGAAATCTTATGATAATCGTCAATTAATGGTGACGGTTTTTATTTGCTTGTGGGGCGCAAGATTATCTGGCTATTTGCTTTATAGGATATTAAAAATTGGTAGAGACAAGCAATTTGATGATAAGAAAAGTAATATTATTAGATTTGCTATATTTTGGACTTTTCAGGTAATTAATCAATTAATTCAATCTCAACGTTTTAATTCTTTCCTTTAAAAAAATAGGCTGTTTGGGTTTACGTAGTAAGCTTACCAGTAATAATAATTAATTCTCCGAGACACTCAATCCCTCCAGCACCGAAAACGATGACAACTTTAGACTCCACCGGAACTTGTCTTTTCGTTTCTGGACTTTTAGCCGAAACTTACGCCGATGCGCAAAAATTTTCTTTCCGACAAGACCCCGTTAATCAAGGAAAATGGTGTAATGATGGTAATTATTTTAATTTATCAATAAAATATATTTCTTTATTATTTTTATTTATTATAATAGGTTTATGGAAATTATCGAGGCATCCAAATTACTTTGGAGAAATAATTATATGGTGGGGAATATTTATAATCTCAGTAAACGTTTTAGAAGGAATAGAATGGGTGGCGATTATGTCGCCGATTTTCACAACATTAATCATCTTATTTTTATCGGGAATGCCACTTTTAGAACGATCCTCCGACGAAAAATTTGGAGAGTAAGTTAAATTAATAAAAAAAAATAATTCATAACAAATTTTTTTTGTAGCAACTCCGAATATCGTTATTACAAAGCTTCAACATCCCCGTTAATTCCAATCCCACCCTCAATATACGTCGAAGTACCTCAATTCCTCAAATTTCTTCTTTGCTGCGAATACCCAATTTATCACTCGATTAATTCTAAATCAAAAACGACTCATATCGTTAAAGAATCGACCACCAGTGCTTCTTTGGGGCACTCGCAAACATAACTATAGCTAACCGTTAGTCGACAGACTAGCGAGAAAGAAAAGGGTCAAAATTTAAGTCAAAATACAGCTTTGTGAGGTGACTCGAAGTAAAAATTTAATAGAGAGGTTACATTTAAAGGTTCTTCTAGTGTATTCAATTATTAAATTTAATAGAATAAAAAATTTGATGAAGTGATCAATTTTAGTGTAAAATTTAAAGGATTAATAAAAAAATTTAAGGTTAACTTAATTGGAATTGAAAATTAATAAGGATAATTATCATCTTAGACATAGTCTATCAGTAAGTTTTGAGTAGTTATATTATGTTGAAGTTCCTAAACAAATTAAGTAATGAAGAATCTCCTTTTGAAACAATTTGGTGATTGTGACCATGTTGTTGTGTCATGCGAGTTAAGATCAGATAACTGCGAAAACTTTACTGATAGACTGCATTAAGTTGACCACGATTAGTGTCAAAAATCAATTTATAGTTTTTAATTGAGATATACATATAAATAAAAAGGTTGTTTGTTGTATATATATATATGTTTGTAGTTAATAAATACAAAATTGTAAAAAGGGTACAACAAAAATACTTGTTCTTTTATTAATGATTTATTTGTTATTAAAAAAAAAAATGAAATGTAACTTACCCAAAGGATTGATCAAAATCTCAAATTATCTCTGAATTTAGCAAAAAAAGTAATTACAATTAAGAAGTTTAATATTAACGCATTTAATTTTAATGAAACCAAATCCACTTTAAGAAACTCTGCTATAAATTATAACCTTAAATTCCATCAAGAAACTTTTACCATAAATCAATAAACTACAACGCACCTCCAAGTTTTAATCAAATTTGCTAAAAATACCAACACTAATTAGATATTTAAAGATATCGTACGTTTAATAAAAAGAGATTGTTAGAAAATATTGTAGGTTAACTTTGAAATTTGACAACTTGAAATGTCGTTTATTATGACAGTGTTGCCAAATCTATGTTGCATTTTATGCACGATTATTTTAGTTAAAAATTATCTCTAAATTTTTAATTATGAATCTATATGGCGTTTTTAATGTTTTTTACATCAAAATTCGAAAAAATTATATGTTGGAAAGCATTAAATTTGATTAAAACATATTAGTACTAATAGATGGCGACAACAATGCAATATTCGCTTCGGATTTTCTGCAGTATTTAAATTGGATTAATTTAATATAATTTTGATATATATTACTTATATATGACAAAAAATATGTTATTGATAATAAATAAATATGTAATTTCGATTTTTTTTAAGTACATAATGACAATGACATCTAGTGGTTAACATTAGAACCACAAAACAAGTAACTTGTCAATACATTTGAATAATTAAATTGTTAAATTTTGTGTTATATCCTGCTTGAATAAAAAAATGACTACAATAAGCACAATTATAGTCCAGTTAAGATGGAAATAAAACTAAAACTAAAAATTTGTGTATTTTTTTACATATGTCCAAATAAGGTAAGTAAAATAGAAACCTTTAAATGATTATTGTGACTTATGCGTTTTGTTTTAATTAAATTAACTAAATTTAATTTAGTTTTAGTAAAATGAAACATAATGAGTTAATTGAAAATGAATACAAAATTTTGACGTAACCTCAATCAGTATAAAAGTCATTTTTGAATTTGTACCAACATAAATTTGACTAAAAATTAAATTGAATAATTATTTAAATTTCTATATAGTTAATTATTAACAACTAATTTAAATATGCAAAACTTATCTACTTGCCCGTTAAAGAACGTTAATTAAAATAAGTAATAATGTTAATAACCCCAATCTTTATAAGTCATTCTTAACTTTGTACCAACCTCAATTTGACTAAAAATTAATTTAAGTGATTATTTTAATTAATTTCTAAATATTTTAAATTATTTACTACTAATTTAATTATACAAGCCTTACTTACTTACCGCGTAAAGAACGTTAATAAATATTATTTAAATGGTAAAAATAAAACTAAAACTAGAAATTTTAAGGTTATGCCGCGCGTCTAACCTCAAAATTTCTAGTTTGTTTTATTTCTTTTCATAATCTAAATCATTGCAATTAGGACAAACAGGTAGTGTTTTAACTATGTAACTAAAATAGCTTTTCATATTTATATTTTTTTAATAATACAATTACCATAAAAATCTTTACAGAAAAATATTCACATTGACAAATTAGTAGCCATGTGTTTCGACTGGCAGCATTAAGGGGCCAGTTATACATATAAAAGGTTGTTTATTGAAAGTATACATATATATTTATAGCTGATAAAAAAAATACAAATACAAAATTGTATAACTTAAAAAGAGAACATTGTATATAAAATTAGTGGAGTAAGATGTAACAACCTCTTAAAGAATGTAAAAAAATAATTCTTTACTTCAATCAAAAAAAAAAACGAAAGATTTCATTTTGGCAAGAAAGAGAAGAGAGAAATCGAAGAGGAAATTGATCAACATATTAGAAAATGATTTCTTTACTCCCTGTGGCAAACTAGTTGCGATAAAAATTCGACCAAGGTTCTCGTCGGTCTTCCAGACATGCCTTTCCTCAAATACGGCTCATCGTAACCGTTAGCTTTCATAACACCAAACGTATCCAAGTGAAGCCAATCTCCGCACGGTACAAACTCGTGCAAAAACGCAGCCACTTTGCATGATAAGCTGCCTTGGCAACGTTCGCAATTACCTCTCCCAATTGTTTGAACGTCACAGTTTTCATGGTCAACTATTAGCTTGGTGAAATGTTCCCATAACGGAAATCTCCAAACTCTATCACCCGTATGCATCGATGCAGCTAACATATACTCCCAAAGAGCTTCTGAATTACTATAGACACCACTCGCAGCGCAACCCAACGCAGTTCTCATATCATAAGTCATCGTACCAATATCCACAATAAATCTTGGCCAAAAGTTTTGAGCGTAAACCAAAGCATCAGCTAAAGCTAACCTTCCAGCGCAATCAGTTGTTTGGATTTCAATGCTTTTTCCGTTCATTGCTTTTACTATATCACCACATCTCATGGCTGCGCAACCCGGCATGTTTTCACAAAGTGGAATTAATCCTCGAATATTTAATGGTAGTTGCAAACCGGCAACGGCTCTGCACGCGGCAACTACACAAGCTGCACCAGACATATCACCTCTCATCTTTTTTTGATCAAAACATTTTTTAAAACATAATCCGCCGCTGTTATAGGTGATACCTTTCCCAATTAAAACAACCGGACGTTCATCACGCGATACTCCATAATAACTCAATTCCAAAAAGATCGGCGGTTCGCAAGATCCTTGCGCGGCCGCCAAAAACGCGTGCATTCGTTGGGTTTCAGCCCATCCTTTAACTTTAACCTCGACGTTAACGCCCGATTTACATAGCACTTCAACAGCGTTTTGCGCAAACGATGTCGGAGTCATTAAGTTGGCAGAAGTATCCATTAGTTGTCTCGATAGATTTTGTGCGGCAGCTTTTTGCAAACCAATTTGCCAACCGGTCCAATCGCAATCGTCGTATAATTCTAGTTGCGGAATGTGTTTTTGATGTCTACGATCTTTCTTTTCTTGATATAGCCAAACTCCCAAAGCTGCACCTTCAGCCGCTGATTCAGCATGCCCGAAACTTTCAACGTAGCATTTTTCAGCTTTTAGTTTTTGTATGTTTCTGCTACCAACTGCCGCTGCAATTCTAATAGCTTCTTTACCTTCATCCATCTGTTCGAAAACGTCATATCCTTGACATTCCCTACCTAATCCGACGAGGCATACCGAAGCAAACTCCTGGTCGAGGTTATAAAAGATTCTTTCTTCTCCAAGTTTCGGAGGAGGACCAGATACCTTTAATGTTAATGATTAAATTTAATTTGATTGAATTAAATGATTTTTTACCCTCAGCAACTCTATAAGTCGATTGCAAACTAATCTATTGTAACGTTCTGCGGTTGGAGTAAATTTGCCAGAATCGTCGATCACATCTGGGTCGGTGTAGATGCCGATTACAAGTGATTTTTTGTTCTTCTCTTTACATGGATCTCCGTCGACTGGAGGTCCGTGACAATGGCTGGAAAGGCCCTGGACTCTGGTAATCAGTCCTCTGTAGTTAGGCCTAATCACGCGCCTACACAACAAACTGGTTGCCATATTATTTCAGATTTAGACCCAGTTTATTATTATTTATTGGTTCACGAGTAATTTCCTTTTCTATTGGTATTCACTCACAATTTTAACGGGCATACTTTTCTGCGTCTGTAAAACGATCAAAAAAACTTGAAATTAGGGATTGCTGTTGACATCGCATCCAATGTTCGAATGTTATTTATCACAGCACCCTTTTGAATTATTATTTCCGTAATACCTTTGATCTTTTTAAATAGATGTTTGTTTGGTTGCCTAACCTTTTTTTTTACAAAAATAATTAATATTTCTTTTTATTAATTATTAACTGACTCTAAAACAATTAATAATCACTGGTATCAGAGCTTTAATTTACAAAAATAGATAAATAAAAATTTACAATAGGTTGTGTATAAATAAAAAAAATCTCAAAAATTTAATGTCAAAGAAATGTACGTTTGGTTGCATAAAAGCAACTATATCAATAAATGAGATGAACACCAATGTGCTCGTGTATGTATTCGATGTATACTATCTACTCGATGTATATATATACTATATGTAGACATAAAAAACTGTGAAGATCTTTTATATCGCGAAGCATCACTAAATTGATTTGTTACTGCTATTCTTAATCACTAGATGTCACTAGGGGTTTTTAGAATTTGATGGATATTTCTATATCTATAAACAAGGATTATATATTTATTTATTATCAATAATATATTTATTGTCATATATACATCATTAAGTAATATACAACAAAATTATATTAAATTTAAATATCGAATAAGATTCAAATTCGCCGTTGTAATGGTGTCGCCACCCAATGGTGCTAATCAGAACTATATATTGTATAATGTACCCCAAATAAATAATAATTTAAAATGTTTCTTTAAATAAAGACATTTTATTATCACTAATAATTAATTATTAACAAAAAAAGAATGAAAATTAACTAATCTCTTTTTTTTGCACTAATTGCATTTCGACTTGCATGAGCTTGTTTGGTTGGATCATATTTAAATGTTTTTACCAAAGGACCTTTTCCTGCCCTTTGAAATTGTAATTCATCGACTCGTGCCCTTTCTTCAATTTCTTTACTGATTTTAATATTTGTCCAAGCTGAAAAAATAAAATTAAAACAAACGTAATTTAACTAATTTTGACTAACAATCTTTAACTCCTTCAACAAATCCTTTTGGCTTAACAGGTAAATTAGCTGGATTGTGTTTAATCATTGGATCAATTTTAAAGTATTCTCTCACTCTTGGTATTCTTAAAAATCCAACTTGTCCCAAAGAAATAAAATTACTGGCAACCCAATAACATAAAATAGCTCCTGGAAAATTGACTGTGAATGGTAAAATAATGAGTGGTAAAGCTCTAAGAACGTATTTCATCGTTTGGAGGTTTTGTGCTGATAATTTTGCAGAATCAGTTCCAAGCTAAAAAAGAAATCAAAATAAATTTGAGTTAAAAAAGATTTATTTACTTACTTCGATTGTTGCCCAAAGTGTTAAACTTGTAATAATAGGTAACGCCATAAATTGATCAGGAATTGTTAAATCACTAAACCAAAATAAACCCCCAGTCCTCATACTATCAACCGGGACATTAGCCATTTGTCTAAGCCCCATAAAAAACGAAACAAAAACGGGCATTTGAGCCAAAGGAACCAACATATTTTTGAAAGGATTAAAATTTTTTTCTTTCATAAAATTCATCAATTCCTGCGAATATCGCGCCATTTCTAAATGATTACCCATTTGTCGCGCTTCCGTCATTTTTAATTGTAAAACTTGCATTTGTGGCATATAATTATTCATTTTCGCCGCGTTTCTTTGAGCGATTATCACTAAAGGAAACATTAAGAATCTTATAATGATCGTTCCTATCACAATCGCTTCCCACCATGGTACCCCCAAAGTAACATGTAGATATTCAAAACAATTTTGAACCAATCCAACCGGCGTATTACCACCCAATCCTAAAGAGGCAAAGGTGGGTTCTCCAAGCGCGTTGGTTTGCGTTAATAAGGAGTCGGCTAAACCATCAGGAATTGGGGGAGGTTCAGGGAGGTTATCGATAGGTTTAGGAGCATCCGGTAATGAAGAAATTGGTGAATCTACTATTGTTAATCCAGCAGCTCCTAACACGGCGGTCGATTTTAATTTATTTACTGTGGAATTATTTAAAGATGTTTTGTTTTCCGTGTTCTTGTCAAGTAAATTATGTATAAATTTGCTGTATTTATTTAATTGATTCGATAACTAAAATTTTAAATAATTAAAACTACGTAATTTGGATGCAAAAACATAACCTCTACCTCTAAATTTTTGGGAACTTCCTTAGATTTTATCGTATTAAAAAGATGTTGTATACGATGTGAAATTGGTGGTTTCTTATCCGCTGCGTGTTTCTGTTGGGATTAAAATATTTATTTTAAATTGGTTTAAGAAACGTGATATAACCTCAAAAAAAAAAATAACCGGATTTTTTTATTGAAAGAGAATTTCAAAGTACTTGCCTTAATCATTTGTAATGTTTTCGAAAACGTTTTGTATTTCATCGTTAAATTGGAACCGTTAAACATTTTTGTTATATTTTTAAAAGATATAGTGTTTATATCTTTTTTATTGAGGTTAAGATTACTTGAAGATAGGCAACCAATTTAACGATTTTCGTAATTATGAAAATAATTAAAAATATGTATTGTTTTAATTAAGTTTTATTATTATTATTTTTTATTTAATTGAAATAATTAATGATTTAAATGATGATTTTATTATAATAGGATATCACACAATGAAGATAAGTTTTAATTTTAGTTGTATTTCTTTCAATAATCTAAATATTTTAAATTATTTACTACTAATTTCATTATACAACCGTTATTTACTTGCCCGATAAAGAACGTTAGTAAATATAAGTAATAATGGTTTTTCTTTTGATAATTTAAATCATTGCAATCAGGACAAATAGTTAATGTTTAAAATTTGCTTCGGATTTTCTGCAGTATTTAAATCTGATTAATTTAATATAATTTTGATATATATTACTAATGGTGTATATATGACAAAAAAAATATTATTAATAATAAATAAATATGTAATTTTGATTTTTTGAAGGACATAGTAACATCTAATGGTTAATATTAGCACTGATTAGCACCACAAAATGAGTAACTTGTCAATACATTTGAATAATTAAATTGTTGAATTTTGTGTTATATCCTGCTTGAATGTAAAGATGCCTGCAATAAACACAATTATAGTCTAGTTAAGATGGAAATAAAACTAAAACGAATAATTTGGGGGTTATAACACTCCTCAAGATGCTGTTTTTGCTACATATGTCCAAATAAGGTAAGTAAAATGGAAAGCTTTAAACAATTATTGTGACTTATGCGTTTTGTTTTAATTAAATCAACTAAATGAAACAAAATCAGTGTGTGAATTAATAATTTTAAAAAAAATAAAAAATTTTGACGTAACCTCAATCAGCATAAAAGTCATTTTTAAATTTGTACCAACATAAATTTGACTAAAAATGAAACTGAATAATTATTTTAATTAATTCATAAATATTTAATTATTAACTACTAATTTAATTATGCAAAACTTATCGCCTGGTAAAGAATGTTAATAAATGTAAGTAATAATGTTAGAAATAAAACTAAAAAGTTACGGATTATTTCGCTCGTCTCGAATTTTGACATAACCTCAATCTTCATAAGTAATTTTTAACTTTGTACCAACCTAAATTTGACTAAAAATTAATTTAACGATTTATTTTAATGAATTTCTAAATATTTTAAATTATTTACTACTAATTTAATTATACAAGCCTTATTTACTTGCCGCGTAAAGAACGTTAATAAATATAAGTAATAATGGTAGAAATAAAACTAAAACTAGAAATTTTGAGGTTAGTTACGCCGTGCGTCTCGACGACATTTTTAACTTTGTACCAACCTAAATTTGACTAAAAATTAATTTAGCGATTTATTTTAATTTATTGCTAAATATTTTAAATTATTTACTACTAATTTAATTATACGAGCCTCATTTACTTGCCGCGTAAAGAACGTTAATAAATATAAGTAATAATGGTAGAAATAAAACTAAAACTAGAAATTTTGAGGTTGAACCTCAAAATTGATAAATAGTTTTAGTTTTATTTCTTTTGATAATCTAAATTATTGCAATCAGGACAAATAGTTAATTGTGATTTAACATTAAATTGTCAAGAAAGTATGATTTCTAGTATCTTCTAATGAAAAGGTGAATTTCAAATAGAAACATTTATCGACAATGAAAAAGTAATAATTTTCATTTTATTTAACTTTTAAATTGTTTACTCTCTTATTTAATCAAATCTCCACAGGATAAGCTTTAGTTATATGTATTTAATACAAAAAGTAAATAATAAAACGCGTGTAAGTTTTAAATATAATTATAATTACATCTAACTAGCGCCATCTTTTGACCAGTGTCTTTTCAAACTTTTTCTAAGCTGTCAAATTGGTATAACTTTTTATTGGAATTATACATTAATTATAATAAAAAATATCTTTATTTAAAGAAAAATATACACATTTATTACATTTTACATTATAAATTAGTTTAAAAAAAAAATGGCTGAAAGTTGCAAAAAGTAAAAATGATTTTTTATTCTCCCAATGGTATAAAAGAGGGTAATTCACCCAAACTTTTTCTTTTATAAACAACATCGGAAGCATCCAAATCCACATCCCCGACTTCAACAACATTTTCAGCCTCTTTTAAAAGATCTTGATCGCCATCGGTATCAATAAAATATCTCACCACCCCTTTTCCTTTACAATCATTATCAACATCTTTTTCTTCAATTTCTCTTTTACATTTATTTTTAATTTTATCTATTTTCGCTTTAAGTACTTTTATGTTCTTTTTTGCAACTTTCGCCTTAAACGTGAATTTCCTTACCGAATTTCCGTGAGGATATTGGCAGTGTTTCTTGGGACATTTTCTGGTTTTTTCGAAATTTGGACACAAAAATTGGTGACGTTTATCGCACTGAAATTTTAGTAATAATAATTTAATTTTTTTTGAAAGAATTTTTTACCTCTTTAGCTTTTTTACAAAATCCTTCCAAAAAATCGTTACAAATATCAGCCTTAGGATTAATTTTTACGTGTAAATATGGGCAATCTTCTCGAGTACACAATCCTTCCAAATAATATTTACAAGTTGGCATTTTTTCGGGGGATACTTTATGTGATAATAAGCAATTCTTTTTTAAACAGGCTCCTTGTAAAAATCTGCATAAAAACATGATTAATAAAAATATAAATAAATTTTTGTATTTTTACTTGGTGCATAAATCAATTTGATGGGGATTATGCGCTCTAAAACATTTCCCTTTATCTTTTCCATAACATATACCAAATTTTCGATAAATTGGACATGGAATGTTACATTTTTTCATTTTACTCATAAAAATTTGTTTATTAAAGTTTCTTGTTTGACTAAAAAAAGTTTTTACCAATAAAAATTTTTTAAATTAAATCCTCTTTATATTTTACCTCAACAATAATTTTTTTTTATTTAAGCTCAATCGTTTACTCAAATCCAAACTTGTATTACTCAATTTATATATTCTTCCATTACGCTTAAAAACTTTTAATTTTTTCTTTGCAGGAGATTCACTCAAACTTAAATTAGCCTTTTTAAGTACATTTGGTGTTTTTTTATACAAAACCCCACTAATATTCACGAATTTATTACTCTTTTTAACCCCATCGCCCAAATTTGATAATTTATATCTTGTTCTTATAATCTTCTTTTTATCACCAACATCAACTCTTTTATCAATCTTATATTTGCTTTTAATTCCAATTTTTTTCCACTCATCTATTTTATGCGCTTGATGAACAATTTTATATTTCGTATGCAAAGATTTCCTACGTTCTTTTAAAGGACTCTTCACAGTTTTAACACTTAATTTCGCATCTTTATTTTCATTTAAATTAATTCCCAATCTTTCAACAGATAAAACTTTATTGTTATAATCATCATTCGAAATTGGTTTATTTTGCAATTTAATAATATTTGGATTGACATGTATCGTTCCTTTAAAATTCGGATTAATATGAACGGTTTTCTTGAAATTTGGATTCACCAAAACAACGCAGGGTTTCTGGAAGTTTTGATTCACATAAACGAACCGATTTGGCATCATCAATGACGAGTTATTGGAGATCGGATCTAAATGCATTAAAACAACATCAATCTTTTAACACATTAAAAGTTAAATAACTTACGGATTTGGCCGTAATTGGAATTGGAGTTATTATAATCCATTTTTCATTCAAGATTATTACAGAAATTAAGTTCCTTTTATTAGTATTTTTGACAGATGTTTTTGACAGAAACGAGGTTAGGATCGTTTTAAGGATGTCATAGTCAAAAAAATTTAATAAAAAATTAAATGATTACCATTTAAAATAATATTAATTGGGTTCTCCTTTTAAAATAATTATAATTTTTATAACGATTAATAAAATAAGTAAAAATCATTTCTTATTTAAAATAAAGCGAAAATAACTTGATTTGACTCCAATCGCATCAAGCGCCATCTACGTCCCCAAGCAAAACCGCCATCGACTTTCTTTCGCATTTCCGTTAAGCCATGGTGAGTGTTGTTCTTTTAATTTAAACTAATTCTTTATAAGTTATAAGTTATTTAAACATTATTTTTCTTAAATAACTTGTATTTTATAATTTCCTTTTAATGTTGTAACATTTGTATCAATTAAAAGGACTTTTTTTTTAATCTTGAATGTTTGTCCACATGGCGTTCATCGCCGAATTAATTAAGGATTTATTATGGTTTTTTAGCCTTTCAGGAGGTTCGTTGAGACGGGGCGTGTGGCCATGGTGGCCGATGGCCCCAAAAAAGGCAAGCTGGTGAGCATTGTGGATGTTATTGATCAAACCAGGGTAAGTTAAAAAAGTGAGGTTATGTGCCTTAATCTATTTATTTAGTTTTAAACGTGATGATCCTTGTATTTTGATAGGAATTGCCGACTGATTCATTAATGAAGCTAGTACAATTCACTGAAAGTTTATATTGATACATATTTTTTATTTAATTGTAAATTATTGGGACTAATTTATAATTTTTTTTAAGGTTTTGATTGATGGACCAACAAGTAATGTAGCTAGGACTCAAATGAGATTAAACCAGCTACATTTAACCAAATTTAGGATAAAATTCCCTTTCACAGCATCAACTCGTGTTGTTAGGAAATCTTGGAATGATGCTAAAATCGATGAGAAGTGGAACGAATCAGTTTGGGCACAAAAATTAGCTGCCAAAGAAAAGGTGATTAATTTAACTCGAGTATTTTAGCCCAAATTTAATTTAAATGATGATCCTTTTGTATTTGATAGGAATTGCCGGCTGATTGTAATGAAGCCAATTTTTAAATCTGATTATGTTTTAAAATTTATTAATTTATAAGTATTAGAGAATTTTTATTTAATTATTTTATCGTTGTTTTTAGCGCGCTGCCCTAACAGATTTCGATCGTTTCAAGTTGAGACGGGCTAGGACTCGTAGGAATAAAATCAGATCCATTACTTTTTATAATATGAAAATGACATCGTCTAGAAATGGTTCGCTTTTTGGTAAGAAGAAAATGGCTAAAGGCGGTGATAAGCCTAAAATCAAAAAAGCAGGGAAAAAAGAGGAGAAACCCAAGAAAAAATAACATAAATTTGTGTTAAGGACGAATATATAAGTTTATATTATAAAGTTGTGTTTTATTTTAAAGCTTAATTTCTAATTTTAATGAAAATATATTTAAATAACAATTTTTAATTAAAAAGTTTTTGACAGTTTGACAATTAAAAATCATAACCTCAAAATTTGACAGTTCTCAGTTTATTATTGTGCTTAATTAGTTATTATAAATAAATCAATAATATACATTACACAAGTTGAAGCAGGTAATAATTTAATTATAATTTCTTAAAAAAGAATAATTAAAGTTTTTGGAAATAAAAAATCCGGATTTTACAGACATTGACATCTAAAAAAAATCATAACCTCAAAATTTGACAGTTCTCAATTTATTATTTTGCTTAATTGTAAATTATCTATAAATTAATAATATAATTTACACAAGCCGAATCAGGTAATAATTGAATCATGAATTTAATTTCTTAAAAAGAATGATTGATAAAAATGTTTGAAAATTAAAAGATCCGGAATTTACCGACATTAACAAATAAAAAAAATCATAACCTCAAACTTTGACAGTTCTGAATTTATTATTTTGCTTAATTACAAATTATCAATAAATAAATCAATAATGTACATTATACAAGCCGAATCAGGTAATAATTCAATCATAATTTTAATTGCTTAAAAAGAATAATTATAATTTTATAAGGTCCCCAAGCGTTTTATGTTATGGAACAAAACAAAGAGTATGTAATAGGTCGAAAAGGATGCGAATTTCTGATTGAAAATGATTCCTCAGTAAGTAAGCGACATGCTACAATAACACTTAAAGATGATATCTTACAAATTGAGGATGTTGGTTCAAAATTTTCCACCTTCATTAACTCATTCAAAATAGAGGAAAATCATACTGAAACATTACGAGAAAATGATGTCGTTAGATTTGGAATGTTAAATTCATATTATAAGTAATCATTTTGTTTTATAAAATGTAATAAGAGTTAATCAATTTTTTTTAGAGTTATAAAGAAGAATTTAGTTGTTTTATGTTCTGGGTTAACACCACCAAATAAAACTAAGCTTAAACAAATGTTAGAAACTCTAAATGGTAAATTAGTGAAAGAATGGGATGAAGAACTTAATTATTTAACTGTTGATAAAATTGTTTTAACCTCAAAAGTAATTCAAGCAATAATCGAAGGTTTACCAATAGTTTCCTTAGGATATTTCGAACAACTTCAAAATTGTATCAAAAATAACCAAATCCCACCAAATGAAAAAGAATATTTGCCAAAACCATCAACTATTTTGCTAAAAAATTTAAATTTCGATTACAACCCAGAAAGAAAAAGTTTATTTAAAAACAAAGTATTCGTTTTTAAAAGAAAATCGAATCTAGACGACATTATTAATCGTTGCGGGGGTAAATCAATTATATATAATGAAGAAACTATAACTAAAGAGTCTCTCGAACAATGCAATCCACAATACATTTTAATTTCTGATGAAGTTTTCGATCCAAAATCAAAACATCCATTCGATAAGTTAATTTACCTATTAATTCAACTTAAAAAACGGGCGATTCCACAACAAGAAATTCCTTTAGCAATTATGAAATGTTGTATTAAAACAAATTGTAACCCCGATTTTGACCGGGTTGGAAATTTATTAAAAGAAAGTGATAACTCCCTAAAACCTAACCTTTTAGTAGCTGAAACTGAGTCGAAATTTACCGAAGTTGATGTTGGATCAGCGAAAATTGTTCCAGAAACGTTTCAATCTCAATTTATAAACGATGACGTTGAAGATATTCTTAAACCATCAGAATCAGAACGGTTTAAACGTTTATCCCAGGATGATATTAAAAGTGACAATATAAAGAAACCACGAATTTCGCATAATATTTTTACATCTACTCAAATTGAAGAGGATAAAATTGTTTTATCAGAGCAATCTTCGAACACATTATCTCAAATGTTTAAAAGAAAAACTCCTGATGTTGATAATAAAAGCCTAGAAATTACAAAAAAGCAAAAAATTTTAAATCCTTTTGGGTTAATTTCTTCAAATAATACATCTATATCATCGTCTTTAAAAACTCAATTAAACGTTTCAAAGAAAAATTCTTTATTTAATCCATTTGCTACAGCAACTATTAAAGAAGAACCACAAGCATCGACAAGTAATAATAATAACACTGAGGTTGATGGAAATGTCGTAATAAAAGATGAAAATTGCGGTTTAGATCGATATCAAACAGAATTTCTTTGGAAAACAATCAACGAAAATGATGATGGGGAAATTTGTATGAAAACGAAAGATTTGGGTATAAATAAACTTATGGAATCTTTTAAAGATTGCGTCGTTGTTAAGAAGGTTCCTTTGGTGGTTAGGGATACGAGCGCGTTGGGAAGTATTAGTTTTAATGAATCTGGAAAGCCGAATTTTAAAAGGTTCAAGAAATTAAATCCTTTACACGTTCAGACATCTGTCATTAAAAATTTTAAAACCTACGTATGTTGCGTTGATGGTTCTTAGTAATTTAAGTTAATAATTAATTTATGTTGTTCTGTGTTTATTATTTTCATTTTATAAAGATTTTCTTATCTTAATTATTTGATTTTAATCCTTTTATGTCAGCTGTCATTCCCAAAAATTTCGAGGTTAGAATCTTTTTTTTGTAATTAAAAATAATTAAATAAAGTGGAAATTATTTTTCGATGGATTTTGATTTCAATAAATAAAGAAAGTTTTCTTTCAAAAAGTAATAAAGTTATTATTTAATTAAGATTAAAAATAATCCAATTTTAATAATAATGTCTTTCATGGCATCTGTCATTTCCAAAAATTTCGAGGTTAGAATCTTTTTTGTGATTAAAAATAATTAAATAAAGTGGAAATTATTTTTCGATGGATTTCGATTTCAATAAATAAAGTTTTCTTACAAAAAATTAATAAAGTTATCATTTAATTCAGATTAAAAATAATTCAATTTTAATAATTATTTAGATGTCTTTTATGTCATCTGTCATTTCCAAAAATTTCGAGGTTAGAACTTTTTTTTTAATTAAAAATATTTAAATAAAGTGGAAATTATTTTTCGACGCATTTTGATTTCAATAAATAAAGAAAGTTTTCTTACAAAAAATTAATAAAGTTATCATTTAATTAAGATTAAAAATAATTTAATTCTAATAATTATTTGTCTTTTGTCATCTGTCATTTCAAAAAATTTCGAGGTTAGAATCTTATTTGTAATTAAAAATATTTAAATAAAGTGGAAATTATTTTTCGATGTATTTTGATTTCAATAAATAAAAAAGTTTTCTTACAAAAAGTAATAAAGTTATCATTTAATTAAGATTAAAAATAATTCAATTTTAATAATAATTAATGTCTTTTATGTCATCTGTCATTTCCAAAAATTTCGAGGTTAGTATTTTTTTAATTAAAAATATTTAAATAAAGTGGAAATTATTTTTCGATGTCATCCATAAATTTCGAGGTTAGAATCCTTTTTTGTAATTAAATATAATTATATAATTAAATAAAGTGGAAATTATTTTTCGATGCATTTTGATTTCAATCAATAAAGAAAGTTTTCTTACCAAAAGTAATAAAGTTATCATTTAATTAAGATTAAAAATAATTCAATTCTAATAATTATTTGTCTTTTATGTCATCTGTCATTTCAAAAAATTTCGAGGTTAGAATCTTTTTTTTGTAATTAAAAATAATTAAATAAAGTGGAAATTATTTTTCGATGTCATCCAAAAATTTCGAGGTTAGAATCCTTTTTTGTAATTAAATATAATTATATAATTAAATAAAGTGGAAATTATTTTTCGATGGATTTTGATTTCAACCAATAAAGAAAGTTTTTTTACAAAAAGTAATAAAGTTATCATTTAATTAAGATTAAAAATAATTTAATTCTAATAATTATTTATGTCATCTGTCATTTCCAAAAATTTCGAGGTTAGTATCTCGAATTTTGTAATTAAAAATAAATAAAGAAGAAATTATTTTTCGATGGATTTTGATTTCAATAAATAAAGAAAGTTTTCTTACAAAAAATTAATAAAGTTATCATTTAATTAAGAGTAAAAATAATTCAATTCTAATAATTATTTAGATGTCTTTTATGTCATCTGTCATTTCCTAAAATTTCGAGGTTAGAACTTTTTTTTTTAATTAAAAATATTTAATGCGATGCATTTTGATTTCAATAAATAAAGTTTTCTTACAAAAAATTAATAAAGTTATCATTTAATTAAGATTAAATATAATTCAATTCTAATAATTATTTGTCTTTTATGTCATCTGTCACTTCCAAAAATTTCGAGGTTAGAATCTTTTTTTGTGATTAAAAATAATTAAATAAAGTGGAAATTACTTTTCAATGCATTTTGATTTCAATAAATAAAGAAAGTTTTCTTACAAAAAGTTATCATTTCATTAAGATGTAAAGTAATTTAATTAGGATATGCAACGTGTTAAAATATACATAGTTGCATTTTAGGTTGCCTACATTTTTAAATAAATAATTTTAAAAATATTTTAAATTACATTTATTATTAAATACCCCATTGTAATGAATACAAAATACACAAAAATAATACATTGTATTTTTTCCAGACATCTCAATATACACGGTTTGAGTTACACAAATTTATTATTTAGTTTATTATTATTAACTCATAGTTTCCCTTTCATTCTGTTTTCTTTGGTTCCTTAGCTCCAGTCTAAAAAGAACGAAATACTCAATTACATTAAAATAAATATTATTAAATTTACCTCTAAAAATTTCTTCCTTTTTAAAATAACTTGACTCATAAGTTTATACCGTTGCTTCACTCTCTCTTTAAATTTACTTGGAATGACCAACGTGGTAGTTGTCGCATTACCAATAAACAGAACCAAAAACATCCAGCTGAGTACTTTAATATGCCAAGTTGCGCTTGGGTAAAAACTCAATTGATATAAAACGTAAGCGTTATATAATTGGAAAATATAGCCGACAAATAAAAATGGAATGAGAAAGCTTAACCCGCGTGACATCCACGAATGGAAACCTTCTATTGTTATATCCATATTGTGACGCTCCCCAAGCGCTTTTAGGCGATATAATTGGCCCCTTTGGTAAATAAATTGTAAATATTGAACAACACCTACAAAAAAAATTAAATAACATATTCAAAATGATTTAAATTAATTGATTTTACTTAAATAAACGTTGAACCACATAAATTGGTTTCTAAATTCAAGCCAAGTCGTTTGATCAGGCCAAATTAACAGAATTGCAGCTGCTACCGTCGATATAAAATGATGCAGTCTCCACCAACCTTTAATTTTTGAACCATTTACTTTTAGAATACTTTCTCTTATTGTTAAGGTGCAATAATACCAAACCAGTAAGAAAATATTACATAATTCTAAAGCCCTGTAATGTTAGATGAATCAAAATTTTTGTGTCATAAAAACGAGATAATTTAACTTACCTAAATCTAACACATAAATTAAGGATAGCAAATATGAATCCTATTATACTTAAAACCAATTTGAACTTTTCGTAATCATCTTTATATTTAAACCTAAAAAAATTTTAAAAATTAATTTGACATTTTTTTTTAGGTTATGTTTGATTTTTTTTTAAGTAATTTTTGTTGTATTTGAGATAAAAGAATTAATCATTTTTGGAGTGATTAATCTTGATATGTAACAATTAATTTTCAATTTAAAAAACCTAAATAGACAATCCTAATTCTATAATTTTGATAAGATTTTTTGTTAATTTTTTTGAGGTTATAATTTTTTTTATAAATTTGTGGGGCACTTTGAAATAACCTTGTTATTAATCTTTTTAATTCTTAACCTTATCAAAACTCTTTTTATTTCTTAACTCTTCTCATTTGAGAGTTTTAAGGATTAATTATTCCAAATTTTAATTCCGTTTTAGAAAAAAATTAAATTACTTTGCCTCCTTGTTTAAAATCGAAACATTCACATTTCCTAAAATAATCCTTAAATAAACTCCATTTTTCTTGGGTAAGGTTTGTTCAATTTCTTCCAAATGAGCTGTTCTTTTCAAAATTTTATTTTCCAATTCTTCAACTTGCCCTTTATCATGGTCGTTCTTTTTTAACCTAAAAAATCGAATAAAATCAAAATATAAAAATATCCTTTTTGATTAACTAACTCCTTTAAATTTCTGGAAATAATTCCTAATCGGTACTTTTGCTTCCCAACGTGTTCGATACATTTCTTTTGAACCTTATCGACTTCATCTAATTTCTCCAAATAAGTTCTATTCGAAGTCTGTAAGAAATCAATTTCAAAACATTAAAAATTCAAAAGGAAACCTGTTAACCTAACCTCTAATTCCTTAAAATCCTCCGTTAATTCTTTCCAATCGTCAAAAATCGACGTTGGACTCGCACACATCTTGAATTTGACTAGAACTATTATCAAAGTGGGCCCCAAACTATATTTTTCGCTGCACTTAACGAGTTTTTAATCCACTGTGACCGACGACCGCCGATCGAAGTGGAAGTAACACGTAATCCACTTTTTATACCATTATTAAGCTACCTATCTGTATTTTTTTCAATACGAGTTATGATATCGGAGGATTTTTTAGATTTTCAGATTGATAACACGCAACACGGTTGATTAACACAGTCAATGACCTTGAACCTTCAAAACACAAAGGGCATACGAGTTTTTTTTTTATTGGCGCCAAAATCTAAAATTTAAAAATTTACTCACTTTTTAATAATACGATAATAATTGTGATTTAATTTGTTTTCGATTTTATCGAAACGAAAATTGTTGAAGAGAAATAATTTAAAAATTTAAATAAAACGATAATCCTTGAATATAAAAATTGACAAGATCAAGGTTGCAATAAATTAAACATAGATGTCATAGAATGACTCATTTATTTATTAATTTTTTAATTATGCTTTATTAATTTGTGTTATTTTAAAGCGGGAAAATCTAAATGTTTAAATTTAATTAATAAAACGATTTAATAAATTAGTAATGAAATTCTATTAATGAATAAAGAAACTAAAAGTTACTACTGTTCTGTGAAGTTAGGAATTAAGCTCTAACGAATTACAGAAAAAAAATTATTTTAAAGCAAAAAAAGAGTCTTGGAGGAGTTTCTGTGAGGAAGTAAAAGACACACCCAGCAATGCAAGAAATCACAAGATTCTCGGTAAAGATTTTTTCATTATAATACTAATACTGTGATATTGGTTGCATACTTGCAATGATGACGTCGGGTACGATAATTAATTAACACACTGTATGTATTGGGACATTTTACACAATAAACTAGTCGGAGACAAACTAGTCTTCATAATCCGCCCAACTATCCAAGGTGAAGAAATTCCTTTCTCAAAGGAAGTCAAATATCTAAGAATAATAATAGACAAAACCCTCTCATGGAATGGAGATCACATTATTGGCCCAATCTTTATAGACGCCAGTTTGACAGGAGAACAATATCTTGAAATATTTTAAGACTTTGTGTACTCTAATTGACATTGCTAAGAACGTTGAAAGATACTCGGAACAACATTTATTTTTCCAATAAGATGGTGTTCCACCATATTATGTCGTTGCTGTAAGGGAGTTTTTGATAAAAACTTTCTTGGTCAATGGATAGGTTGAAGAGGTGCTGTAGAATGGCTGCCCAACCCAACCCAACCCAACCAGATCTCCAGACCTCTCCCCTTTAGATTTTTGGAAGAGTTACGCCAGCGCATTATTGATGAATGCAGAACAATAACTCCTGAAATGCTAAAAAATTTTAGGAAAAAATTTGAATAAAACTTATATACTTGTATGGATGTTGGTGGTGCTAACTTTGAACATTTATTGGGTTAAGCTTTTTCTTAAGGGTTAAGAATTTTTTCTTTTCTTAATGAATAACATGTTTGTTTTTAATTTTTCTTACTGGAAATATGTCTTATGTTAAGTGACATTGAGGTTGTTAAATCGTTCTAACTAACAATCTTTTTTGTATTGTATCAATAAAAACAAGACCTATTAAATGATGTATGTTTGGGGTATAATTTTTGAGTCAAAAGTTGTCTTCCTGAGAAACAAACTTGACATCTTTCAGTTTTTTTTTTCGACCAGTTAAGTATGCCCCACCTGTATAATTTATGTATGTAAAATGTAACTAAAAGTTTTTGGCGGGAAATTCTCCGATTTAAATTTTATTTTCTAATTCTAAATTTGTACTAATAATTAATTAACAATGTTTTTATTTTTATGTTTTCTTTAAATGTTTATTCTTATTTTAAAAAATGTTTTAACGAAATACACAAAAATAAAAAAAAAATAATAAAAGATTTAATTCTTAGATAAAAACATATTGATAATCGGTTATTACCACCCAATAAAATAAATAATTTATGATTGTTTACAAAAATAACAAAGTATGGTTATTAATAGTCCAAAAATTATTAACGGAAAATAAATTCCTGTACGTCCTAAAAGCTGAAAATAATCTGGAACGTTCACGTTAGCGCCAGTGTAAACGCTATAAATGGTGTGTGAAGAGGATTTTTATTTTTAGCATTAATTAAAAGTGTAACCTGTGAGTTTGGATGGTTTTTCGTTGATGAAATTTGAAAATCGCGGTTAAAGTTTAGTGCGGGATTTTGATAAAGTCGCAAACTTCACGTTGGTAACAAATTGATGCGAGATAAGGCGATTTTACACTGTTGTGTTTTGCTAGTTTTCTAGACATTTCGAAGATTTATTTAATTAACTTTCGCTTAATGAGTTTTTAGTGTTGGTGCGGCTGTGGCTTAGCGTATTCATGTTACAAATTTGGACAACGTAAGTGTGCAGTAGATGTGGGAATATTATGAAGGCGAACTGACAAAAAATCTTTCACAGACATGGCTGCAAGTAGAAAATTACAAGGTGAGTTACGCGAAACGCTCGTTTTCTAACTAAAAACCGTTACTTTACGTCACCCAACATTAATTAAAATACGACTCAAACAAATATGTGTCCACGTTTTCCCAAAAAAACCACCGTATCCTTTTACGACCCATATTTTTTTTATTTTACAGGTTTTTTTCTCGAATCCATCTATGTTTCACTTTGTTCCTGTAAACTAACGGTACTTTGCAACACAACGCGATTTAGTTAAAGCGCGCAACGTTTTTACACCTAACCTAATTCAGCAGCAACAAATAAAAACTAAAACTTGTTGAGGTTAATGTCAACAACTTCCAAGCTTGGCCTTCAACTAATAACCTTAAAAATCATTCCTTTTAATACCCATCTATCCAGTAGGACTATTTTAAATTCACTTAATTTAAATCTAATTTATTATTTCCTTTTTAATTTTAAATTTCAGGAGAGATCGACCGTTGTTTGAAAAAGGTTACCGAGGGCGTTGAAACTTTCCACGATATTTGGCAAAAGGTGCAGAATGCCACTAATGCTAACCAAAAGGAGAAATATGAGGCTGACCTTAAGAAGGAGATCAAGAAGCTTCAGAGGCTTCGTGACCAGATCAAGAGCTGGATCGCCTCTGCCGAAATCAAAGACAAAAGTCTTCTTATGGATAATAGGAAACTTATAGAACAGGTACAAATTAAAAAAATAATTAACTTTGATTATTATCTAACCTCAATCTTAACAAATGTCATATAAAACTGTCATGTAACATAAAAAGTGAGGTTAGATTTTGTTTAAAATGTCAAATTATAAAAAAAATCGCTATTTTCAGATTTTTATCATCATTTTCTAGTTTTAATTTAAAAAATAATCTATAAAATCGTTTAATTTTAATAATAAATTTAGCAAATGGAAAAGTTTAAAGTGGTAGAACGTGAAACGAAAACGAAAGCGTACTCAAAAGAAGGACTCGGAGCTGCACAAAAGCTGGACCCTGTGCAAAAAGAACGGGACGAGATACAAAAGTGGCTTAAAGATTCGATAAGTACTTTAAGTTCTCAAGTATGGCATTCCAAATTTTTTGTTTGTATTATTTTCATTTAATTAATTTTTTTTAGTGTGATACATTAGAATGTGAAATAGAGTCGATATTAGCAAATAAGAAAAAGAAACTAGATAAGGACAAACAGGAGCGGGTTGATGTGAATAAGAACCGGCTAGAGCGGCATCGGTTTCATATAAAAAAATTGGAAACGTTGCTGCGAATGTTAGACAACATGTCTGTGGAGGTTCCACAAATCAAAGCGATAAAAGAGGATGTTGATTTCTATTTGGAATCGTCGCAAGAAATTGATTTTGAAGAGAACGAGTACATTTATGATGATATCGTTGGTTTGGACGACGTCGAACTTTCCGGCGTTGGACTTCCTTCGTCAGCGACGACGGACAGCAACGAGACGGGCGGCACACCGACGTCCATCATTTCCGGTTCGTCGCCGATTCCATCACCTTCGTTAAGCATACCATTGCATAATCATTCCAGTGATAGTTTGAATGAAGACAAAAAAAATGCCTATAATAAGGTAATTTTTTTAGAAGTTGTTTATGAGGTGAAATTCTTTTTTTTTCTTTATTTCTGGTGATTTTGTGTAGCCCATTAAACCGATGGCGGTGCGTGCATCAAGTACAACAATGAATAGCAGTTCAAATTCCCTGTTGAACTCAAGTGTAAACAGTACGATATCAACGCCAAACAACAAAGTGAACCTTGTGAGCAGTACACCAAGCAAACAAACGGCGAGGGAAATTACTAATCCATCACCCGTTTGTCCCGTTTCAACGGCGGGAAATTTTGCTGCTGTTACGGCAAATAATCCATCTTCCAAATCTACCACAAGTAAGAATCATTCAATTAGTAATTAATTTTAGTTTGAATATTAAATACTAGATGGAGGCGTTTTTGAAATTTGACATAAAATTTGTTTTATTTAGTTAATTTAGTAAAATTGTTTTAAGTTTCGTTTGCAAATTTTATTAGTGCATAAAATTGAGAGGAAATTGACCCTAATTTTAGCCCAATTAATTTAAAATATTAATAATTTACATCTTTTTTAAACAATCGTTGCCGCCATCTAGCAGTAACCACTCGTATTAAACCGTATTTTTAAGATTTCAACAAATTTAAAATAAATTTTAAAGTTAATTTTCAAAAATGTGTTACTGGACCCAAAACACTTATCAAAATATGTTTTAGATACGCAAATTATTTATTTCAAATGGATTTTATACTCCACATAAAGATTTTCTTTTCCAAATTAAGTCTTCTTAGAAAACATAACCTAAGTTTTAATCCCAACTAAAATTTATGGGTAATTGGACTGTCAGTACTGTCATTGTTTACATCAAAACAATTTTATTTAACAAATAGCTCATTTTATAAAAACACCAGAATTACTAAATGAAATTTTTTAATTTAAATCAAAAAATTTAATGTGTATTTAAATTAAAACTTAAAATTTGTATTTATCTTTATGTTTTTTAACTATTTAAATTCGCCCCATCTTGTGTTATCTTGTGCGTACTAAGTCGTATTTTTGACAGTTTAAAGTCACCGAATACATTTCTTCCTAAAATTTTACAATTTTTACGAAAAAGAAAGTTTAATGGAATCACAAAACACATCGAAACACGTTTTTGAACACGTAAATTATCTATTTAAAGTGATTGTAGGTTATAATCACAAACACTGAAGTGTTTTTCGGAAACATAACCTAACTTTTTATCCTGATGATTTAAAATTTTTGATTTCTTTCAAAAACACAGTAAGTCGATTGATTTTGCATCATTTAACAATTTGTTATTAATCTATAATTTTGTTAATTACAATTTTTTTATTAAAGCATATTTTAAACACTAAAGTACTTTCGGAACTAAGATTTATGGGTAATTCGACTGTCATTTGACGTAAACAATTTTATTTAATTAATAAATAAAACTCATTTTATGAAAAAAACAGAATTGATAAATAAAATTTTTTAATATAAATCAAAAATTTTAATCTTTATTTAAATTAAAACTTAAAATTTATATTTATCTTTGTTTTTTAACTATTTAAATTCGCCCCATCTAGTGTTATCCAAGCGTACTAAATCCTATTTTTGACAGTTTAAAGTCACCGTTTACATTTCTTCTTAAAATTTAACATTTTTTTTGAAAAAGAAAGTTTAATGGAATCACAAAACACATCGAAATACGTTTTTGAACGCCTAAATTATCTATTTAATGTGATTGTAGGTTATAATCACAAATATTGAAGTGTTTTTCGGAAACTTAACCTAACTTTTTATCAGGATGATTTAAAATTTTTGATTTCTTTCAAAAACACAGTAAGTCGATTGATTTTGCATCATTTAACAGTTTATTATTAATCTATAATTTTGTTAATTACAAATTTTTAATTAAAACATACTTTAAACACTAAAGTACTTTCGGAACTAAGATTTATGGGTAATTGGATTGTCATTTGACGTAAACAATTTTATTTAATTAATAAATAAAACTCATTTTATGAAAAAACGAATTAATAAACGAAATTTTTTAATATAAATATAAATGAAAAATTTTAATCTTTATTTAAATTAAAGCTTAAAATTTGTATTTATCTTTAAGTTTTTTAACTATTTAAATTCGCCCCATCTAGTGTTATCCAAGCGTACTAAATCCTATTTTTGACAGTTTAAAGTCACCGTTTACATTTCTTCCTAAAATTTAACATTTTTTTCGAAAAAGAAAGTTTAATGGAATCACAAAATACATCGAAATACGTTTTTGAACACCTAAATTATCTATTTAAAGTGATTGTAGGTTATAATCATAAACAGAGAAGTATTTTTCGGAAACATAACCTAACTTTTTTTTCAGTCCCTATTTTCTAGTAATAATCTTGTTAATGTAAGGACTTCTATATAAAATCATCTCTATTTCCTTAGTTATTCTTATATTTTTTCTTTTTTTTTGTAGTAAATGCTGAAAATGCTCCGGTATCTGTGATAGCGATCAACAACCAGGCGCAACAAGTGCCCCTTTCGACGGCGATAACAACGAATGCGATGACGGTGGCGGTAACGACGGTGCATCATCATCAACCGCCGACGCAGTTACTACAGCAGCCGACGTCGATTCAAATTCAAAACTCCAATAATACGAACGCGAAGATCTCAAACGCGATGGAACAACACCATCAACAGCCCAATAACTCAACCAATAATAGCAGTAACAACAGCAACAGTAATAACTGCTCGAGTCCGATCTCTTCAACGGTGAGCAGTCGGACATCACCGACGCTCAATAATACCATTGATGTCATTGTACCTAATATTACACAACCTATTATGAATGGTCCAGTTCTAGAGAATAAGGTACGTGTTGATTTAAAATGTGGTAATAAAAATAATTGTGATTTCTTATATTTTAGAATGATGGAATGTCTTCGTTAAAAAAGATAGCTCAACAAGTGTTAGATCGAGCTGGATTAGACAATGATCAACAAGCAGTACTGGAGGTAACAAACAAGACACAAAATTCTGGTAAATCAGAAGCACAAATACCACCGTTGTTGGGAGTGGCACCGTTAGGAGCGGTGCCATTGTTAAAAGAACACCAAGGGCAATTTCAAATGATGGAAGCGGCGTTCTACCATATGCCACATCCGTCTGATTCGGAGCGAGTTCGAACGTATCTGCCTCGGACACAGTTTTTGACACCGTCATATTACATTCAATCACCATTGCCACATTCGGATTCTCTCGAATTCTATCAACGTCTCGGTACGGAGACTTTATTTTTCGTGTTCTATTACATGGAGGGCACGAAGGCGCAGTACCTGGCGGCGAAGGCACTCAAGAAGCAGAGCTGGAGGTTTCACACCAAGTACATGATGTGGTTTCAGCGACACGAGGAGCCAAAAGTCATTAATGAAGAGTACGAACAGGTAAACAAATAAAAAAAAATGAGACGTGTGTTGAGTTGTTGTTGTTGTTGGGAGAGGTGAGATGATGGGGCTAAATGAGAGTTTTTTGGCGTAGGGCACGTACATTTACTTCGATTACGAAAAGTGGGGCCAACGCAAGAAGGAAGGTTTTACATTTGAATATAAGTACTTAGAAGATAGAGACTTGAACTGAGTAAAATATATTCTTGCAATATGTTTTCTTTATTTTCGATTTTTGAATAAGTGATAAACAAAACAAACCCAAATTGATTACTACGGACCGGGCGGCGAGAAAGTGAATAACCGAGATGTTTTTAAGAGGAATAAAAGTAATTGTGGAAAAAAATGTTGTGACCTTCTCACAAAAAAAATAAACAAAGCGCAGTTTTCATTGTTTGAAAAAAGAGGCGACGTTTCATCGTGAACTCGGCGTCTTTTTTTATTTTATAATGTACAAAAACAAGTTTAATTAATATATTATATATTGCTAGTATAAATTAATATGGGGAAGATTTATTTCCAATCATTATTATTAATTTATTTTATTTTTTTTTGTAGAAGTAGTCGGTTGTTTATTTTTTTTTAATCCTTTTCTAGCTTAACCCTACCATATTAAAAACAGACAACGTTTTATTACCTACTTATAGATTAAATTAAAAATTGGGACATACAAGGTAATTAAATAGTTGCATGAGTGAATTTATGCTACAATATAACAGGAAGGAAAATCGTTAGAGGAAAAGTGATGTTTCAGAAGTAAATAATAATAATAGAGAGATAACGGAATAATTTCTGAAGAAATTGTGGATACAATTATGATAATTAGATTATGTAGAATTTGACCCACCAAGGCCTAAATTGGAATGGGAGTATTAACAACGTCTGGAGAATAATTATGTGACCCCTTTATTAATCTATAAGTTTTTATTCTTCTAGATTCCTCTTTTAGAAGAGTCCAAGAGGCAAAATAATAATCCTAACCTCAATTTCTCCTTAACTCACAATAAGAAAAAGATGCCCATGTATAAACTATCTATATAGGGGATAGTTACCATGGTTACAGTGGTTTTAATTCTTGAACTGAAAGTAAAGATGTTTGGAAAGTAATTCTGTTTTTCCCTACAGAGGAGTTAATTGCTTTTGTGTATATTAGCTAACTTCACACTTAAGTTTCATATTTTGACAGCTGATATAGCAATGTTGTAATGTTCTTCTTAAAAATCTTCTTCCCACTTAATAGTGTCGCAAGTTTAACTAATGAAGTAGGTGTTTATTAAAAATCATCTTTCAAATAAAACGTTATTTTTTCTTCAAACGTACTAAATACATCAAATACTTATTTAATTTGAGTCCCTATTAAATCTTTTAAATGTCATTTTTGACAAGGTCGGTAAAGTAGTATTCTTCTTGTATATATTTACTTTATATCGGCCCAGGGCATAGTGATGGACTTATTGACCAAATAATAAATTAATAAATATACATTCATATATAAAAAACACTTGTTCTCAGTATCAAAATGTTTTATTTTACACATTCTGACACATGTTATCGTTTGAATAAAATTTAGAGAGAATTTAGATGTAAAAGTGTGCTAAGATGGAACATATTCTTGATAATGAGCAATAAATGCTCGAAACGTCGAAGAAAAAATTATGTTTTTAATTATATAAATAATAAAACATTTTGATACTGAGAAGAAGTGTTTTTTATATATGAATGAATAAGTCAAACCTCAGTAAAACAAGAATTTCTGTATTAATAAATATAATAAAATAAGCCATAAAATAAATGTTGTCTTTTTGAATAATGACATATAAAAGAAATATAATTCTCGGTTAACCTTGTCAATTATAACCAGAGCCCGGACAGTTTAGGAAAAGTGCGCCCCTCTACACGAAACGAATTCCATGACAACGACGTAGGTACGTTGTTGTCACTTTTGACATCCTTTAAGTTACTCTTCAAAATTGAATTTCGAAGAGCGATGAGCGTACCTTAGCGAAGAACTTGCTGTGCAACATTAATTAATGAATTAATAAAAATAATATAAAAATACGCACTGAATTATTCATTTTTGGTTTTATTAAATTTATAATTAATAAATTAATTTATAATTAAATTTATTTCGTGACATAAGGTATGACATATCCGACAGCTTCGCACGCTTCGATTGAATATTGAGACTGGAGTGGGAGGCGTTTTAGGATAATTTTCCTAAATAGTCCGGGCTCTGATTATAACCAACTTAACAGCAATTTGATAGGTATTATAAAAAAGACAGTGTGTAGCGAAAAAACTGTCATTTATGTTGTCATTTAATAACGTTCGATTAATATAATTTAGTTTAATTGGTGAAAAAGAATGTTTTGAAAGATAATTATTACCTACTTTACTGATTTAAAACTGAAAAACGTTTCAGATTTGAAATACATGTCAAATTGGAAAATCGGTAACAGTTGGCAAGATTGACAGGGAATTTTGTTATGTCATCGTTTTGTGTCAATTTGACGTTTGAACTTTAAAAAGAGAAAATAAAATAAAAGATAAAAGAAATATAATTCTCAGTTGATCTTGTCAATTATTACCAACTTAACAGCAATTTGACATTAACAGCAATCAGTGTGCAACGTGAAAAAATGTCATGTAAGTTGTTATTTAATGAGGTTCGATTAATATAATTTTCTTTTATTGGTGTTTTTGGATAAAAAAAATTTGTTGACTTGAAAATGAAAAAAGCTGGGAGAAAATGTTTTGGATGATAATTATTACCAATTTAACTGATTTAAAACTAAAAAACGTTTCAGATTTGAAATATTTAACAATAAAATTGTCTAACACAATCATAATATATGTCAAATTGGAAAATCGGTAACAGTTGGCAAGATTGACAGGGAATTTTGTAATAGCATCATTTTGTGTCAATTTGACGTTTGAACTTTAAAGACAAAATTGAAACATTCTAAATCTAAAAATTTTAAACCTCAACTACACTCAGTGGCATAAAAAACGCATCATCTAAAATGATGATCAGCTTCAAACTGTAATAGCTTTTGAACGTATTGCTCAATTTGAATAAAGTCTTTTATTTGAAAGATCTGAAAGAATGCTGCCGAAGAAGCAGCGTTACCCTTTAGAGCTATTAATAACAATAGAAACTTGAACAAAAAACAGAAGTGATCAGAACAGACGAGACTACAAGCTCCTTATGTTTAAAATTAATTTCTTTTGTTGGTGCACAGCAAGCTTCAAACTGTAGGTATTAGTCGTCATAGTTGAAAAAGAAGGGCGCCAAAATGGAGAAGGTACCTACAGAAATATTGGTAAAGGGTAGGTAGCCTTTTCAAATAAAAAAAATCTTATTCAAATTCAGCAATACATTGAAGTTATTGTAGTTTGAAACTGGTCATCATTTTAGGTGATGCTTTGATAGTTACTGATAATGTTAATTATCATCAATTACGATTTAACAGCTTGCTTTTTACCTTTTGGTTGTCAGTGGTTGTTGTTGAATTTGAAAAATAAAACAAAATTTGGTCATACAATAATATATTCTCCATTATAATATAATACGAAAAAAAAATACGGATAGTTTTTTTTTGAATATACAAAAAAGAAAATTATATACACAAATAATTATATAAAACGAAGAGAAATTCGTAATCGGAAACATAAAATGAATATTGAAACAAAGTGTTGAAATTTTATACAAAAAAGACTTTTAAGACTTTGTTACTATTATGATTACTTGATCACAAACTAAATGATACAAAATGAATCATTAAAAAAAAATGCGCAAAAATTCACCTAAAATAAAGTTTAATTAATTAATTTTTTTAATGATTCAACCTGCATGATTAATAATAAGTAGATAGAACCTAAATCGAATCTTACACGCGTCCTAAAAAATAAATTAAATTCCATTAAAAGAATACTTGATCTGAATACTCTGGGTTTCTAGTGGAAGATGCATCATTACATAGAAAAATCCTACATTTTCTTTATTATTATTATTATTAAAAAGCGAACACTATCAAAAAATTTCAAGTATCAAATTTGCCGTAAAAATCTTTTTTAAATTTTTTTTGAATCATTTTTGTTGAATTTTTTTGGCTACTAATACCTTACAAAATATATTAATATAAATATAATGTGTGATCCTCGGAAAGTACGGTATTAATCATTATAAGTACCGCGAGTTCAGACTTTTCGTGTATATGTGTAAATATGTAAACTTATTTCTTTCATTTTGGTCAACAGTCTTGTCTTGTGGAGTTTTTATCCTGCAGGTAACAATATAATATACCAGCCTGTGCCATTACATCCGCAGTACCCGTCACTAAAGCATCCTTATTCTTAGAACCATCCCCTTTTCCACCCGGATGTAACAAAGTTGGACCAAACACGGTTGCCAAATTATGTAAAGACATCTTATTCTCATTTTCATGTTGATTAATCCTTAAAATAAATTGCTTTTTATTTAATAACTTTAATTATGATTTTATTTACTTTATAAGATGGTCTAAAATGCATTTAATCGTTTCTTTATTTGGTCGTGGAAGGTCTTCAAATCGCTCCTTTAACAATTGAGTCCTCCTGCTCAAATTTTCATTGCATAAATTAAACGCTTCGATTAACGTCGGGTATAATTTGTCGGTAAATAAGGCTTCTGGAAGTTCGCGAAGGTACAATTTTAGAACACCTGTTACGGAATGTATATCGACTTCTTTTAAAAGTTGCTCAGCCTCGTACGAATCTAACAAAAATAATTAATCGCTAAATAAATTAAAACTTTATATACCCAAAATCGTACTGCTTTCAAACGATTTCTTCAACCTTTGCAAATCAGAAACTGAACCGGAAACGCGATAAATCCCAACTTCGCCCATTCCGCGTCGTTCAACTTCTCGAATACAAGCACACACAATAAAGGGAATATCTCTTTTTTGGCGCCTAAAAATTAAATTAATTAATCATTTCTTTCAAAACAAATTTATTTTTAATATCTAACCTACAAACTTGTTGGATTTTTTCCCCAAATAAAGCCCCAGTTTTTCCAGTGGGCACTCTCCTCAAACTAACTTCATACGGAGTAAAACGTAACGTTACTTTTAACTCGCACTGATTAATTTTCATCCTCTTTTCAACCGGTTCCTGAGTAAGCCAATCGCGGCTTAATTGTTGTACTTGTTTCCCAAAAACGGTCGATTGAGGATCGGGGGAATCGATCGAATGCGAATACGGATTTTGTTCTTCGCGATAAACTAACAAACGCAAATTTTCGCATCCTTCAAGATCGATCACGAACGATTCGTTCCACGTGAACGTCCCGTTTAAATTCTTTTTAGTTTTCGTTTTGGCTTTACAGAAAAAATGCCCGTAGAAATCAACTTCTATGCAAATATACATGTCGGTACAATATTCGAGACCTTGCAAATCGTGTATAGTTACGTGAAGATCGCCCACTAATAAACTCTCATCGTGCCCGCTACGAAGAAGATACGAACCCATGTTGGGTATTAAATAATACCTGCAAGCTGAAATCCACGTTTGGAGTTCGAACGTGTTGAAAATTGTATTCGAAACGGGCGCTTGGCCGGTTTTTTTTAAGGTACGTATGCTTTCGATCCATTGCGAACGTTCGTATTCGGATGATAGGAAAAACGTGTACGTTTTTTGTATTTGTTTGTGTTTTAGTTTGAAGACGAGATTTGGGGAGACTAGAACCAATTGACTTTCTATGTCCAGGAGACGTTTTCGATGTTTTTCAGCACCACCTCGGCTTATACGGATTTTCTAAACAAAAAAAAATAATTTTAATAACAAAATAATGATTAATAAACAATAAAATTATTATAAATATAATAAATTAGCGCAATTTTAATTTAAAATGTCAAAATGACGTTAGATTAAACAAAAAATCACTAGAAGTGTCATAATTATTTTAGTGTTTGGGTTGGTAACAAATTTTTTTAAGTTTAATTCAATAATCAATACATATTACAAATTTAATTAATTAAACTCTTATTTAAAAATAAATTAAAAAGTTTTACTTCGTTGCAAATTCGAAATTAAAAATTAAAAACTGTTTTATGTATGACCTTGAAAACGTAAAATTTTGACTAACTATATATTGTTTGTTAAAGTGACAAAAGATGGCGTTATAAAAATTCGAGCCAAAATGGCGGGTTGACAACTTGTCACTGCATATCACCGCTTATTTACAAAAGTTGCACGTGTAATAATGCCGTCTTGTTGTCTTTCGAGTTGCAAAAATAGCAGTAAGAAGGACTTTTGACTCTTTAGAGTACCACGAGGGAAAAAAAAGATGGGAAATTTGGCGCAATTTTATCAACAGAGCGATCAGTCCTTTGTGAGGTTAGTTTATTGTTATTAAAAGATTAAAAAGTTTAATGAAACCATCGTGCCATTTTTTAAAATCCGGCCGAATAGCGGATAGTTATCAAATATCCGGCTTTGTCGGATATTAAAAATCTATTACTACAATTTAATAACTTCTCACTAACGCCATCTTTTACCCGCCGATCATTTCTATTGACAAGCACGTGTACTCGAAGGTTGTTATTAATATAAAAAGTATACAATAAATGTAATATACATATTACAAATTTAATTAACTGCTCTTATTTAAAATAAATAAAAAAAGTTACACTTTGAAGCGCAACTCCGAACTTAAAACCTGTTTGATGCATGACCTTGAATTTGTTGGATTGTCAAAAGATGGCGTCATAAAACAAGTTTGGATTAAAAAGAAAGTGGATGAATAATTATGGTAATATCACTAATTTAAACTTTATCTAGTTAACTAAAATCTTTCGTTATATGTTGTTAGATAATAAGAATGCGAAAAATCATTTTGATACACGTTGTGAATTAAAATGATTAGTGACAGTTAGAGATAAAAGTAAAATGTCAAAATGACGTTTAAAGTGTTTAACGCTGAATGAGAGTAAAATGAAAAATAAAACCTCAACATAAATATACATGGATCAACAATAGAGGCAGAAAGTCGATTATTAACTTTATATTAACGAACAAAGAAAATATTGGAACGGATCATGGAATGGTACTTTGTAAAAGAAATATAGATATAACCAAAAAACCAAAGTTAAGATAAAATACAACAAAAAAAAATTAATACGGAAAGCTTGGAAAATCCCACCACACAGGATTTATATCAGTGTAGATTACAATAGAATCTGTCAAATACACACTGATAATCAAACTGTAAATAATATGTGGAATTCAATTAAATTAAATATAGAAAGCGCAGCTGTGGATGCATGTGGTATCAGAAAATCGAAAAGAATGACGAGACCGACACATGCCCCCTGGTTTTTCATAAGAGATAAAGAAGATGGTTCAAACGAAAAAGAAAACCTTTTTAAAATACAAAAGCGCACCATCTGAAGAAGAACTGCAAAGATATATACAAATAAAATGAACCAAGAAATATGGAAACAAAAAGAAAGATATTGGGAAAAGTTCACAAAGGATATGTAGTATGCAAAAAACTAAAACGCTGCGAACTACAAGTTAAAGATTCTATAATAGAACAAGTTATGCATGTTAAATATCTAGGTGTAGAAATTACAAGTTATCGAGATCTATGTAAGGAAGCACAAGTACAGGGTGGTTCAAATTCGATGTCCGAATAGGCTAACTCGGAAACTACAAGAGTTAGAAAATAATAATATAGCCACTTTTTTACAGAGAATTTCATGACGTAGTCAAAAAAGATTTTTCGGTTTTAGATTTTGAAATATGACAATTTTCGTTTTTTTAAATGGAAACAACCACTGATTATTCGCTTATTAAATTCGTTATTTTTTTCTGATTACAAAAATATAGGGTTCGAAAGGTCTATTTCTTATTGTTTTAGAATAAAGCTAAAAATTTACTTTTCTTTTAGTGTCTTCCAAAAAATTAAATTTACAGTTTCCTGTAAATTACGGTACTATAATTAAAAATGAAAAAAAAAAACATATTTCTGATATTTGAAACAAATATATTTGTTGAACTATTTAATTTATATATGTAATTATGCAAAAGTTGAAATAGATTGCATTATTTCACATTTTTTATTAATATTTAATATTATTCTTAAATGACTTAATAAATTATTGATAGATGGCGCCATATGTTTTTTTTTAATTCAAATAAACAGCAACATTTGTATTCAAAAATTTTCTGAAGTGTCACTTTAAAAATCCTGTTTTTTAAGATGGATTACGAAAATTACGAAAAGTTTAACATATTAGAATGTTACATATTAGAAAATAAAGTAAATTTTATATCAATTTTTAGTAGAATAATTTTTAGTTATACTACCGTAATTTACAGGAAACTGTAAATTTAATTTTTTTGACGACACTAAAAAAAAAGTTTATCTTTAGCTTTATTTTAAAACAATAAGAAATAGACCTATCTAACCCCATATTTTTGTAATCAGAAAAAAATAACGAATTTAATAAGCGAATAATCAGCGATTGTTTACATTTAAAAAAACGAAAATTGTCATATCTCAAAATCTAAAACAGAAAAATTTTTTCTGACTACGCCATCAAATTCTCTGTAAAAAAGTGTCCATATAATCTTAGTTATAACACTCCACCTATAATAATAATCAAGATAGTTGCACTTGCTGGTTTTACGATATTTTCAATTTTGACCTCTAGGGAAAAAACAAAAGACGATAGCGCTTTGAGGTTTTTAGCATTAGCAGTTTCTCGAAAAACGAGATAATGATATGTAAGCTACTTTTTTTCTAACTATTATAGTTTTCGACATAACCTATTCGGACATCGAATTTGAACCACCCTGTACAAGTTACAAGAGCGACACTATATGGCGGAACAAATACATGCATGTAGAAGGAAAAATGAAAATATATAAAGCCATGGTACGACCTACACTAACATATGGTACTGAGACGACGCAGAAACAATGAAGACTAAACAAGGGATGAGGATGATTGAGATGAAAGTCTTAAGATCTATGTTGAATGTGACACTGCAAGATAGGTTATCAAAGAAAGATTTAAGGGTGGCACCGGGTGGCCTTGACCTCCAGGAAGAGATTCGTTAATCGACAACAGGGTTGCCAGGTTACACACATAGAATGTCGTAAGCCATGTCATAAAAAATCGTGACATGTTGAAATTTGCTTAAAAATCACTCAATTTTAATAATATGTGTTACATATAGGCATAGGATTCCAGTAAATAGTTTAGACAACGTTTGCATATAAAAGTGATATAATTAAAAGAAAATAAAATATTACAGTTTAAGTAATTTCTTAGCGCCATCTAGCGGGCGAATAGAAAATGTAACTAATAGAGAAATTTACAGTAACCTACAATTCGAGTTGAAAATGCTACGATTCTACTTTGATTTTATTAACAATAATTATTATATTATTTTTGTAATAAAATCGTGAAAAGTTGTTCACATTCAAAAAGTTTTAAAATTAGAGAAAGGAGGTGAATGTGTTTACATAGCATAGATGTTATTACATGAACTCTAGAAGACCGCTGATTTAGTATCAAATCGCTTGAAATTATTGAAAAATTTAAATTATAAGACATATTATGATAGCTTAATATCAACCATAGCATTAATGCCTGATGACGTTAAAAGTAACCTTATAGCTGTGATTAATGGTACATGTTCTGAGCTGGAGTGCATTAGCAAGGAAGTGTTATTATACAGTATATATAAAATTTAGAGTAAAATGAAAATCGCTCATAAAACAACATCTTATGTTAAATGATGATTAAATAAACATTTTTGCCATTACTGCCATCTGTCTCATTTTTGACACACTAAATTTTAAATATTCTGAGAAACGTCAAAACTGATTGACATAACCTCACAAATAACCAATTATTAAATTAATTTACGGAAAATATTCAATGTTCCGAAATTTTTAAGCAACTTTAGCCATCACTTCTTAATGATTTGTTGTAATATTAATTTATAACAAATAAAATTAATTTACCTTATCATCGACCTTTTCTTCCTGTCTTATTTGATCGCGACAAGTAGATGCGCGAGATTTTAATAAAACGATCTCGGCGGAAGTAGTTTCGTAAGGATTATTCATCATTTCCTCTAAAATTTCAATTTGTTCGACGGGAATAAACCATTTAGTTTCGAAAGAATATTTCTCATTCCTTCCCGATTGCTGCTAAAACAAAATGACCCAAAAAAAAAACCAATCAATAAATTTATATGTTTAAATAAACGAAAATAACAAAATTTATACCATTACTTTGTATTTAGCACAAGCTATCACATCATTAAATAAAAATAAATGCCGTAATTTCCTGCTATTATCCACATACTCAACTATAAATGAATTTTTGACTAGACGACGTTGAGCTCTGTCGGTAGCCTAAAAAAATTATCACTTTTAATTTGTTACTTTACATATTTTTTTAACTTACTGGAAACATAGATTTAGTTTGTATCATATTGAACTCATCTAAAAATTGTTGTGTTAATTGTAACGCCTCTTGTAAGCTGTTGTAATCTTGATGCGATTTTGGTATGCATTTTAATAAATCGTGAAGCACCAAGGCGTTTTTTTGTACTCTAGCAACCGGTTTATGCAATAAATCTTCCAAACTGAATTGTTCGGACAATTGTTTACACGTCAACTGTTTAATTATTTCCGCAAATTGACTATTAGCTGTACTACATTTTCGTACCGTGTCCAAAGCTTGACCGTAATTCGCCAAAAAGGCCCCATAAACGTTTAAATTTAAAGCGATATTTTTAAAGCAGTCGCCAATTTTTGTGTTTTCACGTTTTTGCGAATGCCGACGTAAATTATCCAAAAAATTCGAATGGATCGTATGAAGTTGCTCGATTTTAAAGAAAATCGTTTCAAGTTCTTTTTCAGTTAACACCGGTTGTGATGTATTTAATGTCGCGTTAAATGCTTTTTTATACTAAAAAGAAAATAATTAATTAAAATAGTATATTATTTATTAATTAATTAACCTGAGTGAATAATAGCTCATTATATGTGAGTAGAATACTATATTTTGTCCATGACTACTATTGAAATTGATTTCAACAATTTTTAAATAAAGTTTAAATGTCAATGTGACACATATTCAATGTCACCAACTGTAACCAACTTCACAACAATTTGTCAAAATTAAATATCAATTTATGAAACGTCATGTTTTTTTTACGAAAATTAATTAATTTATGCTTAAATCATACGAAAAAAGGAATTTGTTTACGTTTTTTTTAATGTCAAATCTTTAGAAAGTCCTAAAAAAATTAAATTAAATTGACGTTTTTTGAAATGTTGACGTTTCAAATAATTATTATTATTCTGTCAAGTTGATTACCCTTGAATAATGACTATTCACCGGTATTAGTCATTCTGTCAAAAATAACTACCGTTTTATTTTAGAAAACTCATTTATAAGGTATATATTATAAGGTAGTTGTGGACAAATTTATTTTTTTAAATACATTTTTGAATAAAGTTTAAACGTCAATGTGACACAAATTCAATGTCACTAACTGTAACCAACTTCACAACAATTTGTCAAAATTAAATGTCAATTTTATGAAACGTCGTTTTTTTTACGAAAATTAATTAATTTATGCTTAAATCATACGAAAAAAGGAATTTATTTACGTTTTTTAATATCAAACCTTTAGAAAGTCCTAGATAAATTAAATTAAATTGACGTTTTTTGAAATTTTGACGTTTCAAATAATTATTCAAGTCTATCAAGTTGATTACCTGTGAATAATGATTATTCACCGCTATTATTCACTCACTGAATTCCTTTCGTTTTAGAAAACTAATTTATAAGGTATATATTATAAGATAGCAATGAACAAAACTATTTTTATTATTATCAGATTGTTAACTTACCTTTAATAAAACACATAACCATTCAACATAATTACTTTCACTGTCAATAATGTTTGATAATATGCTTTTGTACATTGAGGATTTTTCTTCGTCTTGTTTTGATTCTCCTGATATATTACTTCCCTTTAAATTAGAAGATATTTTAGTTATAAATCACGCTCTTGATGCAAATAATATTTACCTGACTAAATTTTCTTTTCGAAGCTGGAGTGGAAGATTCCAACGAGCTTGAACTATTATATTGGAAATCATCTCGTTCATTACGTAATTGATTTGGTCCTTCTTCGTCTTCGCTATCTTCATCATCACTATGATTGGTGCGATGTTTTTTCCTAAATAATTTAGATTAACAAAAATTAAATAGACTTAATTATAAAAAAGAAATACTTTTTAAGACTAGAACAAAACATTTTCTTCTTATTAATTATTCGAGTTAAACAAAACCGTGAATAACATTTTTATTACGGAATTAATTTGTCCGTAAGGTGTGAAAGCAATCTTTTAAATGAAACGCGATAAATCCACAACGGTAGCTACATAAAATTTATCTTGATTTTGATAAGAAAATGCAGGAGTAAAACTCGCCAGATATGATATAATTTTGTGAGTTAAACAAATAAATGTAAAACGTTGAAATAAAGTAATCACTTAAAAAAAAATGTATTAATAATCAATTTTATGATTTGTTTTGTGTTTCTAATCGAAAATCAAATACAGATAAACGAGTAAAAATACGGGTTTAAATTGATTCGTGAATAAAAAAACGTCATGACGAAAAACTAATTAAATTAACTGTTGTCTATGTTTTAAAAGCATCAAAATATATTAACAATCTTTAAATTTATTTAATTAATATTTAAAATAAACATTTTATCTAATTCGTATTCCGAATAAATTAATATTGAACAATCTTATGTAATCAATGAATCAACTAGAGACGATGTTTATGACCATGTTCTTCGTTTTCTAATACGCCTCATTGAACTATTCTCAGATTTTTTAAAGACTTATAGAATAATTATCCAGTTCCAAGAAAAAGAATTGTCACGTAGAAGAAAGTTGGTAAAAAGATCTTGATCTTTTAATCCAAAGATATATAGAAAAATAGTTTCAGCCACTGCGAAGCAATCATAACACAAAAATTGGAGAATATTAATGACATCTTCATCAATAATTTCCTCCAATTTATTGATTTACCTCCAATTATCATTAAATTCCGACTCAGATTCAACAACTCCGCCTTCTAAGGAAAGCGTATAGTTCATTTTTTTTCTATAATAGCTGTCAAATTGTTGTGAAGTTGGCAAAATTAACAGAGAGTTTTGTTTTATTATGTTTTGAAATAGATATGTCACACTGACGTTTGAGCTTTCGTTATTCAAAAAGAAAAAGTGCATAAAAAATGTTGTGGGGTGTTTATTTGCCACTTATTTACCTAGAAAAGATGTTTTGTTCTATTAAATTACTTTGTAACACGTTTTTACAATAAATATGCACTTTGTTAAAATCGTATTTATCTAAAAATTTATTAGTATTTTAACCTCAACTATTTAGTTACTGAAAATGTTACTAAAAATCAGGAAAACAACATAAATTTTATAACGGTCCTAGATAATACCAACAGAAACCCTAAAAAATTTACATTGACAAGTATTAGGTATAGAAAAAAAAACGAACTTATATATTTAAATTTTGATTTGGGCCACAATTTCCTTAGTTATGTCACGTTATGTTATTTGTTAATGTATTTAATACTTTAAAAAAGGAAGATATCTTTGAGGTTAGAAACGTTTCAGATTGACAGTTCAATTAAAACGAACATAACCTTACATATTATTATATGCTCGATTATAAAACATTGGTTTTGGAATGTTTTGGGTAATTTTTTTATAAAATATATGTAACACATAATTAATGTATGTCCCATAACATTTACGTGTATTTACGTTAATGTCAAATTTCTTATTACGTCAAACGCTCTGTAAGTTTGGTTATGTTTATCTAAAATTGCGTTTTTAGTTGTTCACCCTTTTATTTTTATATAATTAATAGTTTGGTAACCCAATTTGTAAGATTTAATCAATATGTACATACATATTGATTAAATAATCTCATTTAACATTTACCTTTTTGCATTCCTATACAAAGTTTCGTCCCGGTTTAAAAAGCTGTATAAATATCTCGAATCTGATTAATAACAACATTTTAGGAAAAGAAGGAAATTTGGATATTAAATCAATTTGGAGGGATTACAGCAGCTTTTTCAAACAATAAAACTATTTGTTTATTGATAATAATTAAAACTAAATATCAAAAAGAAAAATTGTTACCAACCTAAAACACCAAAATAACTGTGACACTTTTAGTAATTTTTTTATTTAACCAAACTAACCTCACTTTGACATGTCAAACATAAATTCTTCCTTTTTAACAATATTTTATCCAAGTCAGTGACATTCACGAATGTATTAAGTAGCTAATAACTTAAAAATAAACGTAACTCAACAATAAATGCAATACTTTGATATAGGGCTTAAAATTTCGTTTTTCAGTTAAGTTTCAATGTATACAGGTTTTTTTTTTATCAAAGATCGTTAATAATCTTTAAATTTATTAAATTAATATTTTAAATAAACATTTTATCGAATTAACCGGAGACGGTGGACTATACTCGGATTTTTTAAAGACTTAAACAATAATTATCCAATTCCGCGAAAAAGAATTGTCATGTAGAAGAAATTGGGAAAAAGATGATCTTTTAATCCAAAGACACATATATAGAAAAATAGTTTGGGCCACTGCGAAGCATTTATAAAACAAAAATTGGAGAATATTAACGAGAACTTCATCAATAATTGATTTACCTCCAATTATCATTCAATTCCGACTCAGATTCAACAACTCCGTGTTCTAAGAAAAGCGTCTATAACAATTTCCTTAGTTATATCATGTTATTTGTTAATGTATTTAATACTTTGAGAACGTAGATGTCTTTGAGGTTAGAAATTCTTCAGATTGACAGTTCAATTAAAACAAACATAACCTTACTTATTATTATATGCTCAATTATAAAACATAGCTTTTGGAATGTTTTGGGTATTTTTTTTTATAAAATATAGCACATATAATTAATTTATAAATAAAATAAGCTATATTTTATTCATTAAACTCCCATAAAATTTAGGTTAATGTCAAATTTCTTATTACGTCAAACGCTTTGTAAGTTAGGTTATGTTTAGCTAAAATTGCGTTTTTAATTGTTCACCTTTTTATTTTTATATAATTAATAGTTTAGTAACCCAATTTGAAAGATATTTATTAAATAATCACATTTATTGTATTGCATATTTTTCAGAATGGACATGAATTTAAGCTGAATCATTAACTCAATTTGTTTCTGAACCTTAATCATTAAAGTAAAAACAACTGGTGGTATATAAATTAATTTGGAGGGATGATGGTAACGCCTACAGCACCTTTTTTAAACAATAAAGCTATTTGTTTATTGATAATAATTAAAATTAAATATCAAAAATTGTTACCAACCCAAAACACCAAAATAACAGTGACACTTTTAGTATTTTTTTTTATTTAACCAAACTAACCTCACTTTGACATGTCAAACATAAATTCTTCCTTTTTAATCATTTTTTAATGAACAATATTTTATCCAAGTCAACAACATTGACGAATGTATTAGGTAGCTAATAACGCAAAAATAAACGTAAAGCAAATAAATACAATACTTTGAAACTTTTTTCAGTTAAGTTTCAATGTATACAAGTTTTACATCAGTATTTGAAGCTGAAATAAGATTCTTGCTGCAATTACATTAAAAACTGAATCAACTTTAGACAAAGAAAATCAAAAATTAATTTCTAAGGAAAGTTTATGATGGAAAAATGCGCTTCAGATTACATAATATTTAGCTGAAGAAAAGAATCTGGCTTTCAGAGGATCTTTTGATACATTATTTACCTCAAATAATGGGAAATTTCTAGGGCTCATACAATTATTGCCAAGGTTTGACCCTGTCATGAAGGAGCATGCCAAAAAATATCAACTTTGTGACGTTCATGATGCTTTAGCGTCTTTGGCTGAAGATACCTAACCAAACGATCCTACGACGTCACACGAAGTGACAACATTTGCAGAATAACTGAAAGACTTTAACTTTATAATTACTCTTGTAACATGGTACGATGTTCTTCTTTAAATCAATCTTGTGAGCAAAGCAAGTCAATCATTCAATATCGACTTCGTTCATATTACAGAAATGCTTACAAAATTTAGTTCCTATTTGGAAAATTACAACGCTTATGCCTATAAAGAAAGATTTAGTCAACTTAAAGATTTTTCTGAAACTTGGCATTCTTTCTGACATAAAAGAAAAGCAAGATAAAGAACAGCTGTTCAATCATTGTTGTGCACTGCAAAAAAGAACTAACATTCAACTGTAAATCGAATATTATATTATTTACTTATTGTGTGATGAAATCTTGAGTCTGCAACATTAGTACCTAAAAGGCTACCCCTACTGAAGTCGTGAATTTGATCATAAAGTACTCACTTTAAGAGTTACTTTCAGCACCTGGGTATAATAGGCTGATTTAAACGTTGATTACAACATCAATTAACATTTTCCCTTAATTTTTTAACCAAATATTTTTCAGATAAATAAAAAATAATACTTACTTTAAAAGAAAATATTCGATGTTAACGTAATTCGATGTTGGATCGGGGCTTTGTGGTTCTAAAGAAACCATACTTCTCAAAGCGTGAGGCGGCATCGGTAACGTGCTCGAATTATTGAACTCATCCATGCCAGAATCTATACTTTTAACCATCGAGGCGTCATCCGCAGCTACCATATCATAAAACGGCTCATCGCTCGGCGATAATTGTTCGGTTGATGATCGCATTGAACGCAATGATTCGATACTATTTGTTCTTGTGGAGCTTTGATCCGGGGGTGAAGATTGACTATCTCTTATACGAGGTTTAATCGGAGGCCTATTTAAACAAAATAAATTAATTAAAAAAAATATTTAAGATTTAATTTAAAAGCTGAATTACTTTGGTGGTTTTATTGAAGATGTGGGTGAGGCAGAACTCCGATTTTCAACCGATTTAATCCCATTTACTTCGATTACAGTAACAAAACTGCTTGGGTCAACTAATTGCGGGGCAGTAGCCGTTGTCATATCGGACGAAACCGAACTCCGATTCGATTTATCCATTTTATCCATACTTGTTAACGTTTTCGACAGTTCCGTTACACATTTGTTGACCGCGTTTTCAGTTTCTGGCGATTCTAAAGGCGGAGCGCTTGGTATAATCACATCCGACTTACGCTTTAAATAAAAAATAAAAAGATTCACTTAAGTCAGATAATAACAAAACTTATGACTCATAGATAACGAAAATAACTGTTTAGATAACTAATGTTTACGGATGAACAGGAATTAATTTGAACGTAAATACTTTAATAGAAACAACTAAACTCATCGATAGTAATAATAGGAATAAAAATAGTATGTACAGTTTTACGTATCCGTTCGGGACAAGATGTATCGGTAATTTATAATTCATACCGTTGAGATTTTTAAATGAACCTCAACGCACATATACACGCACGCACGGAGTTGTTGTTACGTGAGGCCGATGCAAATCGCGTTATTTAATGCGATGATAAAAAAAAAATTTAACAAAATTTAATGTGGAAAAGATTCATGAAGACCGCGTATAGAAACAGGTTTGCTGAGATTTCTCAATGTTTGCGAGTTGATAAAAGTGAAAAAAATATAGATTGTTATCTTGCTGTCAAATTTGTACAATAAATATAAAATTTACGATTTCGGATAAAAACAGGAAGCCACAAACAATTAGACTAAAAATTAAATTTGGTATAAAAACACTCCATTGTGTAAAAAGTATAATTGCATAGAACAACTTAGAACATTGGAGGGGTTTAATAACCTGTCATTGTTGCTTTTGGAAGCATTTGCACGTAAATAAAACTCTATGAGAATCCAACACATGAATGGTGTTTCATTACGTAGCAGAGGCTCAACACAACCTAACCTAACTCAAGTCAAGGGATGGAGTAGGAGTATTTCACATTTCCAAAACATGGTAAATCTCATTGCCACCCACAGCGCACAACATGAATTAAGAATACTACCAAGACTAAGGCAAAACTGCGAATTAACGATGCGAAAATAGAAATAGAATGAAATCCTAGAAATCCTGTCACGAATCGAGTAGGTCAGAAGGACGTTTATGTCTATGAAGACTCTCTTAATAATAATATATATCTTTATTGCCCAACAAAGTACATATTAATTAAGAGTTTATTGTATACAACAATCTGTCTACAATTCTTTACATTATTAAAATATTATTTTCACCCTCTACCCTCTTCCTCCATTTCCACACCCTCGGCTCCTCGGCCCAATCATCCCCTCATCCATCCCTTTGTCTCCTCACCCCCACAACCATTCACATCCATCCCTTCCCCTCTCCTAAGATCTGCCCTCAGTCTATCTCCTCCTCCCTCAACTCACTGCATCCATTCAACATATGTTCCAACGTTTCGCATTCCTCCCTGCACAGCCTACACCACTTCTCCTCATCGACCATCCAGTATCTGTTAGCTCTCTAAGTTAACAAAGTACATACAAAAATACAAACTTACATTACCACAAGAATCAATTAAACACTAGCGAAAACATTGTAATCGTCTCTCAGGTTTACAAGTTTGAACATTCTTTGTAGCGGAGCGCTATGCGTTGATTCTACTATTCTTCAAATAGAAGACATATCGGGTAGCGTGGCTGGGTACATTGAAGATACAATCCGTTTTACCACTCACCAGCTTTATAATAAATCTAACGTCAAAATTATCCCTTCGAGTGTCAAGCGAAGAAAAATGGTGACGTTGCAACAAAGCTTGGTAGTCGGTGCCACGACCCGGATAAGCTGCATCCACGCCAAAGGAAAGGTACTTTAAAAACCTTTTTTGAATTCTCTCCAATAGAAGACGATGCGAGTTATAATGCGGTGGCCATATAACAAAACCATACTGCAGTCTCGGCAGAAGAAGCGATATGTATACTGCAGAATTCGTGAATAAACGTGAAGTACGGAGAATAAAGCTGAGCAACCTAGCAGCACAAGAAACGAAATCCTCTATGTGCGGTATAAACGATAGTCTGCTATTAAAAGTGACTCCATGATCTCTGACAGAAGTCAACTTAAGCAAGGAGATTCCACCTACACAGTAGGATGACACTTCTCCATATTAATCCTGAGCTGATTACGTTCGCACCATTCCACTAAGATATTAAGATCCGACTGCATCGAAGGCACGTCATCTTTCGCGGTCATAGGACGAAATATCTTAAGATTAGCATAAGCCAATACACCACACTTAAAACTGTTTAATATGTCGTTACTTAATAAATATTACAAACAGTAGTGGACCCAAGTTAGAGCGAGAGTGAGGTAATCAGCAATGCTGTTACGATCACCACGCTTGAAAACAGGAATTATCCGTGATCGCTTCTAGATTTTAGGAAACTCATCCGTCTTTAGGCACAAGTTCATGATCATACAAAGTAGGGCAGCAAAAATTACAAACGCGAACAAAAAACGCTGGAAGGTTATCAACACCAGCCATAAATTTTTCGGCAACTTCTTAAGAAGATCAAGAACCCATACATAGAGTGCGAATCAACCAACTCGTAGGTAGAGTCTACACCAAAAACTCCCGAAAAATAATCGGCAAAAGCATTAACTATATTATAGGGAGTATCGTAGATGCACCCGTCCAAAGCCATTTCACGAGGGAGTGGTGTAGTCATAATTTTATGCCTTGTCTAATTCCAGAAGCTACGAGGATCAGAGCGCAGTGACTGTTCAGCATTATTTGTAAAGGCTATATATGAATCAGAAATCTTTTGCTTAGTCAAATATCCTATATATTTAGTTCTCTTCCACTTTCTTCTATAGAATTCTTAAAAGATTTTTAACTTTAGGAGTGTACCAAATAGGGTATTAGAAGTATGATACGCTCTTTTTGGAACAGACTGATCCAATAGTTCATGAATCTTCATGTAAAATAACCGCACAGCATCATCAACATCTACGTACTGATCAATAAAGGACCAACTTGTTTCGAGGAAATCACCAAAGAAGTCATAAAAGTCTTCATAAATTATGACCTGAGCATGCAGTTCCGTGTGCGTCTGCTATCTTGTTATGTAGATCCCGATCATCTCTACGCATCAACTTGATCAATCAATCGCTAAAGAGTCACAAGTTGTATCATGGATAACAAATGACGAGATACTGAAACAGATGGGTAAAGGCAAAGAGCCCCTTATAACCGTTAAAGAACGCAAGCTTTTGCACATCGGACATATTATGACATTATCAGACATTGAAGGAAGTCAGTGGGAAAACGACAAAACTTAAAAATTTGCGACGGTGGGCTGGACGCACCGGGTATTCGGGAGGCGGACTAAGAACAAAAAGTAACTGGAGATTTGTTTGATAAAACCGGAGTTAACGTTTTCAACATTTTCTAATACCAACTAAATGGGATACGTTGTGAACTATCACGCGAATTAAGAGATTGCACAACCTGTATTTTGTAAGGGTGAAAATTCAAGATCTTAATGGAAAATTTTATTTTTTTAGAATGACGTATCGCCATTTAGCGTGATTGTTTCATTTCCACTGCATGCTGCGGGATATCTTCAAAGCTTCAAACACTCGTTGTTACTTTCAGCTCAGCAATTACATAATCATTAAGGACTTTGTATACTTTCAATATTTCTCTTCAGCAGACTCTAATTCCATCTTTGTTATTCTTTAGCAACTAATACATTCTGACTGTGATCCTTTAAATTAAGCATCAACCTCTTTATATCAGCTTGCAGGGTATCATTTTCAGGGGTTCCAAGACAATTTCGTTTTTTAAAAGTCGATCCAAACATGACGTTGTTTGTTATCGTCCTCAATTATTTGTAGAGTTTTGAATGTCACCTAAACGTAATTTAATTTCATGTTCAAACATAATGCTAATAGGTGTACCAATTCACACTTTTGATTTGTTTTATTTATTGTGCTTGCAACGCACGTACAAGATTTTTTTGTGTATTAAGTGCATCAATTTTTAAGTATTTGTGTTTTAGTAAGGTAAGTTTGAAAAGTAGCCACCAAATAGTGATGTTAAGCATGTTTGATAATACTCAGTCGTTCAGGCTTTTTGATTGTTGTAGATATAGAACAATCCAAATTGTCGATTTTGGCTTCACAATATGTTTTCATATCATGTTTTCATCATCCCTTTGGTCTTCCTCTAGCTCACTGTCATGAAGGTGTCCATTTGTACAATTCTTCACTCCTCTGTCTTCTTACATCCTTTCCAGATGTTCCAGCTATGCTATTCTGTACTTTTATGTGTCATACTATGTCTGCACCATCCAGTTGGTTCAATTTGAAATTCATTGCAATTATTGAGTTGAGTAAATTTTACCCTTAGTTCTCTGACTCAAGTCAGTATGGAATTACTATCCATTTTGCATAGGCACACAGTTTTTGTGTTGATGAAATTTCGCATTCAAAGGTCCCTTTTTGACTCTGAGGTTTATTTCAAATTGTTCTGTTAGCTCTCATTGAATTCTGACAGTCGCCTTGGATCCAGTTAGTGATTTATTAATTAAACTTATCAGCTTTGCAGATTTATTTTATCAAAGGACTGTTTGAAATTGATTTAAATGCCATACAACTTCATGTTATAGTCAAAGGATTTTTTTGTAGGTTCCACAAAGTGTGGATATGATCAATTATTACTACATCAGCAAGTATTCCATTCTTTCCAAGAGCTTTGTAATTCTTTAATCTCCTTATTCTTTGTAAAGTTTGCTCTGACCACCACAGGAAAAAGCTGTTTGCTTTTTTCTGTGGCAAGTGTTGTTAGTCTCTCTTAGATATTATGTGTGGCGTCTTCTAGTAATCAGTCCAGCATCATTCTGTGTAGCTTCAAGGTCAAATCCTTTTATTTATTTATTTATTAGATGTAACAAACAAAAAATTTTTAAAATTAATTTTTAAATAACTGACTCATATCTAGATCTACCGTTTCTTCTTAATAACATACTTTCCTTTTTAAGAAATATTCCCAGAAAATTTTTATTTATCCTCTCCAAGTTTGCGCAAGAAAACGTTTACTTTCATAGAATTTTTTTTTCAAATCTATCACAAAAAGACTGAACAATAGCCTTTATTTAAAAACTTCAAAATCACAATGTATAATACAAAGGCAAACAAAAACAGAAAATACATTTTACGTAAAAGTGTTTAATTATTTTTTTGATTATTCATCAATTCAAATAAAAAAAACTTTATCAGTAAACCACAATAATGAATTTGGGTTTACGCTCAATTATGATTCAAGCCACCACACGTTTCCTGTAATCACACCATACATTAATAATTAAAGAATGAATTTAAACTTTTCGTTAGTTATAAAAAAACGCGTCTATAACAAAATAAATATACATCTTATCAAAGAAGATAACAATAAAAACTAATAGACGGTTGTGACTCAAACTCAAGAGGTTTCGCAACAGCACTCAAAAAAAAATCGATACTTCTTCTCCTGAACGTGAGGCCAATAAGAAAAAGAGAAAATCATACAATCACAAAATATCAGCCGCCCTTCATTCGTCATTTACGTTTCTCGTCATTTATTTACCTTAGATAATTCGGTTGGTGAATTAATAGTCGCGTTTGTGGTCCCCATCGCATTCGAATCCTTATTTTCCAAGGCGTTATTTTCACTTTCCGCTTTCGCCCTCTTCTGTTCTTCCAAATCGGACAACAACCGTTCTAAATACGCAACGTACACCTCTTCCTTGTCGAGCTCCTCCCGAAGATTGTGCACCTTCTGTTGGTGTTTGGCGAGATTCGCCCTCACATCTTCCTCCCATCTCGATGGCAGGTCGCTGTGCGGAAATCGCTGCAACCACACCCGCTGAAAATCACCGAAAACGCTCATTTTTTATCACGAACGATTTAGTTTATCCGCACATTTTCACTGTGTTATTTATATTATTTAATTTCGTTGCAATTTTGAACGCGTATAACAAACCGAACGTTTACAACGAAACGAACACACCATTTGACAGCGAACTGTGTGTGTTATGTAGTTGACATATTTGACAGGGAGCGGTTGATAACAACAATAATTTTATTTTACCTAATGTTCATTTTAACTAATACATTTTTTTTAATAATTAATTAATAATTTAATAATAATTTGATTACTACTTAATTAATGCTAAACGTATTAACAATAATAAGATAAAGAAAAAATTAAATCACACTTTAAATTTTAAAATGAAAATGCCTAAAATTAATTAATTGTGAAACAAAATTATTTGTAATATTAATTAATTAATCTTAATTAAAATAAAAAAAATTAAAGTTTTACCTATTAATTATATTAAATAAATCATAAATTAAAAATATATTAAAATTTGGGTACAAATAACCTAAATTAACCTAAATGTCAAAATGAGGTTCAAAGCGTATTTTCCCGCTTTCTGAGCGTTACTACTTAAGAAAATGCAGAAAAGCATTACGTGCGTATTTACCTTTTTAAAAAAAAAACCAAAAAGGATTAATCTTTCCTTTCCAGATCTTTCTTTGCAAAGGCTCCAAAAACGGATGATTCGCCGACCGGGTATGTAGCTTAAGAATGTTTTTAAAAAGTTTTTTTAGTAGGAAAACAGTTTCTTTTGCAAAGGAAACGTTTAATTTTGATAAACGTATCTCTTTAATTCTTGTTAATTCTTTCGCTGGTGTTAGAAAGAACGGTATTGGGACCCCCACGAATAAACGAAAAAAAGAATCCCCCAACAGCGATGACAGTGGAAGAAAGTAAGAATTTATTAATTTATAAAAAGGTTTTGATGTATTTTTTATTTATTAGGAAGAAAAAGAAAGAAGTTTCAAGTATTAAACAAGAAAAATCACCTAGAGGTGAATCATTAGTTACAAAATTATTAAATAAATCAGCTTCAAATGATGATTCCCCAAAGAAAAGTTTGCTACAAAAAGAAACTAAAAGAAATAAAGTTAATAGGATAATTGATTCTGAATCGAGTGAGGATGAAATTTTGGTTAAAAAGGAAGTTATTGATAAAGAAGATAGCATTGAATTAAAAACTGAGGAAATAAAAAGGGAAGAATTAGAAATAATAAATGTTGAAGAGAAGACAGAAAAAAAAGTTCATCCTTTTTTTGGTGAATTTTAATACATTTAAATCACATTAAAATTATTAATTATTATTTGTAGCTCCAAATAAAAATGAATCTAAACAAGATGATTCAAACATTTATAATCCAATGATGAGGAAATATCATCCAATAGATAATGCAATTTGGAAACAAAATGAGAAGTAAACAAATAAAATTGTAAAGATAAATATTTTTATACATTTTAATTTTAGAGTTCCATATATGGCGTTGGCAAGAACTTTTGAAGAAATTGAAAACGTTTCAGCTCGTTTAAAAATGATTGAAATCCTTTCAAATTATTTTCGTTCGGTGATTGTTTTAACACCAGACGATTTTTTACCCAGCGTTTATTTGTGTTTAAATAAATTAGGCCCAGCTTATGAAGGACTTGAATTGGGCGTCGCCGAAACTAGCCTTATGAAAGCTATTGCGCAATCAACAGGGCGAAGTATGGCTCAAATAAAAACAGATGCACAAAACACTGGCGATTTAGGTTTGGTTGCTGAGCAATCTCGTAATAATCAAAGAATGATTTTTAAACCCGCTCCTTTAACTGTGAGGGGTGTTTTTGAGAAATTGAAAGAAATTGCTAAAATGACTGGACATGCTGTTAGTTTTTTTTGATTATTATTTAGTTTTTACTTATAAATGTTTTTTTAGAGTCAGGCGAAAAAAGTTGAAAAAATCCAAACGATGTTTGTTGCCTGTAAAAATTCAGAGGCGCGATTTTTAATTAGATCTTTAGCTGGGAAATTAAGGATTGGTTTAGCAGAACAATCGGTGTTACAAGCAATTGCTTTAGCTTGCGCTACGACCCCACCGAATCAAGATTATCCACCAGAAATAATAAACGCATCCATAGGAAAATCAGCGGAAAGTTTTAAGGAGGTTTATGACGAATTAGCTCTAATATTGAAAACAACTTATTGGTAAATAGAATTTAATTATTGTGGTGTATTCAATTAAATAACATCTCTTGAAAGATATGGTACAATAAGGTACACTTAAATGGTGTGGGGAAAAAGTGGCGAAATCATAATGTCCTTTTAGCTGTATAATGCTTCATAACCTAGATAACCTCATTCTCTTACCATGTTTATTCTAAACCTAACATAGAAATGTTAGAGAGGTTTTTATCATTTTCATGATCACAAATCTAATTATTTAGAGCCAGTAGTCTTTCAGCAAGTAGACCCCAATTCTTTTACACATCCAGTTCCAATCAACCATATGTCTCTAGTCCTGAATCTTATATAATATTTAGTTTCTTTGCAAACACCTTTTTTCTCCTTTCTTAAGGTATAGATTGATATACAGATTCAAACTACCCCAGCCCACAAAGCCCCTATTTGCTTAAACGGAGTTCTAGCGTTCTTGAAAATCTTTCATAATCTCTCTTAAACACCCTTCATCTTCCTCACATTAATCCATAATCATCTCTCCTAATGTTTTTTAAATTTTTTGCGATACTATCAATTTTCTACCTGCAAAACCAGTCATGAACTTTTCACTTTTTCTGTTCTTCCTCCTTTTTATTTCCAACGCCTTCACAACTTCTGCTACCAAGTCCGCCATAAAACAACGCATAATGCTGGCAATACATTCGGTGCTTCTTCAATTCTACGTGCTTTTAAGTGCGTTCGTAACTTTTGTTTCTCTTTTTACATCTTTGCAAAGTGCTGTTGAGGTTCTTAGCCTTTATCGTTCCTTGTGAGCAACGTCAAAATATCCGAGAAAACTAATCTAGCCTATGTCTTGATACTAGCCAGCGCATTAATACACCAAAGGACTGATAGAGATTAAAATAAGTCTAGTTTTGATACTATAAAAGTTTGTGAGATTTAGTTCTCTTCAATCTTCTGTGTTCCTGGGTATTATTTAGGAGTTGAATGGAAATTCAACTTTGGCATGCGAGTTCAGTCTTATTTCATGCTTCGCTGCGAAATCTTGGATTACTTCATAGATTAATTTGATGTCGAGGTTATCATGCAGTTCTTGACTAGTTAATCAGTCTAAGAAATTTGTTTTGACTTTAATAGATGATAAACTTATTTTATGGTTTGATACAACTCCACAGTTACATACCATAAATCTCTTTTATAGCAGATTAAGTTGGGAGTATCTACCGACCATGTCTAGTCTTGAATCTAATCTGCCAAGCTTTTTGTCAAACATGCTTCCAGTTCAATCACCCATTGAGGTGGAGATCGAGATATTTAGTTGATTTTGCTTGAGGACTGAGTGTAGTTGCTGTTTGCAAAATTGATGTGAACCCATTTCAAGCTGTTAAGCAGTATTTTCCAATTTTTAATGTATTCATGAATTTTGTTAATCTCTACTTAAAGTTTTTCTAAAGCTTTCATTTGTGTTGAGTCTTTTAGTTCCAAGTACACCATCTTTTGAAATTGAAATATTTGCAGTATACAATAAATAAAGGCGTGGTCCTTAGAAACTGCCTTGTGAACCTCCAGCCAAATCCTTCTTGTGACGCTCTAAACACTTTTTCAGAAAAATATAGTGTTAGTAATTAATAGTAGTTTCGAGCAGCTTTTTGTCCCACCTGTACACAAGTCCCTAGTGTTACACTCTGTCAAACACCTGTCCAGGAAAACTGCAGGACGTTACTTTTGCTCAATAATATTGTTCAATACAATATTTAATATGCTAAAATGACATTTCTATGACAGAAAATTGAAAGAGAAAATTTTTTTCCTGCATCAATTAAAATTTTACTGAACCTTATAAAAATATTGGAAATTAAATTTAGAACTGCATTGAAACGCTTAAATAAAGTAATATGTTTTCAGGTTAACTTCCCAATCACCATGCATCACCTTTTTAGATTTGTTATAGCTTCAACATCAATAAGATGTGATTGATTCTTTGGGCCTCTATTTTATCACTTAGACCTGGTTTTCTAAATGTTATATTGTCCATGATTTCGTCAAGCTACGTTGATGGTGAAAATTTGTAGTACAGCTCTTTTCAGTTGGTTTCTTAATAATATTTAATATAATTTCTCCGGAATCAAACACATAGGTCAATATGTTAAATTTGTTATAAAACAAGTCATTAATTTGTTGTAAACATTCTTATTATCACATTTTAGAGTATTATTATGATTAGACTGCAATGCCACAATTCCTTGAGCTATGGAGAGTGTAAAATAGTCCAATTTGTGATGAACTCTTCTATTATAGCTCAAAGAGGTGTCAAGAAACCCACTCATGTAGGGTGAGTGTTTGATACAGCCACTCTCAGTCACTGTGCTAAATCGAGATTCTTGGCTCCTCTATAAGGAACAGACCCTATCTTATTAATCTGAATTAAATCCCACAATACTCAAAGTACAGTCGATAAACCATATCTTATTGCCTTTCTGCCCAATCGCCTTATCCCAATCCTCTGGACAAGGGTTTTTAGCTGCGACCTTGAACTAAAGCCTACGTAACTAACCAAACTTGCGTCTTTTAATCGTTTTCGGGCATACTGATTATCTCTCTGAAGAGAGCTGGATTCACTCAACCTTAAATTCGTTCAAAAGCAGTATTTATTGCATTTCCATTTGTCCAGGCATAAATCCAGATGGCAAGTAGAATATGCAGGTGACAAATAGAAGTTGAGGAACATGTTGATGTAGACTGAGTGTGTGATACTGCTTATGCGTGTCATTGTGCTAAATCGGGATTCTTTACTCTTCTATGAGGAGCAGATCATATCTTATCTTATCATTTAATGTGAATTAAATCGCTATTTTCAAAATATAGCCGTGAAATCATATCTTCTAGAGTTTTTACATATATGAGATGATTCACATACGGGTTGATAATGCCTTTCTCTTCAATAGCTTTATTTTGATCATCCCAATTCTGTGGATAAGGGTTTTTAGTAGTGATGGAACGGATATCCGGCAACTATCCAGCTTTGGCCATTCACAGGAATTAGTATCTCTTTTAGGTGTTGGACACTGCAGATAATAATCAAGTTCAACCCCAATAGGACTTTTTTCATTGAATACAACTTTATTTATATCACGTTTGTCATTAGCAACCTCATTGTAACAATCCCAATACGATATATAAAATCTCTTGTTGCAGTTTCGTGTAGTTTTCTTCTCTTCGCTTGTAATTCATCACATTTATTACTAAACGGACTGTCGCTGTTATCACTTTCGATTATTAATGAAAGTATCTTCTTTTTAATACAAAAAGCCGTTTTGAAAGATCACTTTTAGTTTGAGAAAAAAAATTTTGAAATAATCGACAATTTTTTCGAATTTTGCAATTTAGATTAAGTTTTAAAAATTCGTATAAAACCCATTTCTTGGAATATGAGTATGAACATTTCCCAAAGTGTTAATAAGACTGTCCTCTTTCCAATGAACCAACACGTTTTGAAAAATAACTTTTAGTTTTTGAGATATTATAACCATAATGGCCGGATAGATATGCCGGATATCCCGCCGAAGGGGATGCCGAATATCCGGTATCCGGCTTTTCGCAAAATCTATCTGTTCCATCACTAGTTTGTAGCTACGACTATGAATTAAAATCAACGTTAAAGTCATAACACCAATTCATTGCAACTATCTCTCTGAATGGAGCTGGATTCACACAACCCCAAATTCGTTTACTAAGCATTATTAGATATTTAGTTTCCACTTGTTTAGGCATAAATTCAGTCGGAGAGCGCCCTTGAGGTTGATATCGTAATGCGTTTCGTTCTTCAAAGACATAAAGATGTCGCTTATCCAATACCTGGCATTAGCAGATTTTCTAGTATCCTGACAATTTCTTTCTGCATTTTCTTCCTCCTTAGAATGCAAAAAAGCGTCCTGTTCCCTTGGATAGAGATTATTGGTCTAATATAATTGTTTTTATTCTATTAACATAGAGGTCCCATGAGTAAAAAAGAAAAAAATCTATTTAGTAATGCTTCCTTACCTCAATAATGAGCCTAGTTAACACTGGAGAAGTCAGTATATTTCCTGCATCGACTTATTAAAGATCTCTCTATTAGCCCGACACCATAAAGAAAGAAGTCCTCTACTATGCTGGAGTTACAATTGAATAAGCCAAAGATCCTGCGCAACTTGAGGTTGTTTTAATTTAATTTATATCTGAAAAAAAAAGAAATTTATGTTTCCTAGAGATTTTATTTTATTGATTTTTTAATTTAAACATTAATAATCCAAATTGATAACATTTATTATCTCAAAAACAGCGAATGTCCAAACTACGACAAGATAATTTCAGTTTTATTAAAAGAAGGAATCAAAAAACTTCCAGAACATTGCAAATTAACCCCAGGAATTCCACTTAAACCTATGCTAGCGCACCCAACTAAAGGAGTACAAGAAGTTTTGCAACGTTTCGATGGATTTAAATTTACTTGTGAATGGAAATACGATGGAGAAAGAGCCCAGGTTTATTTTATTATTTTTTAAAAAAAATTAATCCCTTTATTTATTTTATTATTTATTTAGATTCACATCTCAAAAGAAGGCGTTGTAAACATTTACAGTAGAAATCAAGAAAACAACACCACAAAATATCCCGATATCATCTCGAGATTACCCAATTGCAAATCGGAACTTGTCGAATCTTGCATTTTAGATTGCGAGGCGGTCGCTTACGACACGGAGAAAAAGCAAATCTTACCCTTTCAAATATTAAGCACGCGCAAACGAAAGGACGCGAACGAATCGGAAATAAAAGTCCAAGTTTGCGTTTTTATGTTCGATTTGTTGTATTTTAACGGCGAACCTTTGGTGAAAAAACCGTTTCAACATCGTCGCGAGTTACTTAAAAAACATTTTAAAGAAGTCGAAGGTCAATGGCATTTCGCGACATCCCTCGATACTAAAACGATGGAGGAAGTGGAAGAATTTTTGGATGAAAGCGTTAAAGGGAATTGCGAGGGATTGATGGTGAAAACGCTCGAAGATGAGGCTACTTATGAGATTGCGAAAAGATCGAGGAATTGGTTGAAATTAAAAAAGGATTATTTAGAAGGGGTTGGTGATACTTTGGATGTTGTTGTTATTGGGGGTTATTTAGGGAAAGGAAAACGTACCGGGACTTACGGCGGATTCCTTTTGGCTTGTTATGATCAAGATAATGAGGAATATCAAAGTATTTGTAAAGTAAGGGTTTAATTTTTTTTAATTAATTGATATTGATTAAATTTTTTTAAAAAAATAGATTGGAACTGGATTTAGTGATGAAGATCTTCAAAAACACACCGAGTTTTTTAAAAACAACATTACAAGTCAACCTAAATCTTATTATAGATATGATCAGTCTCACTTACCTGATCATTGGTTTGAACCGGTTCAAGTTTGGGAAATTAAATGTGCCGATTTATCACTTTCACCGGTTCATAGAGCAGCCTTAGGAATTGTAATTAATTTATTTATTTATTCCCACTATACCAGGAATTGATTGCCTAAGTCTGACGTCGCAGAGATGGGCGGAGCTTATACCGACTCCAAACAATTTCGTTGCTAACCGCCATAAAAATGTTATTTGAAATGTCATTGAAAAAGTTACTTAGTTTATTTTATTTTAACACTAATTGAAAAATTGCATATGGTGATCTACCATTAGCAACACAGTGAGCAACGAAAATGTTTGGAGTCTGTATAAGCCCCGCCCATCTCTGTGACGTCAAGGCTTAGGTTGTCTATTGCATGTATCTCGCAATATATGAATGCAATAACCATAGTTATGAAACTACAGGTTTTCCAATAAGAGGTGTTATTTTGATATTCAAAGAAAAATGCCATTTTTTAGTATAAATGGTCGGATGTTTATTTCATTATAAAGAAGAAGGTATGCCGTTAATAGTGGAAAATAACATTAGGCAAATGACCACCACGACCACGCTTACAGGACAATATCCTTTCCATGAAATTTTCCATAACCAAATTGCAAAGTGGCTGCCCTATGTCCTCAATAGCCTCACGAATTCCATCTTTGAGGTCTTGAATCGACGCTGGGCTGTTGGCGTACACCTTCTCTTTCACGTGGCCCCAAAGGAAGAAGTCGCAAGGTGTTAAATCACAAGATCTCGGTGGCCAATTGTGATCACCTCTTCGAGAGATAACACGGTCCGGAAACTTTTCCCGTAAAAGATCAATGGTTTCGTTGCTTGTGTGGCACGTAGCACCGTCTTGTTGAAAGTAAACGTTGTCCACATCAATACCATCCAATTCCGGCCATAAAAAATCATTAATCATCTCTCGATAGCGCAATCCATTCACCGTAACTGTTGCTCCAGCCTCATTTTCGAAAAAGTAAGGTCCAATGACTCCGCCGGACCATAAACCGCACCAAACAGTCACACGTTGAGGATAGAGAGGCTTTTCAACAATAACTCTTGGGTTTTCCGAGCCCCAGATGCGACAATTTTGCTTGTTGACGAAGCCACCGAGGTGGAAATGGGCCTCATCACTCAAGATGATTTTTCGATGGAATTCCGGATCATTTTCATGCATTTCAACGACCCAATCAGCAAAGACACGACGTTGTTGATGATCGGACGGCTTGAGTTCTTGTGTTAACTGAAGTTTATAAGCCTTAAGACCCAAATCTTTATGCAAAATACGGTGTAATGACGTTTGTGGAATGCCTAATTCCAAAGAACGACGAGGAATGGACAAACCTGGGTTTTCTTCAACACTTTCGGCTACAGCAGCAATATTCTCGGCTGTTCTTGAGCTACGTGCACGGGTTTTATTCTTCACATCACTAACTTGTCCCAACAGCTCGAATTTTTCCACCAATTTCAGTATTGCGGTCCGACAAGGTGCTTCACGACGACCCAAAAATGTTCAAGTTTTACGAACCGTCTCTGCCAAAATTTCACCATTTTTATAGTGAATTTTAATAATTTCAATGCGTTGTTGAAGCGTGTATCGTTCCATTTTTATTAATGGCGTACTTTCTACTTGTCAAATGTCAAAAAATGCCAGCTTCAAAAGTGACATCTACCGAAATAACGGGCTATTCAAAATAACACCTCTTATTGGAAAACCCTTTACTATGCACTTGCACTGTCCCACATAAAATGCAACATAGCTTAATAGTAGAGGTATTGGGTAGTTTTGCAAAGAAAAAGTTTTGCTTGGAAAAAGGTAACGTCCTTATAACATAACAACGCTGAGTTTTCGACCGTCTTAAGAGACGTACTTTTCGTTCAATAAAAATATACGACAATCTAACGCTAAGTAACAATTAAAACTAGAACCAACACTAGACCGAGAACTAGAAACATTTGGATTTAGCCGCACGTCTCTCACGACGGCTAAACGCGAATCATTCTAATGTTTCTAGTTTTAGTGTTCTAGGTTTAGTGCAATAAAAATATGCAATAGAGTGGTATCTTATGCTAATTAGCGCTATCTACCACTGTCACTAGAACTGACACTAGACCTAAAACTAGAAACATTCGGATTTAGCCGCACTTTTCTCAAGACAGCTAAACTCGAATGATTTTAATTCTAGGTTAGAACATTTTCGAGTTTTTAACATTTTCTTCTATAATTCGAGAACGGGTGGCGATATCGAGATGCGGTTTTCACTAAAATTTAGCAAATTTTAAGGTAACTAAGGGTCTGTGAAGTAAATTCATTTAACTTTTCTTCAAAAATCACAAAAATATGTATCCGCTACAGATAACGCCCTCTAGCTTATTTGTTTTAAACCAAGCGGTCTTGCTGAAAATATCTTTTAAAAGAGCATGAAATGGTCTTTCAAACAAGACCAAAAATATTTAAATCGGTTGAATGGTGCAGGAGATATTAAAATGTAAACATTTGAAAACGCATTGGCCTACCCCTCCCTTATTATGACAGATATGAGAAATATTGCAAAACAAAAGCGATGCGGTATTATCCAAACTACTAAATGATGTTGTCAAAGTTATAGCTCATCGTCTAACTTTCTGAGATAGCGAGAATTTTATATTTCTCTATGGCAGTTACGTCCCCTAGCGGTCGAATTACGAACTTCAAAATAGTTTTCAGCTATTTCTCTTGCCCACTTTGCTTATAAGGATTTTTTCCCAAACCTATAAGCCTTACCGTTGTCGAGATACAGCCGCTCCGTACCCTTAACGGGACACCTGTACATAATTTAAGCACGCTGGGTAAGAAACTTTAACAAAAGATGCTTTACAACTGTCTTGATTTTTTATGTTATCAATAGCACGCACACATCATTTTTATAGCACAAACACTCTCCTCGCACCAACTGCAGACCCGGCAATAAGACATAGCATGGAAGCAGGAAAAATAGGCCATTTTCGCAACCTCCATCGTGGCATAAAGAGTCAGTTTCTGCACAAGGTAAACCGCACTCAATAGGCGCCCGCAGAAAACATCAATATGAATAATATCACTCCAGTGTAATGCAGGATCAATCAAAAGTCCTAGTAACTTAATGTTGCTTTCATCTCCTTTGTGGAAAAAGTTCATAACTTGTGTTTTTTCATTATTCAATAACAATCTGTTAGCCTGTAACCAATTAAAAGCTGAGTCTAAAGTCTCAGTGCCCATTTCATCCACACCATACTTACACTCCATCACATTCGAGAAATCACCACTCCATCTAACACGCTTGGCAAGATATGATTTTATAAGATTATACAGGTGTGTCAAATGTCTGGAATATAGCAAATAATTTCGCCATTTGTGGTTTTAAAGAAAAATGTTTCAAAGACAAGTTACTTTATTAATCGTGGTGCATTTTTTGGCGATATTTACTTGATTGTATTGTTTTTTGTTTCGTTGCTATGTCAACCAACATTGTTATTTTAAATATGATGCATATTTTTTTTTACATACTTTGATAGAGGATAAATCCCTCTATGCGATGAACATATCAAATCATATGGTTGTATAAGAAAAAAATCGAGAAAAAATGCGTTTTCTAAAAATATTAAATCATCAAATTACAATCAAAGTAGGCGCCGAAAGAACGCCGTTGATAGCTTTAAAAGTCATAAAAATGACAGTTTCAATGGGTATGGTGACACGCATTTAATCTAGTTTCGTCATTGATAGCTGTCTTCGGCCGTCCACTTTTTGGAATGTTTTTAACACTTCCGGTGTTAAAGAATTTTTTTAATCTTTTGGATATTGTGGATTGTGTAATTTATGTATACGGGTAAATATTATTGAACAGTGTACAAACTTCACTTTGAGTGCGTTTTCTATCACCGTACCCATACATCATTAATATTTGGATTCTTTGTCGTTCGTTTAATTGCGCCATATTTGTTTAAACTGTCAATTTTTGACATTTAAAGCTGTCAACGGCGTTATTTCGGCTCCTAGTTTGATTGTAATTTGTTGATTTAATATTTTCAGAGAACGCATTCTTTCTCGATACAACCATATGATTTGATATATTCATCGCGTAGAGGAATTTACCCTCTATCAAAATCTGCAAAAAAAACATCCCATTTAAAATAACAATGTTGGTTGCCATAGCAACGAAACAAAAAATAATGTAAACGAGCAAATATCGCTAAACAATGCGACACAATTAATAAAGAATCTTTTATTTGAAATATTTTTCTTTTGTATATGCTTCAGATTACAACAAATTATTTTAGATTTCTCATGATTGTCATGGACAGATTTTTGACGATTTTAATAATTGCGGTGGCAGTTGATTTATTCTCTCTCTATAACCATACTGATCTTCTGCCAAAATATTATTTTTACTTAAGTAGTGAACAAGGCGACGCTTAACAAGCTCCTCAAGAATCTTAGAAAAAACTGGCAACAGAGCTGTGGGCCTGTAGTTTTCGATTTGTGATCATCCCCATTTTTAAAATAGAGGAGTGACTTTTACAACCTTCACTTTAATAGGAAATGTTCCTTCCTCAACACATTTATTAAAAATTATAGCTAGTGCTGGAACAATTTCGCTGGCAACTTTTTTCACAATAGGAGAAGTCAATCCGTATACGTCCTCACTGTTTGTCTGTTTCAGCTTCGAGATAACACTTAATATCTCTTGATCATCAATCGGTGCAAAGAAGTATAATATTGTTTTTCTTAATTTTTTTATATACTCGTCAAGCTGTATAGATGGCAGCAAGTAACGATTGTATTTCGGTTGCATAATACTCCCTGAACCCAGCAGCATGTAGACTTGCATCATCCTGTGGTTTTCTTCTTTTATTTATTCTTTCCTTGTTGATTACTTCCCACTTTTTTTTATTTTTGTTATTAGCATTATTTATAGCATCACTATTCCGTTTCTTTATTTGCATACTTTATATATTTCGTCCGAAGCTGTATCTTTTTTAGTTGCAGCGATCATGCCTAAAGATTCAACTAAGGATTTCTTCTCCGATATGGATTGCGGAAGTGTACTGTCTCCTCTTTTGAAGATTCTAATTCTTTTTTGTTGTCTATGCAGCGTGTCGAACTTTCCGTTACTCGTTTAGCCGTATTAAGAGACGCACAGCTAAACGGAATGTTTCTAGTTCTAGGTCTAGTGTTACTTCTAATGTTAGTCTAATTTATTTGTTATTCAGCGCTAGATTGTGATATATTTTTATTGAGCTATAACGGACACTGCCTTCCACATATTGATCCATAATATCGAGGTTTTACTGTAATGTCAAATTATATTGACGCGTTGCATTTAATGTGGGACAAAGTTTCTATAGAAATATATTTTTCTATATTGCATCTTAAATGAAATTCACTGTATATAACAATAAATTTTAATTAAAATAGATCGATCCAGAAAAGGGAATTTCTTTACGTTTCCCACGATTTATACGAATAAGAGATGATAAACAAGTCGAAGACGCAACATCCGCCCAACAAGTAGCCGATATGTACTCAAATCAAGACCAAATTAAAAATCAACAAGGAAGTGGAAAAATTGCGGAGGAAGATTTTTATTAACCCATAATTTAAATTGTGAAATTTTTTAAATACAATTATTTGTAATCTTTTGTATGTTTATGACTCACCCTGTATACCAAAAAACATTTACACAAAGAAAATGATGTTTCCCCCCAAAATAAAAAAAAAAACAATTTGCTTACATATAAATGAGACAAAAGTAAGTTCGTTATCAGTGAGATTAGAAGTATCGTGCGGTGATCGCGAGATTTTTCGGTATAATTCGTTGTGTTTGACGGTTTCAATCCGAATGAGCATTTAAGAAGTAAATAAAAAAATAATTTCACTTTGCGTTGTCGTGACGTGTTTGAAACCGTCCTTGATCGATTCCGGTCAAGTGTTTTACAATATATTAACGTCGGTGAGTGGTGCATTTCCCAGAATTAGGACTTCTAGAAAAATCTTATAAACATTTTTTTCACTCGATGACTTATCATTTTTGACATTTTTGTCATTTCGAACGAAAATTTTGTTTTTTGAGTTCGCCGTGAAGTTTGCTTTTATATGACGGTGTAAATTGGATTAATTTGTGTTAAAAACTTTTTTGTTAACCCGTAAGTAAATTAGACTAATCTAAACGTTAAAACTGGTTAAATGTATTTTAACGAATTAATTTTAATCGAATTAACTCTTAAAAAATTATTTGTTTATTAATAGTCGAGAAGTTGCAGACGTAAGAGGAGCGAAATAAAAACCCGGTCAGCTTTGATAAATGACGTTTTTAAATTAAAAAAACTCAAAATTGACTTTGTCAAAATGAATCACCCATAAAAAAACGAATTAAAAATGTTAATACAAAAGATCAAAAAAAATAAGTTAGTGACATCGCTTTAGGTTGGTAACGGGGTGACGCGACGAACGCGCGTTGTTCATTGCGGTCGTACCGGGCCTTTGTTCGTTCTTCTTATGCCGGCGACATTCGATCGGAAGGGGTTAGTTTTTGCGAGAAATTCGTACGGGAAAGACAAACTAACACTGTGTCTTTGTGTGTCCGATGTCTAGTGCTGAATTTGTGGACAGCTCCGTCGACCCGCCGAAAAAGAAACGGAAGCTCTCTGTTACCGCTACTACAGACATGGCGAATAACGAAGCTGCAAGTGCTTCATGTCCTCCATGTCACGCAACTGGCAGTGAGGATATCGACGAAAGCCTCTATTCCAGACAATTGTACGTATTGGGCCACGATGCTATGCGCCGAATGGCCACCAGCGACGTTTTAATATCGGGACTTGGTGGGCTTGGCGTCGAAGTCGCTAAAAACGTTATTCTTGGTGGTGTTAAATCGGTTACATTACACGATGAAACTGAATGCACCCGTCAAGATCTTTCCTCGCAATTTTATCTCTCCGAAGATGATATTGGCAAAAACCGCGCTGAGGCGTGCGTTAAGCAACTCGCCGAATTAAACACTTACGTCCCAACTAAAACATACACGGGCCCACTCACCGAAGAATGGATAAAAAAATTCCGCGTTGTCGTCCTAACAAATAGTTCAATCTCCGAACAACTTAAAATCGGCGAAATGACTCATTCTCTTGGCATCGCTTTGATTATCGCTAGTACAAGAGGATTATTCGCTCAAGTATTTTGCGATTTTGGCCCATCTTTCACCGTATTAGACGTAAACGGTGAATCACCTGTTTCTGCAATGATCGCTGACGTTTCGAGAGATAAAGAAAGCGTCGTTACTTGTATTGATGATACTAGACATGGAATGGAAGATGGAGATTATGTTACATTCTCTGAAGTTATTGGGATGACTGAATTGAATAATTGCGAACCAATTAAAATCAAAGTTCTTGGCCCCTACACTTTCAGCATTGGAGATACCTCCTCGTACACGAAATACGAACGTGGTGGAATTGCAACTCAAGTTAAAATGCCTAAAAAAGTCCAATTTAAACCACTTTCTGAATCAATTAAAAGCCCTGACTTTGTAGTTACTGATTTTGCAAAGTTTGATCACCCCCAACAATTACATTTAGCCTTCAGCACTTTGCATAAATTCACTGAGAAGAATGGTAGATTACCTAAGCCGTGGTCGTTTGAAGATGCATCGGAATTTTTGACATTGGCGAAATCGGTTTCTGTTGATGGAGGTAACGATACTGAGATTAATAATGAATTGTTGGAGACGTTCTCAAATATTTGCGCTGGGGATTTAAATCCGATGAATGCGACGATCGGTGGTATTGTGGCCCAAGAAGTTATGAAAGCGTGTTCGGGAAAATTCCACCCCATTTATCAATGGTTGTATTTTGACGCAATCGAATGTTTACCAAGGAATGGAAATCCCATTAACGAAACTTTAGCTGCCGCTACAGGATCAAGATATGATGCACAAATCGCCGTTTTTGGAAGCGAATTTCAAAAAAAATTAGGTAAAAAAAACTTAAAAAATATATGTAATTTTATAATGTTGGGTTATTTTAAGTACTTGAATCACCACTATTAATAAGTTTCTTTGGTAATCCATGTTGCAAGTCGTAAAATTAAATAAAATTTAGGTATTTAAATAAAATAACTTCTTTCTCACTATAAAATTAATATAATTAGTACTGGTTTCGGCTAAAATGCCATCATCAGCTGAAACTACAATAATAAATGATAATATAACTTACTGCCAAAGATAAAACAAGAACTTAAACATAAGTTACAAGACTTAATGTAAAACTAAAATGAAAATCTTTAAATATAAATGTAAAATATACAACATTTTTGGACTTAAATAAACTACACTACAAAGACGAATGAAATGACAGTCAAAAAATTAATTTATGTAACAATTTATGTCTCTCATAAAAGAGATGGAGCGAAATTAACGAAGAAAGGTGAAAAGCGGTTTGCATTGGAGTTCAATCTGATCATTTATAATATTTATTTTTGGGTTTTTATTGTTTTTAAAAACTTCACTTCATTGCATTGATTTAAAAGTTTAAAGCCGGGTTTATACAGACGATTTAGCTGTAAATTTAAATTTAAAAATTTAGCTGTAAGAATTAAATGTATTGAAACCCCATGTATCGTTTATACAAAGCTGTAAACATAAAGTTGGTCAACTTTTCTAAATTTACAGCGTCACACATGCGCAAGACGACCTCAATCAGCTGTATCCAATGATCGGCTGGTGTAAATAGCGCGTTATAACCTAACCTCAACTGTTGTTTATTTCTGTGCCAACAAAATGAGTGAATTCGATGGAAAATTAATTAAAATTGTTGAGAACTACCGATATATTTACGATAAAAAAATGTTCTGAACATAAAGATAAGATATTGGTAGAAAATGACAACACAAAAACCAGTAATATTTTGTTTCTTGAGGTTGCGATTCTGTAAATCTTAAATCCTGTATAAATCAATTTTTTTCTGAAAGCTAAATAAAATCCTTAAATCTAAATCTTTAAATTTACAGCTAAATTCTGTATAAACCTGGCATTGATTTTATGACCGGTTTCAACTTGACGTATGACAGGGTGTCACTCAAAAAAACGCCCCAACCTATAACGCTGTTCCATCAAAAGAAATGGTTTTATAAATAGTATGATTCATGCTACAAATAAATTTTTTCCAACGCCATCTTCAATTTCAAGCGATTTTTAACTTTTGTTTTTCAAATTGAGGCGTATATCTTTCTTCACGTCATTGGATAGACATTGTTTTTCTAAATACATTGATGTACAATACATCCATTTTGAATGTAATATTAACAGAGAAAATACACCTGTATACAGGTGTATCTGAATGACTGCACCAAACTTCAAGGAGTGATTCAGATACACCCTGTATACAGGTGTATTTTCTCTGTTAATATTACATTCAAATTGGATGTATTGTACATCAATGGATTCCGAAAAAGAATCTCTATCCAATGACGTGAAGAAAAATATATGGAGTAATTTGAAAAACAAAAGTTAATAATCGTTTAAAATTGAAGATAGCCTTGGAAAAAAAAAATTTGTAGCATGAATCATAGTATGCATCAAATCATTTCATTTGATACCTCGCTCATGAAAATCGGAATGTAAATGACAGAGTTACAGCTGGGGGCGTTTTTTGTGTGATACCCTGTATACAGGATGTATCTGAATGACGTGCCCAAACTTCAGGGGGTGATTCTTTAGGCAATTTTAAGGGTACTTTCTCATATAAACTATCAGCGATTTCGACTCCCCTGCGGAGCTACGCCCCTTCAAAAATGGCGAAAAATTTTCTGAACATAACAACAAAAAACAGTAATATTTTGTTTCTTGAGGTTGCGATTCTGTAAATCTTAAATCCTGTATAAATCATTTTTTTCTTAAAATTAAATAAAATCCTTAAATCTAAATATTTAAATTTACAGCTAAATTCTGTATAAACCTGGCATAACTGCCTTAAAATTGATTTTATGACCAGTTTCAACTTGACGTATGACAGGGTGTCACTCAAAAAACGCCCCAACCTACATATAACGCAGTTCCATCAAAAGAAATGGTTTTATAAATAGTATGATTCATGCTACAAATAAATTTTTTCCAACGCCATCTTCAATTTCAAGCGATTTTTAACTTTTGTTTTTCAAATTGCGGCGTATATCTTTCTTCACGTCATTGGATAGACATTGTTTTTCTAAATACATTGATGTACAATACATCCATTTTAAATGTAATTTTAGCAGAAAAAAGACACTCTGTATATACAGGTTGTCACACAAGAATGCCGCAAGCTGTAACTGTGTCATTTACATTCCAATTTTCATGAAGTATTGTACATCATTGGGTTCAGAAAAAAGTCTCTATCCAATAACGTGAAGAAAAACATACCGAGCAATTTGAAAATCAAAAGTTGATAATCGCTTGAAATCGAAGATGGCGTTGGAAAAAGTTTATTTGTAGCATGAATCATAGCATTCATCAAACTATTTCATTTGATACCTCGTTCATAAAAATCGGAAGGTAAATGACAGAGTTACAGCTTGCGGCGTTCTTGTGCGATAACCTGTATACCGGGTGTCCAATTAGTGCGATATCGGATGATATCTCCTTACAGGGTGTCGCTAGAAGAAAATGTTTATATATAAAGTTGTTTGGTACTCGAAGGTGCATAACCTAAAAATATTTTTGTTTATACAGGGTGTTGCAAAAACAAAGTACAAGGTACAACTTCGTAAATTTCAATGGACCATCCCATATTTTATTACATTTTTGAATTACCCTTAAAATTCGACATACTTTTTGTTAAGCATTACCTATACCAAAATTTTACCGTTTTTGAAATATTCAACATTTTGTGAAAAAATCTCCGTCTGCACGTGTCTATAAAAGAAAGCATACCCAATTTATTTAAGACCCCACAAAGCAAATCTTTTGTAGAATATTAATGCATAGTTACAGTAACTTCATGCCCTTATAAAAATCTGGTAACCTTCTACAGGGTGTTCGGAATATTGTACTCAATACCAGAAACTTGAAATAGCTATATCACATTTTTTTTAAATGGAATGTCTCATATTTTTTTATCTTAAATTATTCGCCAAGTAATAAGATTTCTTTTTTATAAAGCATGTCCTATACCTATTGTCCTATAAATAACTTGATAACTATTGCAAATAGGTATAGGTAATATAGATAACAAAAAGTATGTCGAATTTTAAGGGTAATTCAAAAATGTAATAAAATATGTGTGTTTTAAAATATAAGGTGCATAAACAAAAATATTTTTAGGTTATGCACCTTCGAGCACCAACTTTATATATAAACATTTTCTTCTAGCAACACCCTGTAAGGAGATATCGTCCGATATCGCACTAATTGGACATCCTGTATAGGGTGTATCTGAATGACTGCAACAAACTTCAAGGGATGATTCTTTAGTGAATTTTAAGGGTACTTTGATATATAAACCATGGGCGACTTCGGCTCCCCTAAGGAGCTACACCCCTCCAAAACTGGCGGAAAATTTTGGTTTAATTTTTTTTTCTCAAAAACCATAAACGCTAGGAAAATGAAATTCGGGGAATATGTTTAACTTATAATAGGGTACGTTTTGACCCTATTTGTACTTTCAACCTACCCTTCTAAACTACTAAACGTAACCACCCCCTTTACATTTTTGCTAACATTTTTTTTATGCAGATGATAAATACATTAGAAAAATTTTACATAGGTAGATGAAAGTATCCTAAAACTTTTTTGTCTCTCTAAAATTTTTCCAAAAACGACTAATTTTTGAGAAAAAAATAATAAAGCAAACAACGGGGTCGTCGATCAAAAGTTGGAATGATTTTTTAATGAAAAAATTTTAGTAGGCTTTGCAATCTTTGTCAGAAATATTTTTGACGTTTAAATGTCAGTGTTTTTCTTACTATTATTATTGTTTTTCAAATTAATTTTTAAATAAAGTTCTATCGCATTGACGCTCGATCACTCGACGTTTCAAAATTTTAAATAAAACAATAATAAAGTAAGAAAACCACTGACATTTAAACGTCAAAAATATTTATGACAAAGATTGCAGAGCCTACTAAGATTTTTTTATTAAAAATTCATTCCAACTTTCGATTAACAACCCTACAGCTTAACAGTTAGTGTTTGCTTAATTAATTTTTTTCTCAGAAATTATTAATTTTTGGAAGAACATCAGAGAGACAAAAAAGTTTTAGAATAGTTTTATCTATCTAACTGAATTTTTTCCAATGTATTTATCATCTTCATAAAAAAAATCTAGGCATAAATTGAACGGGGGTGGTTACGTTTACTAGTTTAGAAGGGTAGGTTGAAAGTACAAATAGGGTCAAAACGTGCCCTATTGTGAGTTGAACATATTCGCCAAATTTAAAATTTAAAAAAAATTAAATCAAAATTTTCCGCCATTTTTGGAGGGGTGTAGCTCAGGGAGCCGAAGTCGCCCGTGATATCTCAAAGTACCCTTAAAATTCCCCAAAGAATCACTCCTTGAAGTTTGTTGCTGTCATTCAGATACACCCAGTATACAGGTGTATTTTCTCTGTTAATATTACATTCAAAATGGATGTATTGTACATCAATGGATTCCAAAAAATAATCTCTATCCAATGACGTGAAGAAAAATATATGGAGCAATTTGAAAAACAAAAGTTAATAATCGTTTAAAATTGAAGATAACCTTGGAAAAAAAAATTTGTAGCATGAATCATAGTATGCATCGAACCATTTCATTTGATACCTCGCTCATGAAAATCGGAATTTAAATGACGGAGTTACAGCTTGGGGCGTTTATTGTGTGACACCCTGTATATAGAATTAGGTTTTTATTGGTGTTCCCTAAGTCGTAGTTTTCGACCAGTCTGTACTATATACTTCCCATTATAATTAAAACAATTAACAGAATATACACCACTTTGATTTAAAAGTTCAATCTTAGGATTGTGATTGGATAGGATATCAAGGGAAGGGTGATAGAGACTGGATATGAACCGGTTTGTATTTGTAGTTTGGACATACAAGTAATATGACCTTTGTGAATTTTGTATTATTTTAGATATTAATTTTATAGGAAACCCATTATTATGTGCCAGATCATGAATATATTTTAGTTCTAAGTTATAACTAGATTGTTTAAGAGGGTAATTATGAATTCTCTTGACTAAAAATATAAAAATTGGCCATTTTATGAGTTAGAGGGTGATATGTGTAAGATGAATCAAATGGTGTAGTGACGTATATGCTGTAACCGGTACTGATTATATTAATTTTATGCGAGAAAGAAGTTATTTTATTTAAATACCTAAATTTTATTTACTATTAATAAGATTTGGAAAAATTTAAGAATCATTATGTGGCTTAAAAATCGACGATTTTTTTTTTATTGATGTGACATGACCCAAAAAGCACGTTAAAAATAAAAAGAAAGTGCGAAAAAGTGTAGAACATATCGAAAAATCATATTAAAGTTTCGATGTGACGTCACAAGCAATATTAACCATGCATTTTCTGATAAACTTAAAAGTAAAGTTATTTTCATTAAACTAGGTGTAGATTACAACGAATATTTTCGGATGAAACACCCTTGTTTTTCTTAGGATTTCGATGCATAATGATTGACTATCTGTCATTAGACAGACTGTATATCAATAGACTGTTTGTCAATAGATTCTGTGTTAATTACTAGAACTAATGCTAGACTGAAAACTAGAAACTTTCGGATTTAGCCGCACGTCTCTCAAGACGGGTAAACCCGAATGATTCTAGTTCTAGATGTTGTGTTAGTTCTAGTTTTTAGTGTAATAAAAATATGCAACATAGTGATATTTTATGCTAACTAGCGCTACCTACCACTGTCACTAGAGCTAACATTAGATCTAGAACTCGAAACATTCAGGTTTACCCGTTTTAAGAGACGCACGGTTAAACCCAAATGTTTCTGGTTCTAGGTCTAGTGTTAGTTCTACTAATCATGCAATAAAAATATACTAGAAATAACACTAGACTTAGAACTAGAAAGTATCGGGTTTAACCGTGTGTCTTCAGATATGATTATTCCGATTTTAGGGAATATTTAGTTTATAGATGGCAAACAACGACATTTTAGTCTTTATGCGTCTAAAACCTAAGAAACAACCGTATTTCACGCGAAAATATGAGTCTATCTAAATATGACGGTCGATGACGTCACAAAAAGTGACGTCACGTCGAAACTTTAAAGTGATTTTTCGGAAAGTTTTATACTTTTCCGCGCTTTTTTATTTGTAACGACTTACTTAAGTGATTTCCCGTCGATTAGAAGAAAATGTCGATTTTTAAGCGATATGATCATCCTTGAATTATACCTAACATTTTGGTATGAAAATAACGCAACTACTTTAAAAGGTATTATTCATGTGGTAATTTCTTTTTTAGGTGCTTTAAAATATTTCGTTGTCGGTGCCGGAGCTATCGGCTGTGAGTTATTAAAAAATTTTGCTATGATGGGTGTTGGATCTGATGGAGGAAAAATAACAGTAACCGATATGGATCTGATCGAAAAATCCAATTTGAATCGACAATTTTTATTTAGACCTCATGATGTTCAACGAGCTAAATCAGCAACAGCTGCTAAAGTAAATATTAACATATGAATATTTTTTTAATAGCTTATTTTTAACAGATATACTTCGAAAATTTATTGAATCAAATTTATATTATTCTTCTAAAAATAACCCAATTGCTAATGATGTAGATTTTATTAATTTTACGTGGGTTTCCAATGTCTTGAAGATCTTCTCAATGCAATACGATTTTTGGTATTTAGGTTTATCGAGACTATGAGTTTGAGAAAAATCTATCATCAAGTTGTATTCATCAGTATCAATTCACCACTTCTTGTAATAAAATTATAATCTATAAAAGTATTTCAATTTCAAGGTCGATACTAGAGATGTGACGTCATTTTACTACTAACATTTCCAGATTAGTTTTTCCAGTACTTTGGCTATGATTCATTGAGGGAATTCTGTATGACTTGATTGATGAATTTTGAACTTAACAATTTCATTCTCCGTATTCATCATTAACTAAGCCCATGTTTTCTAGAAAAAAATTAAATTAAAGTGTAAAAATTGACGAACCCGTTTTTCACGGCAATTATGATAAACTTTTTAATTTTAATACTTTACGATGGCGAAGCTTGGTGGCAACTATTCACCATACGAAAGGACTGCCTCTTCTCATAGTAATAGGAAGTTGATGAATCCCGCGTGGTTGAGTGAGTTTATGCGCTACTTGTGTGAGTGTGTAATGTTCCCATAACGAAAATTGTGTGAAATGTGTTTGTGTTTATTATATTAGTTGAACATCAAACCATAGCTTTGTTCGTTGAGACTGCACTACTCTGCACGACATGACGCTAGTATGACGTCATAGTGGAATTAAGTGTAAGTAAGTGCAATGTCTTGTCAACTGAGTGCAGATCAGAAAAGTGTGTAAACTGTGGTCGCAACGAACAGATTTTTATCAAAAAAAGTGCATAATATTTGAAATGGACGAACAGGAAATAGTCAGCGAAATAGACGTGGAAAATGAAATCATCGCAGAATGTTTTTTTAGTAGCGTTTTGTTAGTAATCATCAATTATTATTATGATTGTTTTTTGTTTCAATTATTAGCGAAATATATTTTCTACACCAAACTACTAATCCTTATAAGTTCTTTCAAAAGTACTACTTAACGTATAAAGAAATCACATGCTAAAGTGCACCAAAATCGATAAGCAGTACTTGCAAAAAAAAAAGAATTGGGGTGGTGAGGGTAGTTAACCCCAGCCTTAATCGAAAGCAGGTACAACAAAATCTGCACTAACTTGCACCGGCTGCACGAAATTGCACTGCGCATGGCCCAACGAACAGTATGAGTGCAACTGCACTAAACTACACTATCCCCAACGAACACACAACATCTGCACTAAACTGCTTAGTGAAAGTAGTGCAGTCCCAAGGAACAAAGCTCATTATGGATATGCCTCAAATGTCATATCGACAACACATACAGTATAACGACCTTATATAAGACTGTATTTATAAACAAATGTTGCATACAATGCAAGAGGTTGTAAAGGAAGAATATAAATTGGCTTTAAAATTACGTGATGTAGACTCTGATAGAAATGCTGTTATTAGCGTGATTTTTGATGGTGCCTGGTCTAAAAGATCGTATTATTCTTTTACACCTCAAATCCCACCTTATCTCAGATAGTGGTTTAAAAAAGTTTTAAGCTGAGCATCCAATTTTTTAATACTTTTACGGCTGCATAATTGGAACAAGAACAGGCAGCAAGATTTTATTCATTGCTTGCAGAAATAAATATTGTCCCATATGTGTAAGGTGTTCTAATAAAGGTCAAACTCCAAGAGATCACCAGTGTGCTAAAAATTGGACAGGAACATCCACTGCAATGGAGTCCGACATCGTATTGGAAGGATTTAAAATACACAAACTAAAATATATAACCATAATCGGCGATGGAGATTTATAACTGCAAAGCTTACGATGCGAATGTGGTTATAAAAAAATGTTGAATGCACTAACTATTTGCTATAAAAGAAGAGCATCCAAAAACAAGGTTAGCCCAGACATAGGCAACATATTTAAAAAAAAATATTGAAAGACTCGGAGTAGGTATTAAATCAGCGATAAATGATCATAGAAAACAAGATCTCTCCCTACAAGATCAGATAATAGATCTGCTGCAGTAGATTGGTGCAAATTATTACAAAATAATAATAGTAGAGGACAACACACTACTAAATGTTTTGAACGAATGCGCAAAAGAAAATTGATGGGAGCTACAAAACATTATCAGTATCCCATAATAAAAAAGCAGAGAAAAATGTTAACCGCCAATAAAGATTATGATTTTACTGAAGATGAAGAAGAACTGATAGAGTGCAATGAATAAGAAAAGACAAAATTTTTACAGTCACTTATTATTACAACAGCAGAAATAATAAATTTTAAATTCAAATTCGAAAGAAGTTATTAACTGCTTCTAATTTTGGACGTGTTTGTAAAATGCGTAAAAATAGGAAGCTGCGGTATTTTTATTTGCCAGGATCATCCATATTTAGGTACCTCACCAGATGGGATAACAAATAGTACAGAAATAATTGAGGTAACATGTCCTTACACAACAAGCAAATTGACATCACAATCCGCAGTATAACAGAACAAAAGTAAATATTTGAAATATGTCGGAGGTAACATACATTTGAGTAGAAATCATAATTATTACTTCCACGTTCAAGGTCAAGTTGCCATAACGAGAATAAGGGCAAAATTATGTCAATTTATTGTGTGGACACCATGTGGCCTATTTGTAGAAGAAATAGAATTTGAAGAAAAATGTTGGGGTATTGCTATTGCCAAATTAATTATAAAGTCAATTTTATGATAAATACGTATTTCTAATACTTTTTCATTAGTCTATTCTTGGTTTAATTTAATTATGTTGTTTGTAGTATGATCATAAAATATAATTTAATAACATTTTGATTTTCTTCAGATTTCGTTCCTTAATTGTTTATGTTGATAACATTGTGTATCTATTGATATTACTATTATTATATTTTTTACTGTTTTAAATAATTACCCACTGTTATTTCGCGGAATTCGTTAAAATCGAACCTTGCCGGTAATATAAATCTTCTTTTTGATAAGTTTGAATTTATATCAATGGTCCCGATGAACTGAGTGACATTTTTTGGCGTTTGATAAAACTACATGCTTTGTTTGGGTTTTCTTTATTATGTGGTTGTGATCTCTTAAATTTCCACTATTTGGCCATGGAAGTTGATAGTCTAGTGCCTTGCAGAACCAGATGAAATTTGTTTGATAAAGGTAAATCATCTATCCATCTGGCACCGCTGGTCCCAAAAATAACCACTGAGGATTTCGAAGGGTTAACTGTTAACAGAGCTGAGAAGCATATACTGCTAAATTGTCCAAGTTAGTATTATCCTATCCACTGCGATATTCACTTCATCAGATTTAAAGCTATAATATATTAGAGTATCGTCAGCGTACATATGATAATCACAATATTTTAAGCAGGAGCAAAGTTGAAACATATAAATCAAGTATAATAAGTGACATCCAGAAGTGCAGTAATGCAACTGAAACCAGGGCGGAACCCCGACAGTTTAGGTGCGAGGATTTTATTTTCGGTAACAAAAGCTCTTAACCTCTCGGCAGTAAGCTTTTCTAAGATTTTTGATGGAATGGGTAAGATACTGATGGGTCTGATATCTTGCAGACCAGTATCAAAGCAATCTGTCATTGGTCAGGAAACAAAAAAATCATGATTTTAATGAAAATTATTAACTAAGCAATTTTCTCTTCTGATGTCAAGGTAAAATTTAGAGGTGTAGTGACAGACAACATTCGATGATTGTTATAGAAATCTTGCAAATCACCCAAGGAATTAACTTGTGTCGATTGAAAATAACAATTCGTTTGATTAGGTGTACCCAAAGTGTCCGAAATGTTTTGACGTCGGATACGAGTGACACCCAGGGATTTAATAGAATTGAAAGTTCTTGTAATCCCGATATGTAATCACTCTTGATTGTGTAGCTTAAGTAGTAAAATCAAGAATAAGGTATATTACACAGCGATCAGAAATGTCATGTATGGTAACCACATCTGAGTCAATCACCAATATAATCGAATAGCGTAGCTGAAGTTGCCGTAATTCGTATAGAAGTTGCTGCTGTAATTTTATGCTATATTCGCTATTTGTTATAACTAGCTTTTTTGTTGTCGGGATTGGAGTCTGGAATTGAGAGTAAAAATAATGAGGTGCTATGTGCTACTATTGGTACTGTTCTATGGGGTGAAAGCGTGGACACTTAAGGCGATTGATGTGTTAAAGATTTCATGTTAATGTTTGATTAAAAGCCGCTACAATCTGTCAATAACGATCATCCCATATTGGAAATCACTTTAGAACAGAAAGGAACATTGTAAAAGTGAACATTCGTCACAAATAATTACGTCGTTGCAAAAGATTTCTTAATTTACTTTTATTTTATAAGATAACTTCTAGATGTTCATTGACACGCAGCTTTATTCGAAAGCAAAAAAGTTTTTTGCTAATAAAATAATTCTGCACTTTTCAAGAAAGAGATTTTATGGCTTATATGGAGTTTATTTTATGGATTATGTGGTTCTATGCCTTCGATTTTATTCGTCACGTTATTATATCTTATTTATTTTTTAAATACCTGTCAATGTCAAATTTTTAGGTTATCTGTTGGTATTATCTAGGGTCCCTATAATATTTGTCGTTTCTCGATTTCTAGTTACATTTTCGAAAACTAAATAATTGAGGTTAGGAAACGAATACATAAATTTTTAATTATAATAATTATCTTTGTCCACGACTACCTTATGATATATATAGCTTATGAATGAGTTTTCTAAAACGAAATGGAAGTCATTTTTCACGGAGTGAATAATAGCGGTGAATAATAATTATTCACGGGTAGCCATCTTGACCAGACTAATAATAATTATTTGAAACATTAAAAGTTCAAAAAACGTCAATTTAATTCAATTTTTTAGGAGTTTCTAAATGTTTGACATTAAAAAAACCTAAACAAATTCCTTTTTTCGTATGATTTAAGCATAAATTAGAATTCTTTTTGAAAGATTA